TTAAGCATCTATGGCACTGTGTACTTCAAGCTCAAGCGTTGACACTTGTGCATCTTTTGCGGAATGATGCGAGCTCAGGCGCTGGCATGCTCTGCCCAACTTGTCCTGTCCACGGGATGTTCCTGGGAGGCAGCTGTGCCGAGACTCTATATTCTGGAACATCACCCCGCCTTTGGAACTGAAGGCGACGCTTGACAGATTCTGATACTATATCATACTTTGCTGCCCGAATTATGCCAACTCAGGCGCTGGCATGTTCTGCCCAACTTGTCCTTCCAATGGGACGTTCCTAGGAGGCGGCTGGACCAGAAATCTGTATACCAAAACATCATCACGCTTCTTGCTTTAGATTGGGATTCAGCCAGGGTTGAAAAAGTTCGGGCTCACAGCTAGGCATTTATGAAACTGCACGCATAGGGCAATCTTCGGCTCCGGCACAGCTGTCTGCCCAATCGGCCACATGCCAGTCCTAAGAGGGCAGCTGGACCAGGATTCCATACTGGACCGGCAGGAGCATCATCAAATTTCTGGTCGCCAAACGACAGCAAGGGGTCTGGGAGTAATGACAGAACGCGCGTGCTGCCCGACCATCTTGTCAGATGTCGGATACGGAATTGTTACGCGCTGAGACTTTATGCGCCTTCGCGCTTGGAGGCGCTTGGTGGATGCAGTGCGTTTCCTCAACTGTTGCAAATCGCACCCGTCCACATAGGGTCAATAGAAAGCTCTCATGAAACGTGCTTGTGCATGTAGTGCGCTTGGGCGCTCTTGTGGGCGAACATGCGTAGGAAAGCCACCTCTCCAAAGTTCATTCCACTGCCAGGCTGCTATCACGCCTGCAGGGCACCGCCTGTTGCGTTGTGGCAACGTGGGAAAATGCAATATACTTGAAGCAAGGAGCACAGCAGCCTTAATCGTTTCTGCAGCCTGGGAAACTCGCTCTACTTGAAGCAGAGACCACAACCGCACTCAGCCCTAGAAGGGTTTTTGCAGTCTGGTAGAGCATATTCTGCTTGCAGCAGAGAGCACACCCCTACTCAGCCTTAGGCGTGTCTTTGCGGCCTGGGAAATGCTTTCTATTCGAAGCAAAGAGCACTGGCTTTTAAAGCAAATGAGCATGCGGACGAAGTCGCTACTGTTGTTACATGCTTGAAGGGTTCCAGCATCGGCTTGCTCGGCAATACAACCGCTGGCTTGTTGGACGCGTAGGAGGTCTGAGCTCCGCATCGTCCCAAGCCTACAAAGTTCTGATTGACCTACATATTCCGTACCCTGACTACTTCGTTCGACTGGATGACTGGGTATTGCCAGCGTGGCTTTGCGGAGATCGGTTTCAGATTCACAGTGCCTGCGCAAGATGCCGACTGCCAGCGCTTCATCCCTCCCACGAGCTCTGCGGGGTCGACACGAGGGTCGACTTGGGCTGGAAATGCCGTAGGCGTCTGAGGCCCACTTCGCTGTGAGCGGCATGTCAATTCATTGGACGCAGGGATGCAACTTTGCTTCATGTGCGCTAGGCCCAGTAATTGCATAGTAAAAACAATGACAATTAAGGTCGGGTGCACTGTGCAATCCAAATTGTCCTCGCACCCTGGCTGGCCGAACCACCACCATCTTTCCAAGCGTTCCTGTGCGGCATCTTGGAGAATCCTGATAAGAGCTGAGGCCGTGTTCTTTATCAGAAAACCATGGCCTGATGAAGCTCTCTGCGAAGATGCTCTGCCAATGCCTTCACAAGGAAAACTTGCGCCCAGCGGCTTTTTCAATACGCAGCTCGCTATGCCCAAGTCATGTTATTTGCTGTCGATATGACAGCAAAATGTGCAAACATGGTTCTGCACACGCTCAGGGTTAACACTACCTCGCTTCCTGAAAAAGTTCAGACTGAACCCGTTCTCAAAAAGCTTTAAATGTTCTCGGCAGTCCTACAGATCTTCTCTCGCACAAATACTCTCAGATTCTAAGCGATTCTATCGGTCTATGGTCGCTATGCTGCTGGTTCGGCAAGTGGTTGAAACACTCCTGACATAATAATACTATCGAAAGGGCAAGCGGCAGCATGCTCCACATCAGCATCTCTGCCCCCGATCGTCGCTGTCTTCCACTCGGGTTCTTCGCACGCACTTGGCGAGCAGTCAACTCGACCTGCAAGCCCTCCCAGTACCGTTGCATTCAAGCGATCGTATCAGTGGGTAACAACCATTTAACAACATCAAGCTTGACACGTGACGGACGTGACGAAGTCAGTGAATTGCTCCAAGTGTTTGGATTCAAATGACTTCAAAGGGGCATACATGTTGGCCAAAACGAGGAGCAAGGCCTTGAAGATATGGGCTTGGACCTGGTGTAGCAGTTCTGCCACCACATGGCTGTGCACTTTAATGTGGACGGCTGTGGCAAGGCGAGATTCACTTGCGACCAAGATTCTCATTTGTCATTCTGCTGAGACTTTTGGGCTGCACGAGATGCTCCGGTCACTTGACCCTCCCGCGAAACCCGTTCTCTGGTTTGGGCACAGCCCCTACAAGCCCTGCAATTCGCCTGCCGAGGCGTGCAGAAGAGGTCTTTCTTGGGAAGTCTTCCCAAACTCTCTGCTCTCTCCCCCCAGGACCCCATAATAGGTCGCCTGTGCTCCGGTTCCCCTTTACAGCCAAGCCGAGGCAGTCAACGCGCGTCCTATTTCGATTGCAGCTGCGGCGCCGCAAAACTCCAACTCACGGTGGCAGAGCCCCAAACTCCCTGTTCTAATCGTTTCTCATCATGTCCCGGTCAGGTCTCGCACGGTCCCGCGAACATCGCCTGCCTCTGCATGCCGGTGGCGCTGCTCTGCCTCTGCCTGCACGGCGCTGTATGCGAAGCAATATCAAATCAAAAGCCTTGTGTCGCCTGGCCTTTGACTGATTTAGTATGGTCCGTAACCTGTCCATTTGGAGGAAAAGCACAAGTGCCTTTGCCAACATGCATGGGTGAGCATCTCTCTGCCCTGTTAAACCTCCAGCTTGCCTGTGCTGCTGTCTTCAAACTCTCACCAAGCTGAGGATTTGCTGGGTGTTCACACCTTTGCATTCTGCTCCGCAATCAGCTCCTGTCGAAGCTCCTGGCTTCTGCAGCTCTCAAGCCCTCTCAAAACTCCTCATCTGCGAACTTGACTGCGAAAAGTATTTGCTAAACCAGCAGCGCTTGTCCTGCACCTGCCCCTTCAAACTCCGGATGGCATCCAGAGCCTAACTGCATGGCAGTCGGCGTGCGCCCTCGCACCGAGCCGTAATATGTATTGTTAAAGCCTGGCGACACTGCTTAGGATGATCTAAGGCAGTAGCTGTATATGTTTCAAAACAGAGCGGCTGACATTTTTGCATGAACCATTACATCCTTCATCTTTTTCCTTGATGTCAAGCCGCTTTACCGGGACAGAGCACGCCGTGCGTCCACATTCCCAGAAACGGTTGCACACTCAGTTTTGACATCAAGGTCAGGTATAGTGCCCTTTAAGCTGGGGAGAATTTCGATCATGCCGATTGCTACGTTGGGAGTTGCGCCTCGGCGGTCTCAAACTGCACAGCTTCCACTCGATGGGACTCTTCGGCCACGGAAGCCTCGACACACTGCTTGGTGGACGAGGCCACAAATTGATACGCTGTGCGATTCCCTCCACCACTCCACATGGCACTTGACTGGGAAGGTCACCTTGCTGCTCGCAAACCAGAATTACTAATTAGAATCGTTTAGAGACATTACTGGGCGTGATCGGGTTGCCCGATGCGTGGTTACACATACTGTGAGCCTGCGTGTGGCTGGATGCTGTGAGGACAGAAGTTAAGGGCAGGCTCTGCATACGGCACTGCGTTGCACCGCGTTATCCCCTTGTTTCCAGGCTTCTTATGCTGGATCTAACACATGCCACAAGTCTCAGCGTGTTGCCCCTATATGACAGAGATTCTCAATTGGCAGATGTTTTGGACCCGGGGCACGGGCTTGGCTTTGTGCTTTGAAAAACAGGCTTGGAAGAATGTCTAAACGTCTGCACTGTTGTGGAGTCCTGGCCCTGAGCCAACCTTGCATTTGGCACACGAGCCTGACGCAGTCCTGTGTTTCTCAAGTGCGACAACACAACTTGCATCTCGCCTCAGCCTTGTCCAGCGCTTGGCGCGTCCTGCCCACTCTGTATTAGGGGGCAGTCGGACCTGCTCAGACAGCAGCACACACATGTTGTAAAAACCGGATGCTTGGGGATAAGGCTAAATGTCAGGCCAAAGACCCCATAAGGCGTCCTGCTGTCCCATAAACAAACGAAAAACGGCCTGCATGAAGCGGAGTCATGGAGGAGTGGTTTCGGAGTGATTTCAGAATGATAGCTGAAAATCTTCATGTGTCCTGCGTTCAGAATATCAGGATCCCAGGAAGCTGAGCTTGAGATAATTGTGAGCTTTCAGCTACAGTAACGGCTGCAAACTGATTCCGAAGCACTCCGAAGTCATCAGGTGATCCGCTGACCTCCACACCACAATCTCAGTGGTCTCCCAGTGGTCCCAGTTGATAAACGGCGATTGCGGAAGCATTTGCAATTTGGAGCGATTTGGGCGTGATCTGGGCCTGACTGCGGAATCACTTCAGAATGAGTTGGCTGGCGCTCTGACGATTGGAGCTTCGTCTGCAGCTCTGACGAGAGCGTTGCCAGACAATCTGATGGCTCGAGTTTCAATTCAGATAGTCTTGTACAGCTCAGGTGACTTCAAGTACGTTTGTTTGCTGTGTGTGGAAAAAAGGGCGTAAGTCCACGTGTGTGCTCATCTCCTGCTTCGTGCAGAAACCATTCCGAAATCGCTGCAACAAGCGCATTGCAAATGCACTGATCCGAAAGCACTTGTGCAAATCACCTGTAAACCACAACAAAAACACGTACAAAATCCCGATAGCAACTATCACATATTCAACATCTAACCGTCAGTCGGCTCATCGCTCGTGGCTGAGTCTGAATCTGAACGGCATGCCCTGCAGTCCTTGCGCTCAATATAGTCAGATCGGTAATGGCCATTGCCTCAGCGACAGCGTGATTCTGGCAGGCACTTGGCACCTTCGGCATGAACCTAAAACCCTCCTACACCCTGACACCGTAGGACCGGGCGCGACGGGAACTTTCCAGTTGTTCCTCCAGGAGCACAAATCAATCATACATCTGAAGAACGTCACCAGGGCGGTAGCCTGACGAAGAGCCACCTCCAGTTCCTTCAGGCTGAGTCGTGGCCGGGTGTGAACAGCGGTTGGGCAGCACTTGTTTGGAGCTTGTGAATTCTCGTTGCAACATCTACTCGGCTTGAAGCTGTATATATCTGCTGTCCAACAATAGGTTCCCTCATCCAGTTCTAACTACGCCCAGACCCAGCATGACAGCAACTGGCGCCTTGATTCGGGCACCGAGCTGGGATGCTTGGGGTGCCTGAGCGCGTGGCCGGAGTCCAAGAGATAAAAGCCTTATTGATGCAAACTTATCTCCACGGCATGCCTCCCAAGAATGCCTGAGCAAATGATCGGCCTTGGCGGAACACTCGGACTAGCACACCAAGCCGCGTGACTTCGTTGCACGAACATAACTTGTGCAGATGCGGCAACGTGCCATATTGCAGCATGAAGTCAGAAAGAGAACAAGAGCCTCGTGAGTGCACTGTCCAGCTGTCTCGTGGCTGTAGCTCGCATGTTCAGAAGCTCAAGTCGCTGCTGCGAATATGTCGTGCACGGAGCGTCGTCTGATCTCCAAAGTGCTTCCAATGCAGAAATCGCTAACTCCTGGTGGTCAAAATCCGTTTCCAACCGCATTGCTTCGACCAACATTGACGCCCACCTTTGCCGCTCGGCCTGGGAGAGTGCACGCGCTACATTGCGCACATGGAGTATGGCCCCTCTAAGCCGATGCCACTCAAATGTTGGAGACTCGAGCACAGCCTCGAAAACACCCAACATGCGCTGCGAAATTTGGCAGCGCACGCATTGCTTCGCGGAGCGTCCGCAAATCTCCAGCAAGTAGTGGGCACTTTCGCACAGCTGCAAATCCGGGTCATAGCAATGCATTGACAGACTGTCAATCAAGGCATGCGTAATACGCTGCACGTCTGCATAAGTAAAGAGTGACACCTCCATACTGCACTGCGCCATGTGCCAAAGCTGACCTTATTGGCGACTTTTTGAAGGCAACATAGGCAAATGCAGGCACAAGGCCTTGCCAGCTGCAGTTACAGTACCACAGATGAAAGCAGCAAAGTGGAGCGTCCAAGCATTTCTAAGCTTCCGAGTGGCAGAAGAACACCTTCTCTCCAAGGACATCATCAGCAAACCGCCGTTGTAGGAACCGTTGTTGCACATCTTCTCGTGGATCGTTAGGGGCAGCACTGCTGGCCAAACAGAGGTTCTGGAAAACTTCGGCGCAGCGAAGTACGCCAGAAGACGAACAGAGGCCAGCAGTCTCCACGATGTGTTGCACTAAGGCCTCGCAGTGAATCGTTACAAACATGGTTTCGGCACGGCACTTCAATGCAAGCTCTGTCTCAATTTGGCACATTTGCACGATGCAGCAAATCCTAGCAGGATTTCGCAACTCAACGCGCACCTTAGGACCTTAGGGGACATATCGTCTTCTCTCACTGCGTTTGGGTGTTTGGGGGTTTCTGTGTGGCAGGGGGGCCGGCAGAGGGGCGTTGGGGACAGGCCAAGCTCTGAAAGCTCTGTGTGTGTTGTGTCCTCCCCGGCCTTGGGGTCTCTGCTCTGCGTCGACGCCGCATACAAGCACAGTATCTCTTGCACCTTCACACGCAAGGCGCATTTTTGGGGATCGGCTGTGTTTGCTGCATGCTTTGGTTCTAATCAACTGCATTTGCCCGGACTCCATATCTCAGCCATGGCACGCGAAGAAACTCGAATAGATTGGGCCTAACATGGTTGCTTGCAACACTGCACGGAAGTCTCTCATCTCTCCATCCGACTTGATTGAATCAAGAGGCACAAGAGGCACAACGCTATACCAGGAGCGGTCGCTTGAAGCCTGCGAGCAGCCATGCGATTCTTGTAAAGTTGGAGTTGTTGCTGCAACAGGCTGGCGATGTCCTGATTTGATGTCGAGGGCGCTCCAGAAAATGCAGGCATGTGCCTCAAGCCCACCGGCAGAAACATAGCAGCTGTCTACTTCTCCTTTTACCGAAAGATCTTGCACCCAATGCCGCCGGCGTTGCAAACTTGTGTGCAAGGAACCATCCGGACCTTCAAGCTGCGCTTCGACCACCTGAACTGAAGTGCCCGACTTTCTGCTCAAAACTACATGTTACAAGGTCAAGGCCTGACGGAGTTAGGCTCAACAACCCCCAAAGCATTACATACAGTAAGGCTTGAAATCACGCAGGTTTCCGTCTTGCTGGCAAACCTGCGAACCAGCACGCCTCAACACTACCGTCTTGGCTGCGCTCAGGTGGCTCGGGCCTGAGCACAACACGGGATGCGCCATTGAAACCTATCAAGTAGAAGATATCACTTGCTGTGCGGCTGAGGCACGACAGACCCGCCAACACAGGCTGCTGGGGGCATTGCGCTGGCATGGAATCATTGCTTTGGAATGACCTGAGAGCATGGCAGCCAATTTGAGCCGGACATGGAAAATTCAGGGTTTGCAACAAGGAAACCCCGGAAGGCTGCAAATGCTGTCCAAAGCACGGGCTTGCCGCACGGGATGTCAGCTCCCTGATAAAGGCTTTCCCACGCGCCACTTCAGACAATGAGGATGCCCAGTTCTTCCCATACCAGCTCGCAGTCTGCTGTGCGCGGACCAACTTATATTCCAAGACATTTTGGTGGCACTGCATTCGGACAACCTGCTGGCGAAGCTCTTGCAGCTCGGCAAGGGCTTCTTGCAGCTGCTGGTTCACCAACCTTGCAAAATTGCAAACTTGTGCACCCAATTTCTGAGCACACCTACTCGTGCACTATACTGCCGCTGAACATGCACAACGCTAACGCATGTTTTAATGATCTGGACTGCATGAGATCTGTGACTGTCATCAGCAGGGCACACAAACTTCATAAGGAGCAGCATGTCTAGACAAAAGCAGCACGCCAATTGGAGCCGATGCACGTAATCTCTGCAGTCGCTTGGTAATCAACGGGCACGTGCTGCAAGTGACAGGCGCCCATCACGGCAACCGCCATGGCCTGCCCTTTTGAAAGTTAGACAAAACCTTTGAAGATTGGACAGCCCTCCTCTTGCCGTAGATGTTGGGCAGGGATCTATGAGATTGTTGGGCAACGCGCAACCAGAATTCCAAAACAACATGTTGACATGTTACAAGATCTCGCTGATGCAACTTTCGGCTGCACAAGCACTATGATGGGCTGACCTGTACTGACCGCCCGAACCACTTTCTACACTCAGCCCCACACAGCGACAGCAATATGCACAGAGGCTCCTGGGTGGCCCACGGATCGCATTGAGCAAAATCGGCCTGGCATCGCAGAGAAGCAGACAGCAAGGCTGATAACCCCGCTGCGCGTGAGCAGCTGACGAACTTGGCACCAATGAAAGACTTGCCTGAGGAAGGTCTCCCAGTATCTGCTCTAATGGACACGCTTCTTTGAACCAATATGAACCAATCACAACTTGTTTGTGTGCAGCAGGCCCCAAAGCTCAACGCATACATCCCAAATACGTATATACCAACAGTGCAAGCAGACCTGCTTTCTCTGCGTGTGTCTGCATGTGCTACCGGACGCAAGGCGAATTTCAGCTGCGATTCCGGTGCCACCTCTCGCAAGGTTCATTAAATGAATTCAGTGCCAGCCTCGTGCTATGTGCCAGAGCCATGAGCCCGAAACTTGGCATTGCCAAACAAGGCCCATGCGCAATGCGACGATTTGTAGAGGAATCTTTAGCTTGGAACATCCCCGCTAAGTACCACTTGATGAGGCTGTCCCGATTGCCCTCCCTTGCAAGGCCCCACTCCGCTTGGCTGCTCTGCTATGCCCAGCTGTCGACGACCCGCCAGTGGCCATCTCGAGGCCTTGGGGCAGAGACGAAGCGAAACCTCCATGCCAAAGGAGAACGTCAATCTCCCCACTCCCTGGGGTCTCGGCGCGCCGTCTTGAAACTTGCCAAGAAAGGCCTCGGGCAGGCACCGGCTGTTCTGAGCTCGACAAACTGCTGAAACAGCTTCTATCCCGCAGTGCGCAGCTTTCACACGGATGGCATGGCCGAATGCCTACATGAGGGCAAGGCCACGCTTTTCGCGACCAGCCCTCGCCTAATCATCACCACTTCGAGGGTTTGGGCAGTTTGGGTCAACGATACCGCGCAGATGCTATCTCATGAACCCAGTTTCTCACGGCACCCCCAGCAGCATATGGGCCGCCATCAGACCACCTAGATCCATGCACTTCTCGGTTCCGCTGGTGTCCAAGACCTTCGCAGCAGCCACTGCTTCAGGAGTTTGCGCTCCACTTCTGAGAATCAAAGGCACTGCCAGATTTTTCAATCGCCAGCCCCTGCAGATGCGGGCCATCTGATTCGCTGCACCTTCGCCATCTGAGCCTCCGCAAACGGCCAATGCGAAAGGCCGTCCGTTCAATCTGCCAAGGGCTCCATAATAGCAGCGGTCGAAAAACTCTTTCATCTCACCCGACATTGAAGCGAGGTTCTCCGGTGCACAAAAGAGGAAGCCGTGTGCCGACAGCAGGTCGCTCACCTGCGCATCCTGGGCACGGAGAAGGTCGATCGCAAAGTCGGTCTCTGCGGCTTCCATGTCTTGCATCGCCTTCAGCGCACCCGTGTAAAGCGCCTCTGCCATTTGTTTCGCCATTCCAGTCCTGGAGTGCCTGCTGTCGCAACAATCGCAACATCTGCTGCTTTCTCGCACATTAGAGTTTAGAGACCTACTCAGACTTGCGAGCAGCCGAGGGGCCAAACAATGAGCAAGCGCATGGCATCCGGCTTCTCGAGTGGAGGTCCCAGTCTCCGAGTCTGCAGGAGGCCGGCAGGGTCGGCGCCGTGCGCGAAGAGACGCATCGATCGTGCTGCTCTCCACATCATCGTGCTCTGAAGTCAAGCTATGCAGTTACAACTTAGGTACCGGTTGAAGGTTGTGGCTGACGGTCCCTATCTTTTTTGCATCATGTCAAAAACAGTGCCACATACCTTCCACAATTGTCGTTCGGAGCAACTCCTGCTGTGTTGCGGCTTGCAGCAGCCTCACTCCACACACCAAAAATGTCCGTTTTCGTCGATCCCCAACTATTTTTATGAGCCTCAACGGGCCGGCGAAGATGCTGAGACAGTGGGAGAGCTGAGCTCTCGAATTGCATCGGGTCCCTGGCTCGAGGAGTCACCAGGACGGGGCTCTTGGCACCCGCTTGTCCGCGTGCACTGAGCCTCCACAAAGCTCCCTAGCCGTCTCATCAGCTTAAAGAGACTAAAACGTCCCAAGCCCCAAGGTTCTACGCCCTAAGCCCTAAACACCCCAACAAGGCCGCCCCCTGACTTGACAAAGAAGACTCTCGACGAGAACAATAGGAGCAACGCTGCCTGCTTCCAGGGCCGACTCCCGACCGTGCAGAGGCAAAGGCTTCAGCGGATTGAACTTCGGCCTCCTGACAAAAAATGAACCGACCAACATAAACCTATCGGGGGCTTCTTGGTGGTGGTTTTTGGGGGGCTTGGGGTTGCAGGGGGTTGATGCTTTAGGGCTGCGATGTCAGGAACCGCAGGCATATTTCTGCACTTGCCGCGGCCTGCTGGGCTCTCGCCGTTCCAGGAGTCCCTGGCAGAGACAGCGGAACTGAAGCTCCGCTAAAGGGTAATCTAGACCCTGATTAGTCAGCCACCCTGTGTTAAAGGCCAGAATATCAAGAGCCCTATGGTTATCCTTTCTTCAAAAGGGCAGGGTTATGCTGTAGTGTCTCTTTTTCTCTTTCGTGGGCCCTGCCTCTTTCTGTCCATCCAGCAACGCTGTGAGTGACTTCCGGGATACATGCTCTTTCAGGGTCTCTCAGGCACGGGCCTATGCCTGGCATCACTGGCTCCCAGTCCTGTCATGCTACTTTAGGGCTTTAGGGTTGGGTGGCAAAGGCAACTTTGGTTTACAGTTGCTCTCTCGTCCTGAGGCTGGTCCAGTTTTGTGAGAGCCTGGCGAAGGCAGTAGATTTTTGCTGCGGAAAATCCCTTTGGTCCCGATTTCCGCACGCACCTCGTTTATGCGAGAAAGAACGCCTTTCACCTGGCGGGAAAAGTCAGCGCCAAACTCTTCGCCTCGACTCCCCTCGACAGGTCAGCAACACGCAGTCTGCCATTTGAGATGAGGCTTGGCCTGTCGTCCTGTTCACAAGAATACGGCCACGAGATTTTCTCGGCCAACGATCTTGCACAAAGGGAACGACTCGGCGACAAGCCCATTCCGGAAATCGTTGTGGTCGACAGGCCTCTTAGACACCAACGAGAAGCTTTCACACTGCTCCCTGGTCAGTCCGAGGCAGCTACCGGCTTTCCGCTTCTTGGCGATTGCCAAGCACCTGCTCGACATTCACATTGAAGAGGGGAATCCGGATTCATTCTCGGCAGCAATGGATGACTCGTGCGTTGGGCAAGATAAAGGGGCACATGAACACATGCTGTGCTCGACTGACACTCAACAGCCTCGTCACCGACGAAAGCAGGCCCTGCAGCTCCTTGAGTTTACAGTACCCCACAGCAGGCCACACTTGGCCACAGCTCGGTTTGAGCTCGCCACGTCCCACACTCGGAGGTTTGCTTTGCCTGTCTCGAGGTTGGCACAACTTCGACTTGCAGATTGAACTGTCGTTCGAACAGGATCGCACAAACATGGGCTCAAGAAAGCATGAAAGAGTGCATCTGGGCGGTTGCCTGGCTCTCGCAGAGGACGGTCGGGAACTTCGTGGGGGCCTCGGCAGTGCCAGCGGCGTCATCTGCAAAATCTGCTGATCCTGGTACTTTAATCCGAGGCCATTGCACTTGTCGATGAATCGAAAGGCAAGTATCTGATAAGGGACGGGCTGGGCCAGACACCGATCGTGTGCCGGACCATCCCAGCCTCAAGATGCAAGCCGCTGCTCGAAAGAGAAACGAATTGCGCGAAGGCCTGCCTGGCCAGTACCACGGATCATCGGGAGCTGGCAGACCCCTCAGAGTGCTTTTCGCAAAACATGAGGAGTCTCGGCTCTTGAGCCGTGGAAGCCCCTGGCTCAACATCGTCGAACTCGGCGAATTCCTGTTTGATGCAAGTCGTCGAAATGGACTCAGTTGCTAATCCGGAGTGGAGCGCTTCGTATTTGAGCATGCAGCATGTGTGAGAATCAGAATAAGGCATACGATCCGCTGCTGCATGTCAGTCTCGCGCTGCCTGGCTGGCCCGAAGAAACCTGGCGATGTGGAAAGCTGCACCGAGACAGTTCTACTCTTACCTCTTTCGGCCAATACAGCCGTAGCGCCACTGTGGTTGAAAGGGGCCGTGGGCACTGAAGTCCTTTTCCCCTATCCTTGAAACGAGCCTGCTGTGATCTTTGACAGCTTTGCCAGGCGATCGAACTACGTTCCTCTGGGCGAGGTCGTGCAGCTGACGGACACTTTGGTCCGGCATCAATCGATGTCAGAGTCTGAGTTGAGTTGAAACCTGAGTGTGTCTAAGGCGCAACATCTGAAAACGCGGATCTGGGAGCGCAGCCTGACAGCACCGCGACCGGCAAGATCTTCCGCAAGGAATGAAGCTAGTTGTCTTGTCACTGGTTAGACAGGTCCGGCCACCTAACAGACACAGCACGTGTAAGCAGAGGAAAATCTCAGCTTGGAGCTTTCGTCTTGAAGAGCAGCAGGTTCTGCACAACCACTCACCTCTGCATTGAGGGTCGCAGTCGTCCCATGACAATTTTGCAGAAACTAAGCTGCCGGCAAACAGAGACCAGACACCCGCACAAGATGAGCCTCGTCCCCACGTTTCCCCCGTTTCTGGCGCATCTTGTCAGGTAGGACTGGGACCACTGGGACCAGGGCCCGCCGAAGATCGATCCGGACAGGCACCTTGGCTTGGCTGATCTCTGACGAGATGCTACGGCTTCTAAGAAACTTCTCCAGAAAGCTTTGTGGAGAGGCGAATAGAATAGCGCTGTCAAATAAGGTCACCACCACCAGTAGTACTTCTTGAAGAAGCTGCCCCTGACCTGCACGGCAACTTGGGGCTGATATCGACCGCTTGCGCGTTTCTTGTGCCCACACATTCACACACCCATTCTGGCATGCATACCTGCGTCTCGACCTATGCACCGCAGCTTGAGCTTAACTTACATACTACATCTCTTGCTCGCTCGCTTTTGCCCATGCCCTTGCGCCGTCTTGATCGCACACCAGCTTTTCAAGGCTATAGCAGAACCAGTAGGTCAAGAGCTGGGGGCTTTAGATCAATCTGCTTGAACTTTGCTACGACCGGTGACTGCTTGACATGCACACTCTCGGATGTCTGCACAAGGTCCGCCTCCGTGCAACTGCCGTCGCTCTGGTCAAGGACATAAGAGGTGTCAACCGTGTCCTGCCGTCTCATGATGCTTGGATCATCGATCAAGGGCGGCCCAGGCTGTAAGCTGTTGCAGTGCTGTGCCTGGAAGCACAGGTCGCAGACGGAGAAGCTTCCGCAGACAGCACAGTTCCTGCTTCACGAGTCGAAGACCGCGATGAACTTGAGATGTGGATGCCAAACCGATAGTCTGACAGGACTTCCGCAGCCCCAGCTTCGGGTCCTGTTGCAATATGAACATCTGCTGGCTTCCTTGTTCGGATACATGCCCTGCGGACATTCAATATGGCCTCATTGGCGCATCGCATTTCGCACCGGAGACGCAGACGGCAGTCGTGCTAGCTGGAAGACAGCTGGGTGGCAGGCAACTGCCCGACCTTGGACCAGCTACAAAAGCACTGGCAATCTCTGCGCTCTGCGAAGTTTTCGACGGTCGCTGAAGCATGATGCCAAGGCTGTTCTTCCCTCTCGGCTAGCTAGCCTTGACTATGGGACAGGCAGGCGAAGCATGCGCGTAGCTTCAAAGGAGTCCTCTAAGTCGCTTCCCAGTCTGCTAGCAGCGTCAAGATCAGACGGTAGGTTGTTAATCTGAAATTCAGCAGGTTCAAAACCCTTCAATGGTCGAGGCGATAGTATCGGCAGATGGAGCATTGAAAGATATAAACTGTCTGCTTTTGGCTTCTTCTGAGAAGCGTTGAATATGATCCAGGCGAGTCCGAACTGACAGAGGGCAATTGAAACAGATGGGCCTCTGGAACGTTACCAGAAGCAAGCCCCACTCAGTGAGTCGAGGCCACATTGTACAGACTGAGGTCTTCTGCTACCCGGACCCCAACAGCTTGAGCTTCGTCACTTCAGCGCAGTGCAGAAAAACTGAGAGCTTCACCGCGGGTTGTAAAGCGGCCGCTGCTTGGTGCAGCCCCGACGGGTGACATTAATCGTGTAGACACCCTGAGCTGCCTCGCAGCGCGCCATGCACTTTAGGAGCGAAAAGCAAGCGGAAGCATTGCGTGGTCTCCAAGACTGCGCCTTCATGGGATCTGCTGACTCGATGTGCAGGGAAAGTTGGCGGCTGAAGCCTGACTGCGTTGATTTACAATTGCGTTGGCGCAGTGTCTCCGCAAACACTGTCTCGTGAAAGGCTGGCGCAAGGAGTGACACAATCAATGCCTGAAAGCATGCAGGCGGGCGCACACAATCAGATGGGTGTCCGGCCCACATCGAGTGGAAAAACCTCCGAGACAGGACACGTTGCAAAGGCGTCCTATCCCCAAAAACCTAGAGCCTTTCGTAGCAGATCAAACAATGACGTACATCATGCAAGAGATCCGGGGGAACGATGAGGGAAATCGCGGAGAGGAAATACATACTACTGGAATCAAAGGCCTACCGCACATTTCGGATTTTCGGAGGTTGCGACAGTCTGGCTGAGGCAGCTACAGGCGTGATGTAAAGAGTTTTCACTCGAGTGCGAGCGCCTCAGGTTTCCCACATGATGATTTGTATCAACTTGGGGGCCACCTCTGCTGACACCTGTTAGCAATCGCTGCCGCCCAATGAGGCGGCCCGGTGAACGAATGTGACCATCCGCCATCGCTAAATGAATGAGGGGGCAGGATTGAGAAAGTTGATCAACTGCCATCACTCTTTGAAGGGGCGTCGGTTCAAGAGGTGCAATCGTCCGCCATTGCAAATTAATGGGGCGGGTTTGAGAAACGTGTCTGACCGCCGTCGCTTAATGAGGCGGGTTCAAAGATATGATCAACCTCCGTCGCTCAGTATGGGGGCTCTTTTTCTGAGAGAAAACTATGGTCCGTTCCCGGCTCAGGTTTCCTGTAAGTTCCGGTCCTCCCCTGCTCCTGCCGGGGCTGGGAACACATGCCATTTGGGCTTCAGAGGTGACAGCAAGAAGAGGACCGCTCCGTCGTTCGTCTTCTTCCTTAAGCTGGGCCTCCTTGATACTTTCTGCTGCCGCCTGCTGTTGGCGTTGCACCCGTTTGTCTTGTAATGCGAACCCTGAAACTCTGAGCCCCTCTGTAGCCTGCGCTGTTGCAAGGTCCCGGCCTCATGCCTCTGGTGATGCTGCTGCTCTCCTGTCTCCATGACCAAGGCCCTCACCTCGAGAGGGTTAAGTTGAACTTTGGGGCTTTGGGGCATTTTGGGCTCAAGACAGCTATGCCACTGAATAGAAGTCTGCAGTCGAGTAGCAATGCTGCTTTGGCTGTTCAAGCCTTGCCGTGGGACTTCCGGCGTCGCCTTTTGCGGTGTCTCAATGTGCGACTAAGCCATGGAGCAGACATGACGAAGCCTTCCACAGAACCTTCTGCCCGTTATCCTGCAAGACAAAGTCCACCTGCAACAGTTGGCATGCATACTCTCTGACTTGATGGAAGCCGCATTGGCATTCATCTCTCCACGCTCGGCCTCGACGAAATCATGTGACACGTCGAGTTGGACCTCAGCGAGTGTGGAAGGATGCGACGGCCCTTGCTGTCCAAGATCTGCAAGGCCTGATAGAGTCGTTGTTGTGGCCGAAAGCCTGGAACTAGCTCACCTCCTCACAATACATGCATAAACATCCCAGGATGCAAACCACGACAATCATTGTGCAGAGCCAGCTGGGTTCAAACTAAACACATCCTCGCCTCGAACCCGCATTCCGGCAATCTGGCATCATGGGAAACTTTCGTGTGTGAACATGTGTTCGGACGAGGCGGAAGAAGTGCACCAGGCAGTTTTAAAGCCTGGCGAAGCACCTTCGATATTGCATTGCTTTCGCCCGCACCCACGCTCTTATATACCTGTACCCTGACACGCATGCATGATGGCGATTGACGTGCTGACCAACTATCAGCTCAATACTTAAGTCGCCGCAGGAAGAGGGCCTCCGTCTCTGCTCCCGACAGCTTCGCAACCTGGGAACAATGGAATTGGATCTGGCTGCAACTGCACGATCTTCGTGCGGCATCGCAGGAGAAAGTCCAGTACGTTGAGACTGAGCGAAGAGCGGAAACGCGATACCACTGCTCGGCTCCTGTCCTTTGCTACAAGACTTGAAACTCAAACGAACGATCCGCTTTTGCCAAACATCTGCGACAGTGCGACAGCACGCTGCAGAAAAGTAAGAGCGATGCGCCGGATCCCGCGCGCAAATGTTCGACTCCTTTGGGTTGCCGCCTGCTGAGGCAACGTCTGTTGCATTCGGCGGGTCTAGAGCTGCAAGATGTTGGTGTCATACCAACCTACCCTTTTCGGCTTTGGTATTTAGTGCAATGCTGCTCGGTGCCGCTGTCCACCTTCACGCTGCGCATGCCATCTTGAACGGCTTTGACCAGAAGCTTCCGAAGTCAAAATAGACGGGCCCGTTTACGTGCTTGGCGTCAGGCTTCTGCGCTGAGCAAAGCTCGGAAACTGGGGATGGTCAGGACAGTAAGCGGCGCGATGAAGGTAAAGCACGAATCTCCAGACATTGATCCACAAGCGGAGTCTGAAGGCTTTAAACGGAAACATCCTTAACATCTCGATACTCCACAGACCTCCCACAGTCTGAGACAAAGCAAGAAGGTCATTATGCTCCACATCCAGAAAATCCAGTCATGCAGTTGGTGGACCGTCTGCGGGCGCCGGACTTGTGATTTCACAGGACGGGTGTCGATTTCGAACCTTTCAAGTATATGGCTTCATTCGACCGGCATGGAACCAACTTGCTGCAGGCCATCTGCGGGCCTCTTCAATATTTTCTACACGCAAACCACCAGCGGCTTGTAGGATGTGTTGCTGTGCCATGCTACGTTGGCTCTGGAATTACGACATCTTCAAACGAGCCTTGGCCATGGGGGCGATCTGAACAGTTTTCTCAACAAACTCGACAGCAGTTTCGACTAAACCCCCAGGCCTTTTTCCACAGCAGGCGCGAGGAATGGGCGGTTCGGAAGGCCACCAACTTCACAACCTCCCGTCGCCAAGGCAGTCTGAACTCCGTCAGTTTCTACACCTCTGCCGCTGAGAACCTGCTTCTGGCTCCGCGTCAATGGAGAAGGTCTCCATGGAGAAGTCCAATGTGGCCGACTGAGCACCGTGCTCGTGTAATTTTGTACGAGCTTCTTGGCCTTGTGAGCTCGCTGCGTAGCTGAACTCCTGCGGGGAGAAGCGAGGCTGCAGATCCACCTCGCAGAGGCATTCTCCACCCGGATTAAGGAAGAGGTCATCAGCATGTGTATGTCACATACATGTTTGTACATGCAGGCATGCATGCATACATACATGCATACCAGCAACCAACATAACGTAACATAACATCCATCCATGAGTCCATCCGTCCATCCGTCCCCATCCGTCCCCATCCGTCCCCATCCGTCCCCATCCGTCCCCATCCGTCCCCATCCATCCCCATCCATCCATCCATCCATCCATCCATCCATGCAGCCTGCCTGCCTCAAGGTTGCACAGTTCCTGAGTAACCTACATAGTTTGTGTATTATGTCTACATGCACCTCTAGATATATATATATATATATATACACACATGTAACAAATAGAGTTACAAATATTGATGTAGAAAGTATGTGTGCAGTATGTATGTATGTATGTATGCATGTACGTATACATGCATAATTACAGACTGCACACATAGTTTCTACATAAATATGTGTAAGTCCATCTACATCTACATGTGTATGTATATGTATATGTATATATATATATATATGGCTAAAGGTGCAGGTATACAAAATACACAGACACTATGTAGATTGCTCACAAACTGGGCAACCTTGAGGTAGATGCACATGAACTGCTGCATTGCGTGGGCGCACCGCGTGGTCTGTGGATCGAAGCTGCATTGCCGCCAGTCCGCATGGCCTGATCCCATCGGCAAGGGCCTCAGGAATCCGTGTAACTGCACTCAGTACTGAAACAGTAGGATGCCGACTAACTGCACAAACATTACTGCAACTATTGCTATTGCCAATGCTATCAGTAATACAAGTATACTATCGTTTGGCGTATAATTGACAGCTCGCATTGTCGTCATTCCTGTTCTGGGTACCCTCCTCCTATGGAGCCTTCGAATTCATCTGTATGTGGCACTCAGGCCACAACTCTCCCTGCCCAGGCAAGTGCCAGCGCATGCCTGCGAAACATGGGGAGTTTTGGAAGGAACCCCTCGAAATGATAGGCCCTAGTGGCCCCAGTGGATCCTTATCTATCATAAGGATCCCCAAGCCTGCATATATGTCAATCCCCACATGGATCCATCATGGTCAGCGGCAGAATCGCACTTTGCGCAGCAGTCAGCATGCCTGCGAAGAGCGGGTGGCAGCAGCCGCATTCAGCATGAGGCTTTTCTGGACTGTGGTGAGGTCTCTGACTGGGCTAGCGTACGCTGATTGTCTCAACTGTGCTGAAGGGATGTATCAGAAAGGGAGTCATCAAAAGTAGTGCTCTTTAACTGAGTCTGTCGCAAGCTTGAGCTGCAAGCAGAAGCTGAGGGGAAAAAGCACAAGTCCGACCAGGATCGAGAGATGAGACTCTTCTCAACCATGCTATGCTTTACAGTGGTGGATTCGTATGAGACAACAAGGCAGCGAGACCGTTCTTCCTCATCCACTCCTTCACCTTCGAAGCCACCATGTTGAGAACAACGCTCCAAGCAAAGTGCACGAGCAGCCCTCCGATCCTCCGATCCCGGCCTTGCCGCTCATAGAAGGGCATGGATCGGGTGGACGCAGCCTGAGCTGCTAGAAGCTTTACGAGAGCTTTCTGTGAGCACCAGCTCAAGGCCGCAGCGCGCTCTGATGGTGCCGAAGATCCGGCCTTGTGATGCACAGCGTTGCACTGGAACAGCATGGAAAACCCTGGCCTGTCGAGCAGCACCCCGTTGTCGGGAGCGGCTGCGGTCTAACCGCTTGACCTCGCGAGTCTTGGAACTTGCAGGTCGAATCGACTGGTGCACCTAATCTATGCCAGTGAAGCCGAGGTGATGGCCGCACGAACGACGGCATCCAAGGTGTCACTGGTGCCTTGGGGCTGTGTACAGTTGCTTTTCTGCTCGTGATTACCGAATCATGGTGACGATTCCAGTGTCCAGTCGAATGCAATGCTGCTGCAAGTCCTGCAATCACCACCCTGTCTACCAAGTTGTCAAGCCATCTTACCCTAAACCGCAATCTCTTTATCCTCAACGCCGCTGCAGGTGTCGGAACATTTTTTGCTGCAGCATTCGTCGTGTCGCAATCCGGATGCCTTCAACCCAAAAGCCCACCCCATCGATCCACGTTCTCGACAACGATTTCGATCCGACTTGGCGGCGGATTTGCCAAAACAGGACTGTCCTTCGACTGCACGACTCGAAGCTGCTTCAAGGAGTTCGAAGTGAAGAGCTGGCTCAGGCCATTGGCGAGGTCCATGGACACAGTGGCGAAAAGGGCCAAGATCTCCAATCCTAGATTTACGCCGCCCTCCCTCTGGTTGCCCACTCGATGGTTCTAAGGCCTTAAGCCCCCAAACCCTAAAGCGTATGCCCTGCTGTGGCTAGCGATGAGGTCAACGAGCTGAAGGTCCGATGGCTCCGGGAGAAACTAGGCGGGGTTAAGGGTAATCCAATCATCTTCCAAACGTTTGAACAACTGTTTATGAGCAGGCTTCCCTCTCATCTATCCTGGTCCTAGTCCGAAACCAACAGGAGAAAACGGCGCATCAATTGGTACCTGGAATCTTGGGTGGGCTGCCAGGCTGGGAAGTATCTGCCCAGTCCAGCCCCAGAAGGGCACCACATCCAACTTGCGAAGCTGCTGGCAGTCACGTAGCAGGTTCTGTAGTTCGCCGTCATGTGCCTGCAAGCCTGTCGGGAGGCGTCGGCTCCCCTGCATCACGCAAAGTTCCTCCAAGGACTGCAAGCACCGGAGCTGCACAAAAGGTGTTCCGGGGGCGTCGAATCCGTGCAAGATGAAAGGAGGTGCTTTGAAATGCACGACCCGAAGGTTTGGAAAACTCTGGAGAATCCTCAACGGCCTCCAGTCCCACAACTCCAGCTTTAAGCTTCGAAGGTTTTGGAGGCGAGACATCTCGCGTGCCCTCGTATGGGAATAGGTCTATCTCTTCGAGCTCAGGCAAGTGGCGGCTGATGGCCTTCATAGTGTCTTCCGTTAGAACGTGCTTCCGACCGTACTTGGACCGTTCCTTGCTAAGCCACGTGGCAGGGAAGCGGAGCACCTTGGCCTGTTTCCATTTCGGCTGTGCTAGCAGGCTGTGGAAGCTCGAGGAAGTGTCCGTCGGAAACCAGCATGTGCCTCCCTGCTTCCCCACCTCCGACAAGTCGAGGCATCTGGGCCAGTATCTCTTCAGCACCACCCGGCTTTTCCTTGACAAATTCTCCAGCTTCACGAAAGTCGGAGGGGAGAGATACCCCAGGAACATCACCAGGACCAGCTCCTTGGCCACCAGAGCATCCCAGAAAGCCAGTGCTGCGGCTGCCGCGGGCGCCCTCTCGATTGCCGGAGCGGGTGGCGTTGGCGCAGGGAGAAGCCGCGGCCTCTTTGGCTGGTTCAGGGCTTCGCTGCCCGACGGGGTCTGAGCGAGCTGCCGCCGCAGCAGCGTGATCTCCGCCTGGAGGCCTTGGATCTGAAGATCCCGCACCTGCGGTATTCAGATCCGAACCCGGAACAAACCCAAGAGCATCCTAAACCCGAAACCGCCACGAAGATTGCAACAGTGTTGGGGCCCCCTCGGCCTGCACCAACTCGAGGGCGTCGTTCAGCTGCTGCTGCAAATCGGCCATGGCTTCGATGCCACTTGCGTGATACAGAAATCTACAGCATTACATTTATGTAGCGTTTTGAATGGTGATTCTGGGGGCTATGACGGCTATGAACATGTGATCATGGGCAGTATGTATTTAGGATCATACAAAAACCTAAAGGGGATGATATAATATAAGTAACTATCTAATCTCTCGTAGCACCGCGTGCTGGCCAAAAATCGTTTACTTTCTAAGCCGCTCGACGGCGTTTCAAGCCTCGAGCAGTCGAAAGTATCTGAAGGGTCCTTGAAGTCAAAAAGGCACGTGTACAGTTTAGGGATTCAGGGGTGTGGGCCGATGGGAATTGGGGGTGCAGGGTATTTAATTGGTGGTATTTAGGGTATAGATTGGTAGAAAAGGTTCAAACAGTTCGGATTGTTCTTTGTAGGATGGATTTACCACGACATGCAACCGACCACTCGGTAAGGATTCGGCGTCGCTGCTGCTCCGTGAGGCTAGCAATCGCTCGACCGTGACGCGCCGTGTTGTCCTGCGCTCCAAGGGCAATGGCAGCCTGCAATTTGTCGCAAGGTTTCAACGAACAGCTACTTCGGCCCAGGCACCGACACCCCGGCGAGCGAGAGATCCAGCTCTGATGTGCCTTGCGCAAGAGACTGAGTCTGACGCCCGCCTGTCGTGGCCGGGAAAGCTGGGTGAAAGGCGATCCACGACTTCGCCGATGATCTGCGTGCTGCTGAGAGCTGCCTCTGCAAGCGACGCAATGTGCCCTGGTCCCTCTATGTCCCTCTTAAAGCGGCCTGCACTCCTTCCCGGAGCTCCAGGCATTGAACCAGGGCTTCCCGGTGTTGCAGCAGCTCCTCGCGAGGAAGCGCCCGAAAGCAAAACGCCCCGACATCTTCAGCGTCTCTGTCGGCCACTAGCTGCAACTGCAGTCGCTCCAGCACGCTCTCACGCACCTCAGGGCTCACTTGCTTGAACCTTCGGTGCTGTGCCACAGTTCCACAGGCTTTGGTGCCTCCAGACATTGTTCCAGGACTTGGCGGTGCATCAGCATCTCCTGCAGAGCTCAAAGCAACCACTCCAGAGCCGAAGGCCTTTGTCCGGAGCTGCTGGGCCTGGGCCAGTTTGCCGACCTCCGTGCGCAACATCGACACCTGCGATGCTGGCGAAGTCGTGATACGTACAGTCTTCACCGAGATCGACTGACGGGCTGCCTCGTCTGCCGATGCCTGCAGAGACAAACAGATTGATCATGGCATTGGGCCAGGTCTATTGCGAGAAGCGCTTTACCTGCCCCTGCCTCTGCCGTTCCGCTCTCTTCGGAAGTCATGTTGGCAAGACGCGAGGAGGTCGGACCAGACTGGCTGCTCATTTGCTAAGGCCTTCGCTGCGTGCACTAGGGATCACCGATTCTCCGCCAGGATTCCTTGACGAAATTATGACTTGGAGCCGATGGCCTTGAGCGGCATCTTGGCAGAAATTGATGCACGTTCTATGCCGATTCCCTGAGACACGCCCGCGCTCCAAGCCAAGCTGAGCAGTCGATACTACTTGGTACGGTATAATCATACCGAACGGGGATGAACAGGTTCTGCGTCCGATGCGACTTCAAGCACTTGGCATGCGCAGAAGTCGGCAACCAAGATTTCTTTCGCGCAGCACTCGGCCAGACCCTCAGCAAGGCGCTGCGGACTGCAGCATCACGCGGCCTCGTTTCAAGACGTTCAAGAGGGTAGAGCTCCGCGAGCAACGAGTCAATACTGACCAACTGTGAAAAAAGGACTCGTGTTGTAAGCGGCTGGCTGAGGTGGCAGTGAGTGGAAAATTCGGCTTTGCCTGCCAAAAAGCGACACCACAAAGCTCTGATGCACCAACGACCTAAACCTAAAACCTATTCCCAGTCTCAGAAATTGCTGTTCTGCAGTCTGCAGCTTCACACAACTCACAACCATCGGCCGATAAACCAGGCAGTGTTTCCGCAGAAGTTCTTGGCACGTTCAAGACCTTGCAAGGGCTTGGGTCAGCAAGCACAAGAATCCATGCGTGCATTCACATCTTCGGCATGCACCGCAGGCGATGGACCAAGCAACGCAGCTATATTCATTAGCTATTGCCATTGCATGTCGGACCCTGTTGGGTTTCCACGATGGGAAGTGGAGATATGTGACAACGATGACCATAACGATGATCACAACTAGAATCATCACTATGTCTCGGTAGGCATGGCCTGGCCATCATGATGACGACTATGGCTATGATAGGTGCGTGGCCGTGCCAGTGGACGTAAGAACGGTGATGGTAGGATTTAGGGAAGATTACCTTCGGCACCAACGGCTGTATGCGCGCCGCACAGGCCCCATTTCCACGGTGCACTCTCAGGTCCGGGCGGTCAAGCTCACCTGAAGGGACGTGGAGGAACTGAAGATGGCCTCTCTCTCGCTGCATTGCCTTCGGAAGGATCCGAACGTCCACCTCCTCCATGAGTTCCGGCATTTTCTGCGAGGGACAAGGGGCATCAGAGAAGGACTGCAGCTCGCAGCTCGGAGCTCTGCGAGTGCCTTTTGGTAGTAGGCGTAGAGCTGCCGGGGCGTCGGGGGTTCTTGGCCCTGGCCCCAAAGCTCACCCAGAAAAAGGCTTTAAGAAGCCCCCCCCCCCCCGTTTCCTGCGCTGGCCTCAGGGAGCCGCTCCCAGCGGTTCCGCACCGGGTCATGGAAAGCACGGACCAAGGGCACCTCACAAGGAAACGGCAAAGGCCGCAGCTTGCAAAAAGCACGGCATGATGTCCAAGTGCAGGTGAGGGACACTCTTGTCGTCGAACATAGGATCGCAGAAGTGCGGTTGGCCTTCTTGCCACTCGGGGGCCTCCGCAAGAGAGTGGCAGTTCAACGTTCTCAGGCCTCTCCCGAACAGCTTCAACATCAATTTGCCTTCACACATGCGTAGAAGACGCCTCCGACGACCAAAACCCTGCCAGGCCCGTGGAAATCTCGCATGCATGTGTTCAACTCGATGAGTTTCGAGGCAGTGTGAGCTTAGATCGACACACAGTTGCCGGCCACCAGCTGGAGTACATCCTGTCCTTAGTTCACAGAGCACGGTTGCGGATGTCAGGTCTTCGCAGAGATGGGTATCGCGCATTCACCGCATGCCCCCACGACGAAGCTTCAAATTAATCTTACTGAACCTCGAAACATGGCACCTTCATGGATTCAACCCAATCTTCGACTAGCCTGGCGTGTTGAAACACTGTTACCTGACATTGCTTGACATCAAAAGTCTGAAGACACCAGCGCCGTCACCAGACTGCATTTGCAAGGGCCCGTCTTCGAAGGGGGCGGTAAGCGCAGACATCTGTTCGTATGGTGGATCGACTTCTTTGCAGCGATGGGGGATCCTGAAGAATGGGCGGGTCGGGCGATTCAGCGTGCCGGAATTAGAACCGCCTGGTTCACACTCCGGCCCTCTGTGAGGGGTTTCGTCGTTTATGGTATACCCTTCCAGCCTTACAGCTGTAACGAAACTGAGGAGATTGCTTTGCACAGGAGCAGGTCCATCTCACAGACACGCATCAGAACACGCGACTGTCCAGCTGTATCTGCCGAGTCTCAAAGGGAATGTCATTCCGCTCACCGGCAGCATATCGCCGATAACGTTCCTGCACGAAGCGACGCCTAGAAGTTGCGGGCTTTCTTGCGATCGTACCAGTGATTCCCAAGTCCTTGCGCGCTTCTCTTTCATCCGGAGTTTCCTGCAACTTGATACTGCCGAGTCAGGACTGAAACCTTCGGGACAGTGCTGTCCGCTGTCCTTCTCCCAATGTTCCGTCCACCTTTCTCTCTCGACCTGCGCGGTTGGTCACCAGGTTTACGTTACGGCCCCGTGAAGCGGCACTCTTATGCACCTATATATATATATATATATATATATATATATGTATGTACAGCAGGCTTATATAGCAGACATATGCGTGTATGTGTGTATATATAGCTTTCTCTGTAGGGCATGTGTATAAAGATATGCATACATACACAATATTGTATGTGTATGTGTATATATATATGTACACATATACATGCGCTCCTGCGTACACATGTTTGCATGCTTTTACATACATATATATATATATATATAAACATATATATATATATATATACATATATATTTATATAACTGTAAATACGTGTGCGTGTTTGTGTATGTGTGTGTATACGGCTGCATGTATCAGAATAACAAAGAATATGACACAATAAAGCATAGCGGATATGAAATCATACCCGATAGCCCCATGCCAGTAAATAGCATATCATGTAATGCATTGCCATGTAACATATTGCAACTTGATATGATATAGTACAGTATGACATCACATGATATGGTGTAGTATGCTACACTGTAATATAGTATAACACAATCTAACAGTGCAATGCAACTTAGTGTAGTACGTACAAGACAATGTACTATCATAGAATTTGCTCCGACGTTATACGTGCATAACATGGTAAGATGTACTACAACATAGATAGCATAACATACTGTGGTATGGTATAGTGATGTACTAGAACACAATATCATAACGAATAACATAGCTCTGTGATTGTATGGTAGTATGGTTTACTATATTAGAGCATGTTTTGAGTCATGCATCCTTTTATTGATTCTGGCATATTGTCTTAGTCTTCTGTCTCCTTCCTACTTTAATGTTGCTTTATCTTATACCGTCTTTATAGCCCATGATATCTTGTAAGAGCTCATAATGTCTCATTCTGTATACGTTACATATATACACACACTCATATATTCTCTTCTGGGCGCCTCTTGCGTGACCCCGGTGCCGAACTTGCTGAACTGCAGGTCCTGCAAGACGTTCCCTAGACCCGAAGGCCTTACCGAAACATTATACCCCCAAACCCGGAAACACCAAAACCCAAAAAGAACCCAAACCCCGCCCTCAAAGCCCCGGAACTCTTAGCACTCCACTCCTGGTCGTAGAGGGCCTTCTTCCAGGAGTCGCTGAGCCTCGGAGCATCATGCAGCGCGATGATATATATATATATATATATACATATATATATATATAATCATAACAACACTCACAATATATTAATATTTATATATACATACACACTTATTTATGGAAGATATATATATATATATGTATATATACATATATGTATTCTACATCTAGGATAGAGTAAAGTTTTCCTGCTGTATACAACAGGTCTATTATAAACATGCATACATACATCTATCCATCTATCCATGCATACATACATCCGGACATATACGCGTACATACTGGAGATGCAACACAAGAACTGTACCGCCTCAAACATTTCCGCAAGCGATGAGATCCAGACGTGGCATGAGCTTCCTGGATCTCCTTGAACCTGGTCTCGGCCTGGCAAGATGATGAAACAAAGAACCGGATTTGGCTGGCTTTGGGTGGTTGGGTGGTTTAGGGTGCTTTTCCACAGCTTCGAGTCTGAAAGCGGCTTAGGGTGTAGGATTCATGCAGGATGAAATGAAGCACGGTGCAAAAGAGGGCTCAGATACGGCTTGGTATGAGGCTTTCATTCATGTAAGGTATTCAAGAAAGGGTTTATGCAAGCTTCAACGGGAGGTTCATGTTGGGTTGATTTTTAAGCTTCATGTAGGGCTTCTAGAAGGTGTTGGGGTTTCGAAGAGGCTCCTCGAAAGCGGAAGGGAGATGTGCTTCGAGTATGCCGGATTAAAGATTAGAAGCAAAAGGATTTCAGGCAATGCTGCCTCCGGATCATCAACATTCCGATCCGGATGGTACCGCTTCGCAAGGCGTCGGTACCTGTGGAGACAGAGCAACCAACAGAACTCCCCACAGCCATGAGCTACTGCTAGCAAACCTTTAAGCCGGAACTCTTAACCCAAGACCTCGCAGGGGCACGCTTCCTTAATCTCCTCCTTCTTTGCCTTCTGAGGCACCTCCAAGATGTCGTAATACCTTGCAAAAGGCATCCCCAACGAATCGTTTCGAAAGACTCAAGAAGCTGGGCCTCCCACGTCCGGCTCCTGCTTTGGGCCTTCGGACGGGACGAGGACGAAGAGCTTTCGCTTTCGGCCTGGTCTGCACTTTAGCCGGCGATGTCAGCTCGCGATGTGCCAGGATTCTCTCTGAGCTACTATGGCTGCTCTATGATGTCTCCCCTCCGGTCGTGACTCAGAAGGTCTGACGGTAAGCGATGCAAGCCAGCTGACAATCCGAGAGCCACGCGGAGAAGAAGCGCAGCTGCTCCTCGGCCTGGGTGCATGGAGTGATCGGGCTTCGAACCTAGGCCAAAACGGCTGTAGAGGCACCGCACCCTGATGGCCGGCCGCAGCAAGCACCTGCACTCACCGTGAGGCGACTGGGAGACTGAGAAGTGTCATTGGCATGCCACCTCGGAAGCAGCGGTCGAATCAAAGCCGGTTTGAAGAGGCCGGCCCGAAGCATTGTGGGGGTTGGGGTTTAGGGTTTGTGGGTTTGCTTCAATGACGCACCCTGGAGTCCTCCATGCATTGGCTTGCTGTCTGTACCGCTCAGAACTAGCATCGTCTATTACAGGTCCGTTAGATGAAACTTGTCCAGACGTCTCTCGGTCTGGCGTTTCCTGGAGTTTCCGTGGCACATTGTCGAAGCTGGCAGCCCAAGGTAGCGCAAGTGGACAGCATCAAGCATGTCCTGACTTGAGAACACAGGCACCTCACCGCGTGTGCAGAGTTAACTTTTTCAGATTCCGCAGCTCTGAGAGATACCTGCATAAACAACCCTGCCCCGAATGATCCCCATTTAGGCTTCCCACGACCCCACGCTGCGGGATTGGCACAGGCATACAATGTTAAGAAAACCCTAAATCCTAAAACCCCTTGACCCTTCAACCACAAACCCTTCGGCCTTTAACCCCCTTCACCCTTAAACCTTTCAACCCTTAGACTAACACCTCTAAGCAGCCTTAAAACCAGAACCTCTCGGCCGTATCTGAGCCGATGCTTTGCGCGCTAAGGGCGGGGGTGCCAATCCCGAGCAGGGAAGCCATGACTTGGATGCGGGGTTAGAAGTACCAAGCAGCAACGGCATTATATGACGGACTAGGGAAATTAGATGTATGCTGGTAGTGTAGCAGGGCTATACAACATAGTAAAACCGGGCAAGATGGTAGTACATTATACAGTATACGATCATCTGTTCATGGCAGCAGTACATCTTAGGCCCTAGGCACTTCCAGCCTCTCTTACCATGTGAGACCTTTCTCCGAACAGAAGCTTACACGAGGATAATACACGCACCGCTTCAACAGAAGCAGCACCCCGTGAGCTTTGTGAAACCGTAGCATGTACAAGTGGTGCTGGACGAGCTCACCTTCCGAGACAGCATGGCAAGGCGCTAGGAATGCTGGAGGCATTGACGCAGAGAGGCCAAGACGGAGGTGCGACGAGCCTGGAACCTCGCCCACGCCCACGTTTTGCAGCAGGAACCTGCACCTTGGCGCTCATATTGCACGCAAAGGCGTAGCCTTATCAGTCGACCGAAACTGAGCTTCGCACACGGGCGGCAGGGCGCGCGAGAACTCGCGGTGACGAGGACAAGTCCTGACAAACAAGCCTGCTGCAGATGTCTTTGCCAAGCATCACTTCGCCACGGAACTGCCTCGCCCTGGCGAGAAGCCTTGCTGCCTGCGATGTATACGAAACTCAGAAAGAGATATAGCCAATGCGAATGTGACCGAATGTGTCAAGTGTGTGTGCGAGCTGAAGGAGAACATGAGAGCAGCCTCGCCCGCCACGCCCACGTTGACCCGCACTGCCTCGCCCCGTCGCGCTGCCTCAGGCAACGTCCGACTCGTCCTTTTCGATTTCGCTTCCGGGCCCTCGCCTCTGCCCCTGCCAACGGATTCCTTCTTCGGGGGCTGCTTAGCCGCCGCTGGCCCTTAAACAATGCACTAGGTTGCCATGACATGGCGTGCCCTTGCATTGCGGACTTAGGCTAAGACTCTTCATGGGCTTCCTGCGCAGCCGTCAAGGTAGGCACAGCAATGAAATGTCTGGTCCAGATGTGGCTGACGCAGTCCTGACAGCACTGACTGTTGCGACCTTCTGAGACTCCGTGCCCTGACAGATTCAATTTCGGCATCGAGGCTCGGGCGATCCGATTTGTCCCTGGAGGCATAAAGCTGTAGCCTGTGACTGCGAGCTTGTGTGCTCCAGCGATTGCCACAGGGGGGCGCCATCTGGCCTGCGCAAGGTCTTGAGGCCCATAAAGGGGCCTTTCCTCAAACATGCGACCTAGGTGATATACGACTGCGAGAATTTAGCAGCAAACTTCGGAATTCCATTACAGCAATATGATCTTACGATAGTAACTACAAAAGGCTCAAGTCGGGCCTGCCCTTGGCGGGAACAGGGCCTGGAGGGCCTCGTGCAGCAAAAAAGTAGCTCTACATCCCCTGCCAAGGACCCGTCGCTCTGAGGCAGCGGCCGGTGGCCCGCTTTGCACCCGAATCTCAGGCTTCGCGCTGTGGGATTCTGGGGCCAGCGAAAGGCTAAGAAGCTGCAGCCCAGTGCCTGAAGCTGATGGCGGTTCCGCAGAGGCCTCGAAGACGAGGAACCACGCAATAATATATATATATATATATGTTCACGCAATAACCTTCCGACGGAAGCGAAGAGGGCCGGGCAGAGTCTGCATGGATCGGAGGCAGTCCTCGAGATTCTTCGGCATCCCGGTGCAGAAGTCTTCAAGTTAAGTCACCCCTCATGGCACCCAAAAAATTTCAAAACCCATAAGCAACTCAATTAGACCTTTAACCCTAAAGACCCCAAACCCAAAAACAACAAACTCTGGGACACATATGCCCAAACACTGCCCAAAAACCCTATGACCGTTAACCCCGAAAACCGCGTCGAACCCGGTACCAGAACATGCTGTCCGGGACCAGTACTGGTCCTTTGATCAAGTCTTACCCTAAACTTCAAGCTCAAAAATGCCAGCAGGCTTGGCAATGTCTGGGGCCTCTAAAGTGCATTCAAACGAGTGCTGTGGAATGAATTTAAGCCTAAACCTAAACGCTGAAAGAATTGGGTCTGGGTGGTTTAGCCGCTTTCTACAGCGTTGAGTGGGAGAGCAGATGACAGCTCAATGCAGAAGTACGAGGCACTCGACACGACCCTGTCGCAAGATACCGTCATATACTGTCGACTGCGCGCTATTCTAAGGCAAACCCTAAACCCTAAGCCCTAAACCCGAAGCCCTAGACGTGGAACTCAATAAGCCCTAAACCCTATACGCCCTAAGAACGAAACCCTGAGCCCTAAGTCAAACCCAAAGCCCTGCGCCCGTAAGCCCTAAGCCCGAAACTCTAAGCGCTACGAGCTCTGCGCCCTAAGCCCCAAACCTGAGCCCGAAACCCTAAACCCACGTGCAACTCCGATGCTGACCTCGCTCCCTTGACTTTGGCGGGTCGTCGGGCACCCCTGGCAGCTCAGGAGGGCAGCTGGTCGGTACATGTATTGCTTTTTGCCTTTCTGTTAACTATTCCGAGTCTTCAAACCGTGTGTTGTTTTGTTGTATGGTGTATCGTATTGTTTTGCTTCTTGTTTTATTCGTGTGGTATTGCATGTGTAGTCATGTGCACACATATTATGCTTTATCCAGGATGCATCTATGACGGAACTACAATCTAGCCAAAAGTAGTGTAATTCCGCCTATGCTGTAAGCATACCACAGCTGACAGCTAGAGTATATCTGTCATAACTATAGTATAGTATAGTGTAGTATTAGTATAGTATACGACAGTATACTATGCTCTAGTACAGTATACGGTACTATACCATACGTAACGCGTACTACAATGTAGTACACACTTTAGTACATGGTTATGTCGACTTCTGCTCCTCGCAACACTTGCCAGGCCGGCGGTCTACGCAGTCAGCGACAGCCTCTCACAAAGAGAGCACTCTGCCATTTTTGAGAACTTAGGGTTTCGGGTTTAGGGGCTCAGATTTAGGGCGCTGAGTGCCTTTGAAAGTTTTGAAGACTTTATGCTTTAAGGCTTTAAGCTTTAAGGGCTCGGGGTGGCTTCGGCCTCAAAGCGCGGCGTGAGGTCCCTCGGCTCCAGGTACCAGGTCCTGCCATGAGTGAGGATTGGAACTCCTCGAAAGGTCTCCGAGACATCCCCCCGAGGCCGCAGCTCCATCCGCCACCTCGAAGCAAACACGCAAGCACCGGGTCGAAATGAGGTCGGGGCATCTGAGACTCACACCACTACTGCTGCCGCCGATCTAAAAAATCATCTTTCCCGGAGCTCAGCGGCTGTGTCACTTGGTTGTCGACTTTGGGGAATCGTACGGGCTTGATGTCAGGATTTCGCTTGTAGCAGATAGGAAGACAGTAGGGGTGTGTTCGGGTTCGGGGGTGGGTCTGCAGGTCAGCTCTCCGTGTTCTGGCAGATGTCCTTGCCTTTGCAACGCTGCCTGTGCTTAACTTCCTGCCCCGGACAGCTGCAGATGCATATGCTACGCCACCAAAGCAGGTACTTGAGATCGCCAGCGAAGATTTATTACGACCGAAGTAGCGGTACCTACCTGGGTGAAAAGAAGTCGGCCGGAAGAGGGGGCTTAGCAGAGTGTCACTGTTCACATCGACACGAAAACCTGCAGACGTTTTTAATTCTTGAATCGGTTTTGGAAATCTAAGCCAGCTAGCCAATGCTTAGACTCTAGACCGGTGTTGGACGATCGAGTTGACGGCTACTGCTTCTCTTAGGTGCGGCTTGGCTTGGCCTGACCTGGTGGCTTGGCCTCCTTTTTGGTGCTCCCAGGTGGCTTGGCCTACACACCTCAATGTGCGAAGACGCTCGTATGAGGGCAGCCCCTGCCCATGCGGCGAAATCATGCTACGGGTTTGGAAAGGAGCCGTACAGGAGCTGAAATGTGAATCACGGTTCTCGGAATGGCATGAAGTTACTCTGAGCTTTACAGCAGGCTTGCTCGGCTTCAGCAACCCAGGGTAACCGAGCTTTAAAGCAAAGGTGAGGTGCGCTGGAGCGCGGCAGATTCCAAAAACCAGAAGAAGCGGACAGAAAGAATTGCATTAGCACGAAGGATTACGTTATGGCATGTCGTTGCAGCTCGAATCGACCTGCCGGAGATGATTTTCCGCACACCGCTGTGCACTGTACATGCGTGTGGGTCTTAAGGCTTTTTGTCTGCGATCTACTGCCACGCCATACGCTCCACAGTGGAGAAGGACTCGATGTGCCTGTACCTGGCAAGGATTGGGCGTGGGGCTTTGGGCTAGTGCTTCAGGATGCGAAGAGTGTCACTTTTAACCCATGGAAGAATTGCCATCTGCCCAAAGATGGTGTCGTGGGGCAGCCTCCCAGGCAGAGTAGGGAAACTCCGAAGCTGCAGAATGGCAAAGGAAGCTGCGGGCCTGTTTCCTTCTGCATCTTCTCGTAGAGATCCCGGTCTTGTCTGCTGGGCCTGATGGGATCACGACCGCCTTCACGAAGACTTTGGGTTGACTTCGGCAAACTACCTGAAGCCCGCGACGTAGGACTGCTCCGACAGGACAGCCTCTCAAACTTGCTCTCCGCCGATTTGCGTTTGAAACTCTTGCGCTGCGCCTCCAATTTGGAGACATCCGAGGTCGAAGCCGCACCTAAGCTGAGGGAGCCACCACTGCCCCCTAAACCCTCCAGACACGCCCAAGAAGATCCTACCCCGACCAGTACTGGCCGAAACCAAGGCTCATGCCTTTCGTCGAAGCTACCGGCTGTGGCGCCGATGCCGCTGCCCCGGTCGCTGGGGCCTGCTCTCAGCGCAGCCGGGGCCCCTGTGCTTTGGTTAAAGCTTTTTGCTGGGCAGCTCTGCACAATGCTTACCCACCCTCTGGCCGTTCACAGCGCATTCGTGTGGAGTTCAAGCAGCTTTCCCGTCGGAGTGTTTGGCCTCCACCTCAACAAGCATTGAGCCCTAAACCTTAATATCCTACGGTTCAACACTCCGAAACCCTAACACCTCAAAACCCTTGACCCCAAGGCAGACAATCAAACGCACCTAACAGCCCCAAAGCCCTAAAGCATAAGCCCGTAAGCCTGTATCCTAGTGCCCCAACCTGCACCGCCACTCCCCACGACCCAGCCTGTCCGCCAAAGTAGCTGTCAACCTTTGCCAGGTCCTCATCGCGAGGGGCTTCGGAAGACCCGCGCTACACAACCCTGTCAGGCTTCTACTTGTAGGGTTCAGGGCTTCGGCTCAGAAATTAAATTCAGGGTGTTGCGAAACCCGAGATAGAAAATCACCCCACGATGCAAGCTCAGAGCCAGACGTCTATGGGGACATCTTTCTGCTTGAGATCGTCGGGGTCTGTCGCCTTGAAGTTGCGGAGGTCCTGGCGGAAGCAGATTTGTAAGTAAGCTCTGGAATTACGGGCCCCTGACTCTCCACGATTGATCAGCAACTGCTCTGCCGACATATGCACATGAAAAGCACGGTCCTTGATGCGAACTAAGCCCTTGGACCACTCATCCGGAGCGACAAATGCTATTCTCTCTGCGCCAGCACGGTCTGCATAGTTAAAGGCCTGAATGGCAGACGCGGACTAAAGATCACTTACCGTCCGAAGGATTCCTGCATCACGTTCTCGAAAACTAACTAGTCGACATGCCATGCCACGACTGCTTCAAATGTGCCCCACCTTTGCAACTTTCTTCGATGCTTCCGCATAGACCTTTCATCGAGGCTTCAGATGGTGCATCAACGACTCATGCAGTCGCTCATTCAGTCAGTCACTCATTTACTAAGTGACCCACCGCAGCTGAGAGGCGTAGGAAGCAGGCAAGCTAAATGAAAAAACTGCTCGTACCATCGTTCCGGCTGTGGCTTTGATCGTTGCTGTCGTTATTCCAGCAGCAGCTGAGGCTCTGGCATCAACGGACTTGCCTGCCTTGCGCAGCAAGCGCGCGACTTGCAGTGCCTGAATGTCAGCTCATCTCTCATGCTACGCTCATGCTGGACCCTTGAGTCCACCCACACCCGAACTTTGTCTTTCTTCCTCCCTTGTCTCAGCCTGGAAAAGGGACTGGGCCGTAGCCGAGTGCCCTTTTCAGCACAAGCTCCTCACAGAGTTGCTGATCGGAGCATCCCTTGATCCTGGCCGTGGTCTCCTACTATCCGCGGTATCGTACCAGTATTCAAAGACGTCCCCAACTTTGGGCTCATGGGCACCACTTTGAGCGCTGGGTGCGCCGTTCTTCAGAGCTTCGGAGATGGGCCTCGCGCACAGGAAAAGGCCCATGTACATGGGCTCTGCGCCGAGGGAGACTCCACCCTGCAGGCTCTCAGTCTTCGCTGTCCAGAGCCTTACGCCCTTACGCCCCTTCAGTTCTCGATGTCAGCTGCGCATCACCTGGCATGCAGCCAGTGGAAACTCTTAACTCTTCTAAGGCATTCTAAAGGCAACAACAGCAGCGACAACAAGAAAGCACCACAACGAGGACAACAGCCACGACGCCGACGACAACCACCAATACAACGAGAAGAAGAAGAAGAAGAAGTGGTGACGGCAACAGCATGATATGGTTGCTTCTCATCAACGTCCCAACAGCAACATAATCCTAGCCCTCGCAAACAAGATCCATCTCACTCACTCACTAGCACTGCATCGTCGCCAGGCGCCTCAGCTCTTGAACTCGTGCAGCTCGGAACTCTTCTGCCGACACGACACCGTCATTGTCGGTGTCCTTGGGTGACGCAGTTTGCAACACCTCGACAGCATGATGTCCCTCAGCATACGTAGTGTCACACTGTCAAAAAACGCGGATGCCAGCTTTCAGAGCTGCAGTGCTGCGTGGTGCGTTGCGTCGCACTTGAGGCAAGGAGCCAGCAGCGCGAAGTCTTGAGCAGCCCGGTTTTCCGCACGCTCCCGCGCGGCGCCGAAGGCGAGGACAGTAGTCCGAGGCCGCCTCTACTGTGTCACTGCTTCATCTCCACAACAGAACTTTTGTGATCCCTACTCTTCCGTCTTGTCTCTGTCGCGGGAACTCATTGAGGCGAAGAACTCCTGTGGTCCTCTCCATTAACTTTCCTACAACTCGACGCAATGTACTCGCAAAATATGTGCGTCACTGCCGGGGCCTGCCTCCCTTCCATCTGCTGATCAATAAGTACCTTGCGCTCTTCCTGGCCAGTGCCGCCATCCCGGCGCTCCTCCAAACAGTCATCTTCAAAGTCGCGGGTCTTCGTGCGAGCACGGGCGAAGATCTGCGACGAGACTGCCGAAGATGGACCAGGGTGTCCTCTAGGTGCTGCCGAAGTGTCCGGACACGTTGTGCCTGCCCAGGAAGAGGCATGAGCTTCACTTTTCCAGGATGGTGCTTGTGGCCGTGATACATCGATACAAGAACCAGCCTCGTCGGGAAGCTGCCAGTCAGGATGCCCTGCTAGTATTCCCAAGATAGATCGCGGCCTGCTTTGGCCTCCGCACATAACGGGAAACTCTTGGGTCGCCGTGATGGGCGCACGCTGCGCTCCCGGCGCATCAAGTTGCTTCGTGGCGGCGCTTCTTGCTGAAATCGGTGCTGCCTGGAAATGCCCCGAAATGGCCCTGGACATGCTCCCAAAGATCCCAACTACTCTAAACCTCAGGCGGTCGGAGAACTTCGAAGACGTTTCTGGCTCGGAGCGTCCCAGCCTCGAGGCACTCGCATCATCCTTTGGCGGATCCATGTCGTGCAAGAGATGGCTAGCCTGGTGGAGGAGGAGGGCTTGGGGTTTAGCTCAGAGTGAGCTTTAGGGTCAAGGGGTGCTAATAGGATCCTAGGTTTAGTGCTTTACGGTTTTGAGGTTTTAGGGCCGCAGCTGCCCAAGAAGGTGGTTGCCTTCTCTCTCAGCTCCTCCGCTGCCTGGCGACGGACGCAGGTTTTTCCGGCGAAGAGCTCCGATGCTGCGATCCTGCTGCAAGCCCTCGGCCGCTGCCCCCAAGCGCGCAGAGATGGGTCTGACCGGGTCCATGCTGCCCAAAGCTCCTGACCCAGGGCAAAGGGTGCAGCTTTCAAGCATCCCAGATCTTTGCCGGAGCAGACAGGTGCAGCCCTGTCCTTGCATGTAGCCTCACGCGCACAAGAGAGAGAGAGAGAGAGGGAGAGAGAGAGAGAGAGAGAGAGAGAGAGGGAGGGAGGTTCCCGAATGTCGGAAGGAAGCAACGCAGGCATCGCATCGCCCGGCCTGACATCCGGCTGACGAGCCGGGCAACGCTGCGCAAGGCCACGCTGTGCTCCTGCGAAGTCACCACACAAGGCTCTGCAAGCTCAGGCTCGCTGCCTCGCTCCTCCAAAGCTGTGGTAGACGGCGTAGCATCGATCAGCTCTGCACAGGTCCTCGCTGCCGGGCGTGTCCGTCGGATTCCGTCAGTGAGTGGCTTTTCGGGCTTTATCAATCATCGGCTCCTGGAAACAATGCCAGTCAGCCAGCGCAAGAAGGCCGTGAGCCTCAGTCTGTTCGCAATTTGCGAAATGCCGTGGGCACGAGTTTACCTTCCTGTGCCTCTCGAGACTGCTGCCCACCGCCCATTCTCCGTGCTGCCTCATGCAAGGCTGTGTTGTGCACCCTTTCTCGTTTTCGGTCGAAGCATCGGTGTTGAAATCAGGCGCGTGAGCTGTCAACCAGTTGCGTGGCACACTCTGAGCCTCTGGCCTCACGGTCCAGTCTGGGGCTGATTGCAAGAGTTCTCCCAACTCCGTTGCCCACGCCTGCCGTTTGACAGCAAGAGCAACCGTAAAAACCTTAAGCCCGAAACCCCGACCCAAATCCAAGACCACACCCCGAAAGTCCGCTGCCTCCGCAGCGACAAGGACGGCACCTCGCTGCGCCGATGCTGCCAAAGGCTCTGGGGCAAGCTCCGCCTGCAGTCAGCTGATACTGCACAAGGGGTTATTGGAATCAGGGGTCCGCTTTGAGGTGCCTCCTTGGTGCTCTATACTAGATTCCGGTATCGTCCGAAAGTCCGATGTCCATGTACCATTCAGCAAGGGGTTTAGGGCCCATGTCTTACCAGTTCATTACATCACCACATTGTAGTACCTTAGTAGAACTGCGCCAATCAATATACCTCTGCAAGCTCATGCCGTTAATTCCCATTACTATGATTCCTGCTCCTACAACTGGTACTAAGTGCTACTATCTTTCGTATTGTTGTTGTCCTTAGTACTAGTAGTACGTGCGTTGTGCATTGATAATCCTTGCTCCGGTGCGGGCCTCACAGCGCCAGGCCGGTTCAAGGCCCTTCAGCAGGGATCGGACCTGGGAGACTTTCTAGTGCCCCGAAAGCCCAAACGACTTAAGGCTTATTGATCCCAGATAAAACAGTCTCGTGTAGTCTAGGCTAGAGTAGTGCAGCGTGGAGTAGAGCACAAAAGAGTCGGGTGGGTCAGGTCAATAGTAGAGTCAGTTGGCAAAACTAAACTAAACCCTAAGCCACCCTCCTGAAGCTGCAAAAGACTTCGACGATTCTCTTTCACTGACTCAGATGTGCTGCCATGGACGGAGCTGTCTTGGGGAGGATGTCTGGCAAGTCCTCACAAGTGTAGTGCTCAGGCTTTAGGGTTTTCAGGGGGTGTGGGGTAATTACAAAAGTCTCCAGTCGGGAACTCAGAGACATGCGAATATCAGTTGAGCTCTCCTTTGTCGCTGCCGGCTTTGCTGCCCCTGCCGTTTCGGCTGCATCTCCCGGCAACAGCCTCTTCTTGCTGGGCAACAGCTTACCCGCGCGTATGAGACTTGCATGCACGACACCTCGAAGGCGCGTTGTGCGGTAACCTGCCAGGCTCAGACGGGCTGCAAAATAAAGGAGCAAGGGAGCATCCACTAGCTAACAGCTCCGATCTTGTCCGACCTCTGTGCCGCTTGAGCAAGGCGCGGTGCATGAACGAAACAAATCTGCAATCGGGTGACTTGTTCATGCAAACCTTTGGATTTCAAGCGCAGAACTCCGGTGCATCTGGGCGCTATGCCTGCTCACAATCCGTAAACGTCGTGCATTTCAGCGCCTCCCGATGCAGGAGCCAACTCAGGTCTCATGGGCAGCGAGTTGCTTGGACATGCTCTTCCACATTTTACGGTGGGCATGCGAGCGGATTTCCCACCTGCGAATACTCCTCCAGCACCTGCAGTGCCGAGTTCCATGGCTCCGCAGGTGGCCATGGCATCGGCACTGTGGACGCCATGGCATCAGAAAACTAACAGAGGATAACACAGGCATGCATTGAACATCCTTATACAATGATACCATCGCGACATGGCCTTATGGAATCCTGTCTTGACTATGCTGCTGGGCAACGGTGGCTGCTGCAGCGCTTGTTGAAACAAGCTTTGCTTTCGTCTTGTCACGCCCTCAAGGTCAGAGTCCAGCATGCTACTGGATGTGGCTACATCCACTCACCGCACCTTGCCCATCATGTCCTGATTGAAGGCGGCTACCACAAAGTCCACTTTGTGGGGCAACTCGGGAAGCACCTCTGTTGCAAGGCAATCGGAAAACATCTTGCAGTTCGTGTCATGCAACACCTTCTTCTCTTTGAGCAGCTCGTAGATGACACAGTCTCCGAAGCCGAAGCCTGCACATGGAACCTGCGCTCGGCTGCGGCAGTTCAATCATGGTACGGCCCTCCACAGCGCCTGGAAAACCCCTTCTGAAACTCGCTGCGAGCACTCCGACATCAAGCCTTGGCCTCCATGACTGCTAGACGAAAGCACAGCAGGCACGGCCAGTTCTTCGGAGCATTGGCATTACGACGCTACGATGCTACGATGCTCGGACTTTCGCGCGCGGCCTCCCGACTTTGCTGTAAGAAGAATGCAACTCGAAGCTTTTGCAGCTGGCCTCCTTGGGAGATCCATAAAGTGTCAGCAATCTGTCGTACCTGATGTGATACCGAAAGCCGACTTCCTATACGGTAGCCTCAACCAGAACTACACAGATCTTCGCCCTGAGCTTCAAACCGGCCACCACCGCAAATGGCGCGCAAAACGCCGGCACGGTCGAAACCTTGCGGAAACCAACATCATCACTTGTGTCACTTAGGTTTTCGGAGGGGTAGTGCCTTCGAAGACCACACCGGTGTAATAGGCCAGACCTGCCGAAGGTGACAGCTACAAGGTCAAACATACTCCTTCCGCTACCAACCAAACCGTCAAGAGGAACCCCTGGTTGTCCAACGGTTGTTCCCAGCATTCCCATTGTAGTCCTCGAACGACGGAGGCATCAAAGATCAACCAGTCGCCAAAGCCTGCGGATGCTCGCTTGGCTTGTTTGCCGGGCTGGACGGGCAGCCTCGAAGCTTATCAGCATGATCATGCTTGACACATCAAACGTTGGAGAACGTCAATGCTTCGTCTGCCTGTGCTATGCCGATACGCGTCACCAACTCACTAGCCAGTCTTTCATTCATGTACGGCCTTCAATCAAGGTAGGCTAAGTTTGCGAATCTTTTGCAAAACCCAGCACAGGTGGCGAGGCCCGCAACAGCCATCTTAAGTCGAGTCATCCCAATACTTCAGTGCTACATGGATGCCAGGGACGGCAAAGCGAGATCGCCAAACGGAAACCATGTAACACGAAAACGACCAACAGAATGAATATGACAGCGGGCGGATGAGCTCACCATGCTCGTTACTGGCTTCCGGGACGGTCCCTGCTTCGTGCCGGCCTGTTTCGCCGTACCAGGCTGGCTCGTGTTTCGGGAAAACTGAAGACCGAACCGAAAGCAGTGTTGCTTTCCTTCTGCTATACGATACCATACTATACGAGAGTATGCCACGTTGTATCACATAGTAAACTACATAGTATACTAGATTATGCCATCGGTGTTGCCTTTAACTTTCCGGATACTGCGGCGGCCTTCCTCTTCCGCCAGCGTGAAGAGCTGCCGCAGCTCAACCACCTTCAAACAAGTATAGGAATGCATAATGCAGTACAGGATAACGTGAAATATAGTATAGTTTGTAGTGTATAGTATATAGTATATCTTAAATAGTATAGAGTATGTAGTATATCGTATATAGTATGTAGTACATAGTATATAGAAAAATATATTTATCATAGAGTATAATGCAGTATATAGTACCGTATAGTATAGTAAAGTTTACTACAACGGAATATACTCTCATAGGTATCCTGTAGCAAAGCAAGCATTTTGAGCTCTGGAATAAGTCGCAGGCCTCCGGGCTCTCGCCAACCTGAGCCGTCGCAACGTGGTGCCCTTCACTGAGGAAATCACAACCGGAACACTTGGGAGTTTCCGAAAATTAGCGGTACCTTATTTTGGAATACTTATAATAAGGATCCTACCATGAAGGGTACTATATTAGGGTCCCCTATTTCTGGAAACCCCCACTTCAGTGTTGCTGCATGGATCTGGGACGGCACGACGAGATCACGAAACGGAAAGCAAATGACACGAAGACGGGCAACAGCAAGGTCGGCTGGAGGTAATCAACAGCATGCTGCGTGCCTCCGGCCATGATCATCACTCAGGCTGTGGCACCCGCCAAGGATGCGAACTCATCCAGCGTCTTGGCCTGATTGTTTTCATGCAAGCTGCTGACGCAACGAGTTTCGACATCTGCTTCTTCCCCTTGGCGCGGTATAGTATGATATGCTGTTGCGTGGTATGGTATGGTGACATATACCAGAGTATACGGCAGTGTATGACATGTACTGTAGCATCGACTATTGTGGCTGCCAATTTGCTGGTAGGTCCGGCTCTAGGTTCCCTACGGCCGTGGCATTGACGATCCGCTGAGCAACCGCCTCGGCCATGGGGCACAGGCAAATCCTTCACAAACCCGGGGACCCGGATATCCAAGCTACAAATTGGTAGAGGGATTCATGCTCCTAGACATCAGAATACAGTGTCCTGACTACATGGACCCCCAAACCCAAACCCCTCAAACTGAGGAGCGACTGGGAGGGTGCTGAACTTTCAGGCGAGTCTCCTGGTCCAGGCCGATCTTCCTTGGAGTCCGTCGCACGTTTGAGCCCCTTTTATCCCCCGGAGGGCCATCAAGGGACCTTGTGATCGGAATAGGGCTTTGGGAGTGTGTCAGAGTATGATCATACAACGACTATCATGTGATCGGGGGACGTTCACCAAGTATAGTATAGTATAGCATAGTATACAGTATGGTATACAGCATGGTATACAGTATGGTATGCAGTATAGCTGAGCATATTATCATAGAGTATAGTACAGTATATAGTACCGTATATGCTGAACAAAGAGCTTCGAGGAGCTCAAGAGCTCCTAGCAAAGCCAAGGGGCTCGGTCAGCTCCTTCACGACGGCCTCCGGCCCGATCTTGTCCTGAAATGGGACTTTCCGAAAATTGGGGGTACCTTATTTTGGGGTCCTTATAATCAGGATCCTACTCTTTTAGGGTACTATATTCGGGTCCCCTATTTTCGGAAATTCCCCTAATGCCGCCCCCGGGTCAACAACTGCGACATCAGACCTGCGCAAGCACGTGTCCTGCTTGTCTATCACGACACAGGTCTCGGTAAATCGCTCGTCCTCAAACTCCACAGAGCTTTCATGTTACGCGACCCCTCATCGCCAATTTGTCTGTGCCTACGAGTCAGCTTGGCAGGGGAAGCGAAGGACGTTTCCAACGTCTTCTTGTTTATGCCATACTTATGTTTCTATACTCTCGCAGCCAAAACCTTCCCCGCTATCGTCACGACCCACTAACCATTGTGCATGCAGGGCACCGTGAGAATACTCAGGCAAAGATTCGCTTTGCAGGAGGACCATTCAACCGGAAACGAAGTGTGCAAATGCCGGGCTGGGTCCCGCACCGGTACGCCGGAATTCTTCAACACGGCTCCGAGAACTTTTCGAGAATTCACCTTGATACCCACTTCCTGCAGGTGTTCTGCAAGACGGACCCCTAGCCGATACAGCGAAGGCTTCCGACGGTGGCCAGTTGAATGCAGCGCGGTTCCCTCGCAGCAGTCCTTCGACGTGATTCCCACCTGCATCGGCACGGACGGAGTGACTGATGCAAGTGGTATGACCCTCGAATTCCCACCCCTCTCGGTTTCTCGCTTATGCCTTACCCCCCCACCCCACCCGCCCCAAGCTTTACTTCTTGCTCTAAAGGCTGGATGCGCTCACTCTTTAACATCTTCGGCTCCGGCTTCACAACGGACGGTCCCTTCCCGCTTGGGGTTGGTCTTGGGCTCCACGGTTGAAGGCCTGGGGTCGGCTTTCACTGCCCCAGGTGTTCGGCTCGGGGTTGGTTCCACGGACTTCTGGGCCGCCGCTTTGATTTGGCCTCGTCTTGACGGTTTCTTGCGGTGCCCCAGGGCGAAGATGTACGATGTGCTTCCGGTGTGTTGCGCTGGAAGTGCTGGCCTATGTACGATTTGTTGCGAGTGTGGTGGGCTCGAAGTGGGGCCCCCTCGGCTAGGGCAGGGTCAGAGAACCAACGAGGCCCAAGAAGGAGCTTAGAGGCTTAGCCGGTGTTCTGGGTTCGTGCTCGAAGCATCTTTTTGCCATGGACATCGGCTCTCTACAAGCCCGAAGCATGTTGGGTCCATTCCGAACTGAGACTGCTGCATGCTCAAAGAACGACGTGATGGCTGAAAGCAGCTCGACCTGAACATGGCCAGGGTGCCAACGTGCTGAGAGCAGAGGTCAAAGTGCCTCAGCATGGATCGAGGTGATGCCGACGATATCCATGTTCCACCTGGGCTTTTCCAGGCTGCTCAGTGCCAGTTGCAGTTGCCCACTGCCGCATGCCCAACTGTCCTCACGAGATCTGCGGGAAGATGTCTAGGGTATCCATAAGCTAAATATCCTTTGCACTGTCACCAGAAAGGGATCTTCTGATTTTGGTTTCGGAGGCCTCCTGGTATTGGAGACTCCCTGGCAGTCGCTGCTAAGGCTTCTGCTGATAGTGTTCCCGCTTCCGACCGCGCTGGCAAGTCTCGAAGCGCCTTGGTGATCCAAGTAATTACTGGGACAGGAACTGAGGTTAAGATACCATAGCAACGAAACCACACCGTAAACATGTTATGTCGCTACATTTGCAATTTACGGTGCTTAACAAGGACCCAGGTACATGACAGGATGGGAGCCCTCCCGCTTGGCCGCAGACCAACACTGTGGGATGGATGACCACTTCAAGGGAAGAAGGGCCGACATCTCACCTGCGATAAAGAGAATCTCACGGGCTGCTTTCTGAGCTCCGGGGTGCCCTCTGCCTGTTTCCGCACGCATGAGGCTGAGAACCTCAGAAAGAGCTCCCGGCTGGCAAAAACTGAAGTACAGAAACAGTGAAGATATCAAAAACAACAAGAATGACAATGAGGAGTGTAAGTCAGCTTGTCTTCACATCGCACGTCCTCTGAAAGGACCCAGCCATCCGTGCCAGAGACGGTGTCATCTCGGGCCTGCGACTTTCACCGCACGAGTGTGCCCACAACTTGTGGCTGAGGTGTACATAGGGGATGCTTAGCTGCACCGGCTTCAACACTCAACACGACCTCAGAGTGACCGCCGCACCGTCTTTGTCGATGAAGTTGTACCTGAAGCGCCGTGCCGATCTTCTTCCACACAGACAAGAGGCATGGTCGAGCCCCCGCTCCGCAGGCAAGCGCGCACTGGTCTGTAGGTGAGTCTGCTGCCAGCTGTTGTGTCTATCTCTGTCTCTCGCTCCCTCCCTCCCTCCCGATGCTTTCTACTGGTCACAGGGATTTCATCGAAGGCTCCGCTGCAAAAACTCAGCAAAGTGCCCCTTGGATCAGAAACTACCTGGGCGCACATTTGTTCGGTGATCTCCTCGCCGGCCTTCCGCTTGTAAAGCTCCTGACACCAACTGGCAGGGTTTAGGGCTTTAGCCTAGGGAGTGTGGGTTTGGGGATTTAGGGGCTAGGGGTATAGGTTTTGGTGCTGAGGGCCATGGATGATACAACTTTCACTGTCACTGCTGGAAAATGCCCGGCCTCGTTCTCCAAGACCGGCGCGTCGTACTCCTGAAACCTCAACCAGAACCCATCATGCTGCTGGTCGTGGCACGGGGTGCACGCATTTCAGTTACTCAGTCGGAGCACATCCGTCAGATCCGCTATGGCAGCTTTAGTCTTTTTGGAATCTGGAACTGAGCCCGAGGCCCATATCTACGAGCGATCTCTTTGAAAGCTCCTGAGGCAGCCAAGGGCGAGAATGATTGCAATTGGCCACATCACAGAAACTTGCATAACTGACCAGCCCGGACAGATGAAGCCGATAGCAGACAGTGGTCATGCAGCAGACATGCAGCCAGGCGTCCAAAAAGCCAATTGCGAAACCTGGGACTGCGTCTGAACGCCGCAAGCGCAGCAGCATGAAAACAAGAAGCAATGCAAACAGAAAGCACTAGCGGAATGCGGCACACTGCGTCCTTCTACCCACCTAAACTGCCGAAACCCGAGACCCCTTCATCCTGGATACGCACTGGACCTGAAAACTCGAAAGCCCTGAAAGTTTGGTTCCTAAAGCCCTAAACATCACTTACTCCGAAAACCCTAGAAGGCAAAACGATCCTGCCTCATGTCGGCGGGGAAAAAGTCTCGTGTCCCACTGGGTGGGTCCAAGCTTATCGCCGGACCTTTGGCTGCAGCCTGCGGGTCAAAACGAGACTCAGGGGCTTTTGCCTGGGGCTGGTCGGTCGGAGGCCCCAAGTTCGCCTCTGCCGTCTTATGTCGTCTTATGGGTTCGAGATTCCGTCCGCAGACTTCGGGCGCAGCACAGTCTCTCCGATGCAAACAGCCCGTGGCACCATGTCAGAGTGAATGCCGGCATGTCAGTTGACGTTGTCACACGTCAGGATCATAGTTCGTCAGGCGCTTGCATGTGAGTAGTCTGCACAGCACAGAGATGCGCAGCATGTTGAGTTGGGGTGCCAAGTATACCTGTCTAACTAGTCTTCTTCTCCTTGGTCTATCATGATGGAGGATCGTTGCTGGTGAGTCGCTCGCCCAGCACACGGAGGCTGATGGAATTCTGCTTGGTTGCTTAGATGTGCTTTCACAACTCATGGCTCCTCTGCCTTGTCTCAATCACAGTAGACAGCTCATAGAAGCAATTTCACTGTACTGACTCAGCGAACTAGGCCACACCTTTTTGTCATCTTTCTTCTTGTCATCTTTCTTCTTGTCGCCTTTTCCCTGCGCGCCAGATGCACTCAAGATCCCAGATAACCGGACAATATGCCACGGGTTGGAGCCTTCTCCTTCTCGCTCATCCCAAGCGGCTCCACAGGCCTTTCCATCTAATCAATTACATACACACACACACACACACACACACTACCAGAACCTACCACATGCATCTGATGGGGTGAGGAGCCGACCGCAGAGCGGCAGTCCGCGAAAGTCCGGACCCTACACTACCTACGCTGTGAACAGAATGCCATCGGATCACCAGTCTCTGCTTCGGACTGAATGCGTTGAACAAAAAGACCACCACTGCTTCCCCTGCTCATGTGTCTTCCCTTGACATTGAATGCCCAATCGGATGCAGTAGAGTTTTCACTCGCCCTGTGTTCACAGGTCTCGAAAGATTCCATCTGAAGTCCTCCGAGCTCTACGAGACTTTGGTGGGTCTTTGCCACCGGTCACAGGAAGCTCCCACAGCGCGGCCTTGCCTGCAGGAAGCCATCACCAAAACATGCACTGGACATTGACGCAAGAGCAGCGGAAGCGCCTCTGATTGCTGGCGGATTGGAGCAAACAGAGGTACCGTCATCCAAACCTCGATACTTTCGCTCGCTCGGTACATGAAAGCAACCCATTGCAATGCTATGGACACCAGATGGTGCAGACATAGGTCGACTTCAGGCAAACCCTATTCAACTGGCTTTTTTTGTGAGGGCCTTTTTCCACCTGCAGTACAGTTGGAGAGCTCCAATGGAGCAGGCGTTCAACTGGCTTTAGGTTTCAGGGTTCCGGTTTACGGGTTCGGCACTTAGGGTGTGTGGTTTTCAAAAGATCAGGGAGATGCAGAGGAGGGCTTGCGAGGGGGTACGGGGGGAGTGGCTGTCGTCTTCGTGCCTCCGCTAGTTACCTTTCTAGCGTCGTTTAGACATCCCTGTGGTGTTCAATTTAGTAGCTCAATGCTGACATGCGTCCGTTCTAGCTTCTCCTGGCTGGATTTTGAATCGTAGCAGTGTGACATATAAGGCTAACAGCTAGCTATCGACATACAGCACATTGGCATGCCATGAGCTCTTCTACAACATCTCATGACGTGGAAAAGCCCTGAGGCTGCAGCAGAAACTCCTCCCTGGCGCCTGAAGCAGAAGGAAGACATTGCAGATAGACAACATCTTTTCTCTCAACCATGGCTTGTCCAGGGCCACGCTGGGTCTCCAGCACTGGAGTCATCACAATGGCTCTGCCAATCGCGCTCAGGCAGTGGCCAGCCTATCCCAGCAGCAGAGGCGACAATTGCAGGGAAGTTGAGGGGTCTCACTACACCTGAGGCGCCTCTGTCAACAGATGCTCGGCATCTTCCCTGGAGCCATGGAAGCTTCGAGTCAGCATTGAGTCCAGCTACAGTGGCAGTATCACTAGGTCACTCGTGGCACGTAACTAGTTTCCGGGATGCCACTGGACGGCCGGGGCCCCAGCGGCGTCGAAGCCCCGGCAGCCCTCTCGGCTGCCGGCAAGCAAGCCTCATCAGCCTCTCCCCATGGCCTTCTGCATCTCAGCATAAACCAAATCAACCACACTCTCTTCTAGGCAGGATGATGGCCTCAAAGCCAGTTTCTTGTCCTTGTCCTCACCCGCCATTTGGCCGTGAAAGGTAAAAGGCGCGTCCTGGCGCATTGCAAAGACCCCGCAACAATCTGGGGGCTTCTTCTATCTTCCTTCAGCAAGGCAACAGCATTGCACCGAGTGTCACCCACAACCTCAAACCTCATAGCCTGGCCTAAACCCCACGAACAACAGAACCTCAAATTTCATAGATGAGCTTACGCCTACGACTCCTCACTACAGTAAACCAATACGACAGTAATTCTCAACAACTCTGCTCCGTATGAAGCCCCACCTCGATTGCTGTCGTACATCGGATTTCTACATGCTACATGCAGTACTTGAACTCAGATACCATGCATTCCCCTGTGACCTGGTCAACGAAGATGCGCTTCATGAGCGTCGAGCCTGTCAAAAAGTCAGGCCGGATCTAGCTGGGCATTGGGATGTGTTGGTAGCGATTCGTGTTCCGTTTCCCTCACTGCCGCCTTGCCTTGGCTTGCGCAGCCTTGGAAAGGTTGCACTGCAAGCGGAAGCACCGAAGCGGTCGATCTGCTACTCTCTGCGCAAGGCTCTGCTATGTGCAGACAAGGCCGCGCCCGAGGCGTGTGAGGATGGCTTTCATCTCCATCGGGTCGATAGCCTCGTCCTTCACAGCCTGACAGACTTGAGGAATGTTGGCATCTTCACTCTCCCACCTCATGCATACACAAGTGCCCCAACATTCACGACGGCCTGCTTCAATGAGAAAGAGCTTTCCAGACAAGCGTTCACAGTGCTGATTGCATCACCTGCGGATAAACAGCCGGGAAAAGACGCGAAGCTGCGAGTCGGCTTTGTAGCAATGTGGCCTCTCTCTGGCTCGCTTGCCAAGGAATAGTTATCACCTTCTATCCGAGGAAGTGTCTCATTCTGGTTGGCCTGCAGAGGACGTACAGAAAATCGCGCATGTCTGTTGTGTTGAACATCCACTGCACCGCCCACAGGATGCATGGGCAGATGGTTTCAGAGCACCGAGTGTGTGAGGTGCCTGGCTCCTGGCACCAGCCTCCTGGCATCCAGAATCGGGGTCGGTTCATTTGGCATACGCATACACATATAGACACAAAAACATATATACACGTATGTACATAAATACACATATACACACATATATACACATATATACATATATATATATATATATACAAATATGCTTATAAATGTGTATATATATATGTATATATATATATACATACTTATACATGCGCGTTTATATATATATATATATATATATATATATATATATATATGTATATATGTATATATATATATATGCGAGAAGACTCAGACAGGGCAGGTGTTTCTTCTTCAGATTGCCCACCTCTGACACGGACTCCTCTTGAGGCTCCGAGACCTTCCGCTCGAGCCTGAGAGCTGAAGGGGTCTTCAGAATCCTCGAGGGCTCTCTAGGGCCTTAGGGTTGGGGGCCTTAGGGTTGGGGGCCTTAGGGTTGGGGGACACCTGGAGTTCCGGGCTTTAAGGGTTTAGGGACTTCGGGATTCAGGGACTGCGATCAGTCGAATACGGAGGTTTTCCACTGCGAATGCATGCTTGGCGCAAGCGGGCTGCTGTAGCAACAGTGCCAATAAACAAGCGGTTTGTTGGACCTGAAGACTGGGGCTTGCACTCCCAGAGTCGGTCCAGAGAAGCCTTGGACGATGCCGTGCAAAAACCAGTTGGAATAAGATGCACATGAAAGCCGTTGTCGTGCTTTTCTTGGCACACGACGAAGCCAGACGGGTGAAGGCAGGCCTCAGGAAGACAGAGAGTACTCTCTCCCTCTTTCTTTCAGTCTGGCTGGCAGACTTCCCGATCCTATCCGACTTAGCATAGGTCAAGCAGAAAAGTCGGAGCAGGCCCGCAGAGCTCGACACAAGCTACGGGATTGCAGATAGACCTTCCCCTTAGACACCTGGATTCTTAACCAGGGATAAAGCCAGGGAGGTGGCCGTCAGCCTGCCAAGGCCGCCCCCAAGCACACACCAATCAGGCTCAAGCAAAAAGGCATGAGGACCAGATTTAGGTGAACAATGCAACCGGCTTGTTCAAGACTGCAAAAGGGAGTGTGGTGACATCAAGGCCGGCTGCAAGAGCGATGAGAGGAGGAGTTTGCGCAATTGCATGAAGACCGAGCTTGGCAGTTGGTCACAACCGTAGCTGTTGTGGCCTCCCCAACTGCCAGCTCTCCACGTGGTCTGAAGGGAGATGGCCAGACAATTTAGAACCTATCATTCAAGTCACGGACCGATTGAGCTCTAGGAGAGTTTGAGCCTAACGGCTTCGTAAGGTCGCCGTCACCTACAGCAAAACATCGCTCGAACACCAAGCCCGCGACGCCCTTACATCCCAAAGTCATGGCAGGAGCAGATCTGGAAAGGGTTGAAAATCTATGTATGGTTGCCGATCTGTCGCCGCTCAACCATCAAAGCAATTTCTGGGTCAGCGGAAGAATCTAGCATGAAGCGCTGCATGTGAGTCGTGAAAGCACGGCATGCTGGCCACGTGCTGCCTTGATACAATGCGAGACCGAGTCAGCAGCACTAGAAAAAACGAACGGTTGCGTCAATGCGGAAAGGATCGCCGAGAGGGCCAAATGCAAGGCAACTCGAACACGGCCAAGGCAATTCGCTCTCTGCCCTCCTTTCCTCGCAAAGAAGTGAAACAGGCACATGACCTTGACGGGCGCTGCTGTAAGGGAGGAGGCTAAGAAACATCTGGGAATCAGAGTCGCCTTCAAGAGAGAGTGAGGCCGCACTCGACGACGAGGTGGACCACCCTGGAGAAGCGTTCGCTGACACTGACACTTCTGATCGTCAACACGAGCTAGGCAGTTCATGACTGCGGCAGCTCACATGTCCCGGAACAACAGCGGCAATGCAACAACAACGAAGCTTCGGATGCCCCGCAGCCGAGGAAGGACTGAACTCAACGAGAAAGATGTGAAATACTATACTTTCAACACCTACGCCAGGAGGATAACAAGTACGCAGGCTGAATATATACCCAGAAAGACTCTCTTGTCCTAGACCCGAACCCCGAAACCTCTAGACTCTGAACCCTGAAGCTGTTGCCATACCTTGAAGCTCCGCCGGAGCCTTTACCCCTGAACCAGGACCCTTCCTCGGGCGGGAGAGATTAATTTAACATGAGATGAAGTGCCCGACCGGTGCCAAATACTCAACGTCAGATTCAAAGATTAGGGTCAACAGCGTTCTGGGCGCCAGGGTTTCGAGTTTAGGCCCTTACGAACTCCTATGCCCTCACTCTTCCAAAGCCTTGAGCTTGAAATTCGTCTACCTCCTGAACCTCAAACCCCTGCGAAGCTCCTCGGCGTTCCGGAGCAGGTAGGCAGACCCAGAGTTGTGTTGCATGACTGGCTGTCCACACAGAGGCTTGAATGCGGGGGCACATTTGCTTAGGGGCCGAACGTGGCCAAGGCACAGCGCTGGCATGTCTTGGTTCTTCTGAGGACTGGGGTAGAGTGTTCCTTCGCTCGTGTTTCTTGGCCCACAGAGCGATCGACGCATTGCTCTACTGGGAGACCTCGAGCCAAACGGCTGTTTCTCGTGCTCGTACCGTCGGAACAGCAAACACGCGACACCCCGCGACACCCCTACGCCCCAAAGTCATGCCAGAAAGAGCAGATCTGCAAAGCCTCGAACATCTGTCCTTGCAGAACTGTCGCCTTCAACTTGTAAACGACCGCGGCAATTCGACACACTGCGACAGCGACTTTGTCACTTGGGACAGGACAGGATCGTCGAGATGGCTGAACTTCGGCTGAACGCAAGGCAACACGAACACGGCCAACACAATGCGCTCTCTGCTCTCCTTTCCCCCGCATTTCCCCACAAGTAAGTGAAACAGGCATATCACCTTGATGCGAGCTGCTGTCAGGAAGGATCCACGCACAAGTTGCCTCTGAGAAACATCTGGGAATCATGATCACCCTCGCGCAAGCAAATGCCTGAGAAACGGCGCAGGCGACGACGAGGTCGACCACCCTGGAGAAGTAAAGACAAGTCTTTGATCGTGAACACGACAACGGCACTGTCTTACTGCGGCAGCTCGCTGCCCCTGTCTCCACATTATGCCCGGAAACAACAAGAACGGCAACGAAGCCTCAGCTGCCCCGCAGCCAAGGAAGGACTGGCCTCAACGACAGGGAAGGTCCGACATGACATCCCACACAGTCGATGCAGGAGCGAACAACAAAGCATGCTGGTGGAGCCTGTGTCGTAGAGCCACGACTGAACTAACATGCGCACCATTTCTGAAAGCAGCACGGGTCCATCGATGTGTGCATGCAGAACGAAGAGAGCTGCTCGAAAAAACTCCGATTTCGAATCGTTGTTTGCAGTGCAGAGTCAACCCCAAACGTAGATCTAAACATCCCAAAACCCGACAAAGTCTGCCCCCAACTCTACTCTGGATGCCCTGCGCCCTGGAGGCCGCCCCAAGCCGATCCTTCGCTCTTGGCTTAGGCTTCGGGGTTCTTTGGGGTTCGGGTGTTCTAGGATGTAGAAGCACGAGCCTTTCGGGTGTGGTTTAAGTGTAACTTAAATGTTTAAGGGCTTCAAATAGTTTAAGTTTGATTTAGACTTTTGGGGCTTTAAGGCTTTTGGAGGCTTGGGCACTGCGGTGTTCGGAGCGGTGCTGCAAAGCTTGGCATCGGCTCAAGTGCTGGGTCGCTCCTTGCGCCTCGCTCGCCCTCGCACCTGCAGACTCAGCTCTTGAGAGTTTGGGGCTTCGGCGCATCGGGGCACTTCAAGGCTCCAAGGGGGCTTCTCTGGAAAGCACGGCCAACGCGCGAAGCGCCTCTGGCAGTACCAATCTCCGGGTGGAACAGCAGGGATTCCAATGCAAAAAGTGTGATACCTGCAGGGCAAGCAATCAGGCCGCTTCAAGTGTTTGCAGGAGCGAGCTCAGACAGGTACCCAGCATTGCATCCATCGCACAGCAAAAGAACGTGAGGTTCGTGACTTCCACCGCACACCTTTCTGCATGGGATAGGCTGAATCTGTTTACCTCTCGTAGAGTGTCTCTGTCTCGTTTCGTTTTCTGATCTCTGATCTATTGAAATTTGCTGCAGCCCCCTTTAACAGCGCACCCGGCCTGGCAGTTGCAGTCCTGCATCTCAGGCTCATCCGCCGCCTTGCAGAAGGCATGCTATGCTTGCCGATCCGTCCATCACTGACTGTAGGCAGAGATAGCAACTTTTTGGATCTCGGGCCGAAGTCAGTGCACCTACCCGGTCCTATCTCTGAGAAGCTTCTCGATAGCGTCAGAGACCTCAGAGCTGATATTGTTATACCTCGGACGAGGGAAAAAGCAAGGGCAGGCACCAAGCAGAGGGCAGCCCTCGTGATTTCAAGCTCTTCCTGCGATCAAACCGACAACTGCTGACTAGGCTTTCTTCCCTTACCAGGAATTTCAGAGATTCTCTTCACACCCTTGGCAACATATTCCTGCCACGGTGCAACAGGTCCAGGACCTCAGTGTCACAAGAAAGGATGCTGAACATGGCTCCGTGTGCGCTGACGGGCACGAGTCCACAAGGCCCTGGCCACGAGCTCAGCATTCTCCGTAGCTGCCTGCAGCAGCTGGGAGCCCCCATCGTCTCCTTCGGACAGAACGCAGAGTTTCTTGGTCTCCATGATGACTCCAAAATGTCTGAGCCAAGGAGCCTATCGCATTCCCGGCCAAGGCCAAAGAGCACAGTGACGAGCGTGCGGCAGACGCCAGGGAAGCGGCGGCCTGCGGCAGATGGTCTCAGATGGCGGGGCTGCAAAACGGCGTGTTCTAGAAGTCTTTTCACCTAGGGCCGCTGACAGGGGACATTGCCATCCCACACATCCGCCAACTTGACAACTAGGGTACACACAATATACTTACAGCCAGCTTCAACAGCTTGCGAGCATCATGCGCAGGCTACTCACACCCTCAGACTCTGTCTCCATTTGCCGTTGATGCACGCCCTGCAGGAAAGAAGAGAGTCGCCTCGTCAGAGATGGAGTTGTGAGCCAGCGCGAGACTCTTGAAGCTGCCGTGCTTCCTTACGGCTGCAGGCATCTGCTTAGACCTGTGAGTCTATGAAGCTCCGAGTGCCGCATTGTCAACGGAGACTACAGCCAAAAGCCGCTGACTAACCGAGAGGCTCAATGGCAGCGGCAATGTTAGCCGCGCCCACGTCACCAATGCCTGGGCGTGTAGTGCCCTCAAAGCGTGCCGCTGTTGTGTATTTTCTCAACCTGAGTTTCTTCGCTCACGAACACCGACTTACGAACAGCAATACCTAGGACTTCGACTTGATCCAGGAGTCGAAATGTTCCAGCAAAACTCAGCACCACCCGAAGCGACGCACCAGGACAGTGAACCCACACAGGAGCATCCGGCGATGATTCACATCATGGCACTCAACCGTCTCCGGACAGCTTTGGAGAACCCTCGCGAACATCATGCAAACTCCTGAAGGCTGCGATTGTTGATTGCCGCCGGGTGGCTGTTGCCCGTGAGGTCCAGGCAGGTCAGTCGCCCATTCTTCACCAGCATGTCCTTGCGCGGTTACACAAATAAATCGTAGGGTGCGAAGTAGAAATAACCAACTAGTTTACGCCCCAGCTCTCAACCCTCTCACCTCCAAAGCATATCGTTCCCTGCCGAAGTGAGCTTTCATCTGCCCAAGGCACAGCTACAGAGGCGGCACCCTGTTCGCCGAGCTCATTCCTGATTGAACAGACTTTTTAACTTTATGCAAGCGACGTGCAAAGCTTTTTCGATTTCCCTAATCGCACGGTGAGCTGCTGTTGCAATGTCACGATGCGCAACGCCGTATTCTCCGAGATTGCAGTGCAGAGACAGACGGCGCCGTCTGCATCTATGCGATTGCTGCCCAGATTGAGGCTGGTCACGGTTCCATTTTCCTTGCTGCAGACAGCATGTCTTGCTGCATTGACAACTGCCGAAGACCACGCAGTCCATGCTACATGTCGCCAAGCCTCTGCCAAAGCAGAACACATCAGCTCAATCCCCTGTGAGCCGATTTCATTCATAGCCAGGTCCAAGAATGCCACGCTACCTTTCGCAGCATATTTTGGGATGAACACTCGTGTCACAGATGCCTGCACCGCTTACCATGCCCTTTCAAGGAGGGTTGTGTTGCACAGGCATGGTCGCCGGCCTGAATCTTTGAGGCTCAACAGGATCTGCTGGGCACCAGATCCTGCAGCACAGCAGAATGCCAACGTTACGACATCACTTTATAAAATTAGACACTGCTCCCCACTTCCGATACTACGAGTCTGGCTGAACTGTCGGCTCCCAGTCATCCAGGGGTTCAGGGTTAACAGAGCCGCAACATCCCTAAACCCTAAACCTCTAAGGGATGGGAGACCCAATGCATCCAGGGCTCCACAGATCCTGTTGCCGCTCAAGCTCAAGCTTGTCAACGACGACCTGCCAAAGGGTCGCGCGACGCAGCCTCTCAGCCTCCGACCCCGAAAGTCCTGCAGCCGCAAAACCCTGAACATTACAACCCCTAGGACCAACAACCCCCACCTCCTTTTGAAAATTCGCATAAACCCCCAACCCCTCAAAGAAACCTCCTGAAGCCCGGGATTCTCTTCCGCTGTCCGAGGCCGTGGCCCTGGCAACCCAGGAGCGAGGAGCTCTGCCCCGTGAATCCCGAGCCTCCGGAGCGGCAGAGCAACAGGAGATTTAGGGGTCTTGGGGTTTTGGGGTTTAGTGGTTTTGGCTTTTAGGGGTTTTGGGGTTTTGGGGTTTACGGGTTTAGGGGTTTAGGGGTTTTGGCTTTAGGGTTTGGGGGTTGGGGTTTAGGGGGGTTTAGGGTTTAGGGGCTTGGGCTTCTTGTGTTTTGGGTTGGTCTGACGGGACGAAGGAGTGCCGAGGTGCTGGTTGTGGCCCAGGTCGAGATGCTGCAGCACACCTCAGGACTCAGGCGCCCTTCTCTTCTCTGTTCTCTGTGAATCCACGTTGCCACCAGGAGACGATTCTTGGGTAAAGAAGTCGCCAGGCACGCCATGCCTTCGGTGTAGATCGTGTTTCCTTGAAGCTCCTTGGATCATGGGAGTTGGGGGTTCTGGGTGTTCGAGCCTTCTAGGGCTTAAGGTTTAGGGCGGCTGAAGGCTTTGCGAAAACTCTCGACCAATGATCACAAGCATTTGATGTAGGCTTGGATGTCAATTGCGAGTGGCCACTATGCCTGCCTTCATCGTCGCCAAGGATCCAGCTGCTCCAGCGTGGAGTTTGTCTGCAACAGGTTTGCTAACGCCTCGGCGATGTCATCTCCTCGGCATGCCGCAGCGAAGGACAGACAAGGCATCGTGGGGCACGGCTAACTCAACATGACTCTTGCCGTAGCACAGGCTCCGAGGTCGTTGTCGTTCAGCACCAGTCTTTTGACCAAGTCATTTTCCAACATATACTCCAATACTTTGGCACCTGGCCGCCACACATGCATTCTTAGTATGCGCGCAGCAAGCGGTGTCAGTGCCAGGAACGACAAGTAGTAGAGTCGAGCAGTTCGAGTTTCATGGCTGGATGGGCCAGTCCAAAAAGCACCCACCAAGTGGAACCTCCGGAATTGTCGAGGGCGTTGTCGCTCAGATCCACGGCAGTGATGTTGTGCTTCTTGTCCTGCACTCTGAACCCTAACCCTCCGCTCCACATACCCACGAGAGTGAGCTTTGCAGGGCACTGCATGATGATAGAGCAACTGCAGGCAATGCAGCTGAAGTTGCGAAAGATTTCGGGGGTCACGACAGGCCATGTTGCTGGGAACGGGCAAGTGGTCTGTAAGGCTTGCACGCCGCAGACGGGCTGTTCGGCGGCTGCACAACTACTGTGAATCTCTCCATTTCGAGACACTTTTGACAAGCGCTAGGGCCAGATTCCATGCCATCCTCGTGTCGGACATATTCCCAACAAACGAAACCTTCGAGACACTCACTGTAACTTACATTGGTGTTACTAATGTGGCCAGTGCTCACTTTCAGGGAGCTTGAGTGGGAGGGCCCAGGCTCGAGTTCGACGACGGCAACGACGACGAAGCGCCAAGATCACACAGCTGCCCCCTGTGCCTTCAGTGCGAGGGCTAAGTTCTCCAGGTCCGCTGCCTTCCGGACGTTCTGTTTGCTGGTGCCGCAGTTTGATTTATGTACGGAGCGGCTTTCATGCCCACCTTCAGCCCACAGCTGCGCAGATTCAGCTCTGCCATGGCGCTGGTGCTCATGCGTAGTCTTGCCGCATGATATGTCGTCTCTCACTGAACAGAGGCTCGGCTTGCAGCAAGCATCGCATGGTCCGCGTCTTTCTGTGTCTTATAAGCTGCACAACCGGAATTGCAACAAACGACAAACCGGTGGCTTGCACACGCGACTGACGGCACATCGGCAAAGCAAGGCCAGGCCTCGTCGCTTAGTTCCTGCAAGATGCTTCGGTTGACGACATGCGCATGCTTCTTCCAGAAGTGTTTGCTCAAAGCATACCCTAGTCTGCCGACAAGTTGGTCCAGCTGCCGTGCTGGAACGAGTCGTCGCTTCGCTGGCGCAGAGCCTGTCTGCCGACGGACGCAATTGCAAGGCACGGGATGAAACGGAGCCAGGCCCGCCAGGCCTCCTGTCTCGCCATGTGGGAGTGGCAAGAGAGCGCCCATCTCCTGCAGCTCACAGCATGCCTGGAGCCTGAGAACGGACTCTGACATTCTTTTAGTGAAGAGGCAGCAACCAGCACCCCAGAATCCTGTTTGCACAGTGGGCATGAAGAGCAGCTGGCGGCCCATTGCTCGATGCACTGGGTGCAGAATCGGTGGCCACAGCTCGCAACCTTCGCGAATCTTTGCAACTTGCCGGCGCCGGGACCAGAAGCCCCGAGACAGACTCGACTCTCGCTTCCCAAATTCGTTACTTTCACTCCCGGAAAGGTGCCTGCGAAGCAGCTGCAAGCTTGATGTGCTCCTGACACCAAAACCCAGGGCCAAAAAGCCGTTCTGCTGCGCCCCTGGAGATATGGATACGCCTGTGATGCCGTCCTCCTGGCAAATCGGGCAGGCCAGCCGCGCTGGTGACTGCATTGGACCGCTTGTCCGTGTGGCTTCCTTTGTCCACGTGTGCGGAATTTTATGCTGGCAGCACTGTCAAGAATAGTTCATGCCGCACAGAAAGTTATTGATGCGACTTCATGATCCTGCGGTCATTTGCTGCGATTTCTCCTTGATTCATGGCATCATCTTGCAAGCATCAGTCTTAGGATTATGCTGACTGTCCGACAGGTCTTCGTCGGCGCGATCCTTTAGCTGGGAGCTGTCTGACTCGTGCCACTTTACATCGTGCAAGCCCATGTTCCCATCCCCGCATCCCTGCGAGCATCATGCTTCCCAATCTGCGGCAGGTTCAGTAGGTCCAAGCAGTGCAAGCGACGCTACCCCCTGCTCCACCCCTCACCCCCTCCCTGCATTACTCCCTTTCTTTTTCGCGCGGCAGCTTCCACTTCTCACTCGAGCAACGTCCTCGAAGCCTGGCCGGGGATCAGCTTCCCCCTTCCAGCCTTTCGCCACTCCGACAGGGGAGTTTCCGAAAACTAGGGGTACCTTATTTCGGGGTCCTTATAATAAGGATCCTACTATTTAGGGTACTATATTAGGGTCCCCTAGTCTCGGAAACTCCCACTCCGACAAACTCCCCTGGGCCCGCCGGGCCTTGCCCTGGGCATCTTCGGCAGCTCGCCGCTCGCGAACGAGACGCACCAGGGTCTTGAAGTGCTCCTGCTTCGGGCCCCGGCTACACACGAAGCACCACTGCAGGTCTGCAAGACTCCGACTTTCCCGAAGCCGTGTACTGCCGCGCCTTATTTCCAAAGATGTCTTCCTGCGGCTGATGCGTCCACTCACTTTCAGTCTCTACCCCTGAACCGTGAACCTGGTGCATCTTGCGAAGCTCTGTCCAGCTCACAGGTGCACTTAGAGTCGTGCTCTCCTTGGGCGGCCCACGCCGTTCCTTCGCTTGCCGGAGCACCCCCTCCTGCTTTGAAGTCTTAGGGCTTCAGGGTTTATAGATCAGGTTGTTAGGGATCTGGGCTTGAGGATCAGGGTCTAGGGGACGAGAGGGTGTTAGGGATCGGATCTAGGATTCCGTGGCTTCGCTGCCCTTGCTGACTTTGGCCTCGTGCTGCTTCCAGAGGACTTCGCGCTCGTTGAGGCCGACTGCGACTGGCTCCGGCATGGCACAGCCGGAGACCTGACCGAGTGGATTTGGAGCTCCTGACTGAGCAACCGTTAGTTTCAAGGATCCACCTTGATTATGAAGGCTAAAGCTAAAGCACAGCTCTGGCGCGCCTTGGAGATGCGAACGCCTTCGCCATTCATCATGTACCGCCTCGGTGATACAGACCCCATTCATCACACCACTTGCTGTGTTCGGCGAGCGATCCCCACAAAAGTTCCATGGCTTATTGAGTGACCTCCCTCGCAAAGCAAGCCGGCTGAGCAATCGCCAAGCAGTACGGAGGAGAACAAGAGAACAAGTCAGTTCAGGCGACACAAGCTCCTGCGGTAGTTGGCGAGACACCAAGCTCATTATTGTTTCTGTCTTCTTGGTATTTGAGCAAAGCTGTGTTGGTTCCTTTTTCTTTTTCTGCCTCTGTTTACAATCCCAATGCTCCTCATCACTACAGTACCCTCACCGTCCGTCCAAACTCCCAGTCGCCGAGCCCTTGTCTTCTGAATCTCCCGTCTTCCTTCAGTTTAAGCATCGCCAAACTCTCGGCGACTTTTCTCCCGCCCGGGCTTCTGAAACCTCCCAACTCCCTACACCCTAAACCCTAAATCCTAAAACGGCAGGGCTTGCTGTTTTTTCTTGTTCGTGGAAACCGCTTTGGAGCACTTTCAGACACACGCTCTCCCCAGCCTTCCGGGGACCTTTGTCTGCAACGTGTCTGCTCTTAGCCCAGCCCACTACAGCATCCCTTTAAGCATTCACTGAATATCTTAGGGCCTCTTAGGGCTTGGGGTTGAGGGTCAGGGTTCGGGTTTGGGATGGTGCTTGGGTTTAGGGTTTAGGCTGGGGCTTAGGGTGATAGTTTGCTGCTGGTTTTTCATGAGCGCTTCTCGCCCGAAGTGTAAGGTTTGGGGTTTCAGGTTTAGGGCTTACACTCAAACTTACAGTCACCATGGCAGCAGAAACTACGATCGCTGGATGTTGCGGGCATCTTGCCTCTTGACTCTTGTCGGCTGCTTCGTCACCGGATCCACTAGCACGACATTCGTGATGTGGATCGGGCACCTTAAGAAGATACGCAGGGCTTTAGGGCTTTAGGGTTCAGGTGACAGGTTTCGGGCGTGTGCATTCTGCCCTACACCAAAGATCGGCCACCTGAAACCCCTCAACATAACGCCGCAAGCCTTGGCCCCCAACCCCGAAAGCGCCCGACTCAGAAACCCTAACCTTACATGTCCGAGTCCTACCAAGACCTCCAACTTTCGCAGAAAGAAAAAACTTCAACCCCGGCTCAACCAAAAAGACGAAAACTGAAACCCTACACCCGAACAGCATGAAAAACTCTTTGCAGATCCAGAAGCTCCACCGAAACGATGGAAGGCTTGCCAGGCCCAGGGTCCGGGTGCCAGAAGCCTGGGAATTGGAATGCTCCCGATATATATATATATATATATATATATATATGGTGTACGGCGTACGGGGATTTGTTGCTGAAGAAGCCAGAAAGTTTGGACATCCTCATCCTGATGCCACTAAGGAAAACCATAGGAAAGCCTAGCACTAATCATGCTCAACACATGTTCCGACTTACTGGGGGTTCGCTTCGGGAGTTGAAGAGTTCTTGGTTTTTGTGGTTTTGAGTTTGGGGGTTCGGGCGTTGAAGTGTTTTGGGATTCCGGTCGGGCTTCTGCGCTTAGGGTCTTGGGTTTGAAGGCTTGGGATGAGAGTACTGAGTACTGTCCTCTCTTGGGTACTGCCCCCATACAGTAACAGTCTACAATGGGGATATTATTCAGGACCTTCTGTGGGTAGTTCTCAAAATTAGGGTCCCTTTCTGGGTCCCTTAAGTACTGCAGCACCCGTATCAAAAAGGACCCCAAACGAGGGACCCTAATTGGGAGAACCGCCCATCTCCCTAGATTGACATGATACTTCTGAGCCAACTGATACTGAATGGAGGCGGTATCCAACCCTTCCTAAACCCTAAAACCCTAAACCCTAAACCCCTAAACCCTAAACCCTAAACCCTAAACCCTAAGCACCCTATATGTCTACATTCTACACATAGTCCTCACCTGTTACCGAGTGGCGGGCAGAGCCCAGGTCCTCACCTCAAAATGGGAGTTTCCGAAAAAATAGGGGACCCTGATATAGTACCCTGAATACTAGGATCCTGATCATAAGGGCTCCAGAATAAGGCACCCCTGGTTTTCGGAAACCCTAAACCCTAAACCCCTTATAGAACCCTCATAGTACCCTTTTGAATCCCTTTACAGGTACCCCTAATTTTCGGCAACTCCCAAGTCGCCGACGAGAGAACAATCGGGGCCCGGGCTTCGCTTTAGGCTGACACCAGACACGATGACCTGGCATCGGAGTCTGCGGCTTAGGGTTCAGGGTTTCGGGGAGTTTGGGGGGGCGTGGGTTCTCGGTTTAGGGTTTAGGGTTTAAGTCGTTTAAGTCTTGAGGGTTTAGTGTCGTCGGAGCTTGAGAAAACTGGCAATGAGGTATTTTGCGCCCCGTCGCATGCCCCTTCTTGCAGGAACCTCTCACGAGACGACGCCGTACTTCGGAAACCCCAATATCATCCGATGACGCCGAGACATGGATAAAGAAGCTGGAGCCACCTGGTTCTTATCACGGATGATTCGGCTGATGACGCCATGTTTGCCCTTCTCACTGCCATAGAGAACTCGAACACGATCCCCAACTTTGATGTTCATTTCCTGGGCACAAGCCGCGGTGCAAAGATTCAAGGATTGCAGCGTGAAGAAGAATGTACTCCGTGCGGCAGAGACACTCTTGCCAAATCCAGCTTGCAAAGCCTTCTATCGACATCTCTGGGATCAGGTGGCGCTGGCCATTTCGAGGGCTCCTTGCTGACACTGAGGAAAGGCAGCCTGCATCAGAAGTCAGAACACATCCGAGAAGACCAAGCAGTGTCATATTTGCTGAGCCCAACACTGACGATATCTTCTCTCGGTCTCCTCCTGTCGAAGCCGTCGAAGCGATTACGGTGGACACCACAGCGTAAAGTCAAGAAGAGGAACCTGAAGAGCATGACATATCGCACGCGAGCCGCACTGAGCCGCACTGCCCGCTCCGCTCCTGCCGGATGCGCTGGTAGAAAGGAATGATGCCGCCTCGCGCTACTCAAGCTGAAAGACTCACATCGCTCAATTGCCATTTGGTTCGTGCGTTCCAAGTTCTGTGTTCCTTGCTTGCGCTGGCAGCGCCGAAGTTTAGATGCCAGCTGCTGCTGTCAACTCAGTGTGTCAGATGTGCCTAGGACCTGCGGCTGTCAGACACCCTGACGTGGTAATGAAGAGATACGTGAGTTTCTGTCGAGGAAGCCCCAAACCCCACAAGCCCCCAAGTGTACCAAGCGTAACACCACACGACCTGCAAAGCTTGCAGCCATTCTGCGAAAACAATGATACATTGACACGGTGCAAAGAGATCGAAATAGGCTGTGGAAGTTGCCGGTGTCAGCAGGTGCTGCCGAGACGCCTTTGATTCGCGGCTTCAAGTGCGCTGCGGGCCCCCAGCATGTCAATGAGCGAAACATCGCTGCTATATGACCAACAGATCGGACGGCCTTTAATGTACTATTGTGTTACGAGACAAGTGAAGACATCCAAGTGGAACTGGCGGTCAGCTCGAGCCTCTACGCTTGACAGAGGGAATTCATTCGGTGCTCAAGTTCTGCTTGACATTCAGCAGCAGACTCCAGGGCGAGGCGGTTTTCAAGCAAAGTTCTGCGGAGCTCCTCTGGCGGGTCGGAGAGTCTCCTGTACATGGAAATCTCGCGGTCAAACTCCACGAACGTCCTTGGCCTTGCTACTTCTCTCAGCAAGGACACGTTGCTTAGCTGCTTGATGCGAGAGCGCTCTGCTCTCATCTCGCGCATGGATTGCTGCCTGAAAGCATCCTCGTCGTCTTCCCTCCGAGCGTGTGCGGTAGCCGACCTCCTCCCTGCCCAAGCAAAGAGTTCAGAATGAGAGAAAGGCCCCTGTGCCTTCGGAGGCTCCTGCATCAAAAGTTGCAAGGTCTGAGACTGGCACAAGCTGAGCTTTGCATTGACTTTGTTGCGGCCAGCGCCAGATCTGTGAGGTGATGTCGGGGACGTTGGGCTCACGGGGCTCATGGGGCTCATTGGGCTTCTTGGGCTTTTCGGGGAAGTCGGAGAGCAGATGGCTGAGGGAGGCCGTCGAGCTGGTGAAAGGACTTTCTCGAAGAACTTCGGAGAGTCAGAGGAGCCCGGGTCGGTGCCCCCGAAAGCATCGTAGGTTAAGGGGAATTCGTACACTGCTGGGTCAACATGACCCTTGCCCTTCAGCATTGAAACCTCCACCATGTCCCATCCGAGCACTGTCTCACAATCCTGAAACGCGACCAGGCTGGACGTGCGGCCTGCCAGAACTTTGCTGACTTTCAAGCCTCGCACCGCTCCTTCTACACACATGGGCTGCGTGAAGGAGCGTCGCTGGAACCGCTCAGTCCCCACAGAAGCCTCCAGAGTCCCCCAGGTGAAAACACGGCCATGTGCAGTCAAGGCAAGTGCGTGGTCTATGGCCGCACTGATACATGTCACACAGATGGAGAGTTGCAGGAAGGTTGGGATTGCAGCAGGAGCATTGCTTGCACCAGAGCGTCCCAGGATGTCTCCTCCTACGGAGGCCCAGCTGTATGCAACGCCACGGGCCGTAACCGCGAAACTTGCATGCTCAGTGTCCACCGCGCTGACGAAGAAGTTCTCACTTCGACCACCACCTGCTCCTGTTCCTGCTGCGGGAGTCAAGATAGCTTGGGGCTTGCCCCCTTTTGAGTGAAGGATGACTGCTTCCGGCAGCGCCGAGGACACTAAGCGCGCAGAGCCTTCGGCTTCCAGCGGCGTGAGGTTGCAAAGTAAGGTCGGCACAAGCACGTTGCCTGCCAACTCCTTCAAGTCCAACTCCTGCAACTCTACAGGACTCTTCGAACTCCTCGCAGCTCCCGTTTCAGTGGTCTTAATGACCTGGAAAAGCAGAAAGGGGCAGGCTGTAGGATGTCGACTCCCATCCGCACCCGGCCGAACTGTGCCCTTGGATGGAGCAGCACGAGGTTGTGCCAGGGGCATCCAGGAATTCAGGCCCAAACCTGTTCTGGACCCCCATGCCCACGCTTGTCCGTCGCAATCCAGAGCAAGGTTCGTCTGGGGTCCAGCTGAGACGCTCCGCAGGCGAGGCAAGACGGCACCAGAAGCACAAGCAGCTGTGAGGCTCTCACCGCGCTGTGGCTCCAGGAGACCAGCAGAACGCATCTCCGAAGTTGCAACTCCATGCGTTGCTGCCCATGGCTGCAAGCACGTCGCTTCGGCCACCACCCGTTGCTCCAGCTGCTCGGGGCGTGGCCATCCAATGCCGCATTGCCCACAATCGTTCTTGCCCCATGCAAAGCAGAGCCCGTCTCCTGTCATTAGAAGCGCGTGGTGCGCACCACAAGAGACCTGCCCGAGGGCGAGGGAACAAACGAACTCGACATGCAAGTTAGACGTGGGCCTACAAAAGCAACAAAAACTGTGCCGGACGTACCATGAGATAACACACACCAACCAAATGCCAAGGCGGCCTGCACGACACTGGGGCTTGCTGCAAGGAGGCGATGGTGCTGCAGCACAAAGGGCCCCTTCAGCTTCAGCGGCTCGGGTGAGCCAATCAGCTCGGCATTTGCGTGGCTTGGCAAACAGTAGGCTGTCCCACTGCGGCCGGCGAGGATGGCGAAGGAGTCGGCGGCATCCACGTCCACCACAGGCTCTGGGGCTTCAGCCAGGGACGCGACCCAGTCACGTGGAGGATACGGCCGAGCGCACATCACTTGCACATGAAAAGGCTGGAGAGCACCAGCTTGAAGCGAATCTGAGCTCATGCCGTGCATCGCCTGCACCTCCGATCGCTGCAGTGCCAGAAGGGCCCGACGCTCAGCAGCAAGCCGTAAGGCCAACCTGGACATAAACTGCTGGAGCCTCACTTGGCGAGCTCGCCAACTCCTTTGCAACTGCAGCGCAGCCATGTTGGCCACTTGCAGCCGTTCATCCTCGAGCTCAACCCTCACACGGAGCACGTGCTTTCGAACACGGATTGCCCATTCCACCTCTGCCTTATCAGAGGCCATGCGCTCGCGTATGTCGTCGGTAATTCGGCGACCCGTCCTCTTTGCATACTTCTCCCAATCAAACACACGGCCACTGCGGATGTACATTCCCTTTACGTACCTGGAGAGCACCTCCATGGCAGCCTTTTTGCGGGCCTCGTCCACTGAACGGCAAAAGCGCATTCGCATTTTCAGGGTTCTCAGAGCAATGCAGAAAATCCTCTGGTTGTCTGCATGGTCTGTCTCCAGCCGTCGCCCGAGAAGCGTCTCTCGTGCCCAATAGCAGCGCAGGAAGCTCTTTAGGGTGTTGCAGGCGCGCTGAGCCGATTTCTCAAACCGAACTTTCCGCGCAGACCGTCGTCCCAAAGCCCCACGCCACATAGCAGTTATTCTCGCACTGGCCCGACTGTAGAGCAAGTGAAAAGCTAACTGCGATCGTTTCTTGTAAGTTTGAATCACGGATCTCAAGAGATCAGATGAATGTTGCAGCAACTGCCTCTGTCCAACTGCACGCAAGCTCTGCTGTGCAGCAAACCGCCGACAAACATCCCTCACTGTCTGCATGGCAACCTGCTCCTTCTCGGTCCTCTGCTGTGCACGTTCGAAACCACCACGTGCACGTGCTTGGATACAAGACACTGCTTCATGTTCTCTTCTTTCTGAGAGTTGCCGTCGCAGCTGCACAGCCTTTAGCGCTACTCTCAAGAGACTTTCGGGATGCTCTCGCATTCGACGACGCATGTGCAATCGAGAAAGTAACTGCTGAGCCTCGACCTTCTTCTCGAGTCCCACAAGCAGGGCTTGCAGGCGCCGGATGCAGAGACCATGAACACGCCGCTTGCAAACTACCACTCGACAAGCTTCTTGCAGCCGCCGAACGGCTTGCTGCTCCTCGAAGCTTGCGAGGCGAATCCGTAGCGCGAGGCTCTTGAGCACAGGAGCCACAGTTTCAAAGCACTTTGCTGCCTCCCGCATCTTTATCATCTCGACTTTGGCAACGCGTCCGCGTTGCAACGTCTGCAGTTTCACGGAGGATGCCGCAATGCTGGCTCTGGCGGCCAGGAAACGCTGGTGCACTGTTTTGAACAGGGCAGAAACCAACTCTTTGTCTGCCAGATCAGCTTGGGCAGGGCCGGGCTCGCCGGTTTCCTCGATTTCCTCCGTTTCTTGTCCTTCGGACACCTCCATGGCGAAGAGCCTGGGAGCTGAGACCAAAGTCCCGGAAAGCTGATATGTCAAGATCTCTAAGTGTGGGTGTCGTCTTCTAGCCAATTCGTGGATTCAGAGTCGGGTCAGGTCTGCAACGAGTCGGACTTGAAGGTAGTGGCTACGGTCGTGGCACGCACCGGGTGTTGGATGTCTGACCGGAGGTGCGAGAAGTCTCTGGCAACGAGGCCATTTTCCTCGCGCGCTTGGCCGCACTCTCTTCCCCGCCAGAGCCTTGGCCAGAGTCGGAGTCCGCTGGAAGAGGCTCGCTGAGAACGCAGCCGGGCCAGGAGTCGTGCTGTTTGCCAACCAGACACCATGCATTCGGCCGAAGATGTCTTGCTCCTCCTCCTGCAGGACTAACGGAACCGCGGTGCTTTCACTGAACTGTGCCAGGGCGGCCTCCACCGTGTGCCACAGCCTGAGGTCAACCATTTTCCTCTCAGGCTCCTCGCAGACAACGTTATGCACACACACACACATGCCTAACGAAGGGAGACACAAGATGTGGCAGCAACTGCCAGTCACGACTATGCATCCTCGGGGAAGCGCTTGGCGAAGCAGCGCCGAGCTACTAGCTCTGCGTTGACCTTACAAGCGCCGAACAAGTGCAGGGCCCATGCAGACCATTAAGCAGCATGATTGATTGTACGTTCCTGGCATCAAGGAAGAAGATGCCCAGGGGAGTCAACCTGGCTATCAGCCACGACCAAAATCTGCTGCAATCTGCACCTCAGCAAAGTTTCGCCTTGAGGCTGCTATAGGTCCCTCCAACAGCTCATTGAGGGTGAAGGTCCTGCAGCTTGCCGGACTCGGTGGACAACAAAGCACTCGTTGAAAACAGAACGCCAGCAACCACTGAGGTTGGAGGGTGGTGGCGCAGCATTGCTGAGCCAGCGGGAGGACGAGGGGGGCGGAGGAGGAGGAGGAGGAGGAGGAGGAGGAGAAGGGAGGACGAGTATCAGCGCGAGGCGGCTAGTGTTGCGTGTGCAAAGTTCTCAACCACCAAACCCCCTGTGAGAGGCAGAGCACATGAGTACACAAAGAACGGCTCCCCCTGCTTGCCCCGTCGGTGCGTCGGCAGCTCGAAAAACACTTCCCGCCTGGTGTCGTGTAATCTAAAGGCATCGGCATGACGATACTGCGTCTCACATCCCCTGCCCCGTCCTTTCCAAAGGATGGAAAAGCAGATCCAGAAAGCCTGCGTATGTGAAGAACTCCTTGGAGAGGGGGCTTTGCAGCAGTCAGCAGCTTGACGGAGGCGTCGACGGCGGTTGTACCCATGAGCTGCTGGTCTACTCTAGCTCGGGGCAACACTACCAAGGCGCCGGCCGGAAAGTGAACCAGCCAGTCGCGGATCTCCCTCGATTCAGGATCCTGCATCAGCCGAGCCACGACGCTTCGAAGCCTCTTACAAGTGGGCGGTTGCCTGCGATGCCGCGAGAACCTCCTGGCGCAAGCCTCGCACCTGCAGCACTCACAGCATCGGATACATCACCCTCGCCACTCTCGCCTGCAGCGAAACATGTGCACGGCTGTCTTTCTGCGCAACCCTTCCGTTGAACAGCCTCCCGATGCGAAGGTGTTCTAGAAGAGCCTCCTCTTCGGGAGGAATGGAAAAGGGATGCTTGGTACACGAAAGTGCAAAGGAAAGGCTCAGGGGTGCTTGGCACACACTTCTCATAGGAAGAGACCGCACGGCTCCTTGAAACATCTGGGATGCGAAGGGCAGCTTCTTCAGCCAGGCCTTCGCATAGGAGGCTCGTGACGTCGTGCTCAAGCGCTTACGAAATCTGAGCCCCAAAAAGGCCTCAACTTGCGGTTGCCAAGTCTCGAAGCTGATGGTGGAATAGGTTGCAAGCTGAAGGACCTCGTCGCAGCCAGATGTCCCATGGAGCTCAAGAGCCCTTTCAAACTGTGCCCCGTTCAGGTATCTAGATGTCTTGACAGCTAAATCGCCTCTGCAGAACCCTGAGTTCGAAGTTGGCGATGAGCAGCTAAGCTGTCGGCACCATCTGGCCGAAGCAGTGATGCCAAGCGCTGCAGTCCCAAGGATGGATCCGGCAAATGATGCCTCGAGCTGCTAGAGTATGCTAGAATGCTAGAATATACTAGATTTACCATAGTAGGCTGGCCAAAGCAGGAATCTGTACCTTTGCCTCCTGCAGAGAGTCTCAGCTTCAAGCAGCACGCCACAGCAAACCACCAGGTCGAAACCATCTCGAAGAAGAGCATGATCTTCCAATAAGACCATGCAACTGAACACAGCAATGCTTCAAATCTCCAAAGACCAGGGGGGCCTCGTGTGAGGTGCTGGATATCCCCGACTAGAAACCTCACGCGGGCCTGCGCAGTCAGTGTGAATCGGATGCAGCCACGTTCGAAGGTTGGCTTCTGGATCTCTACATCATGATCTACAGTACTCCACTTGACTCTGCCATACTATACTATACTATACAAAACTGTACTGTACTGTACCGCACCGTACTGTACCAGACTATACTATACCATACCATACTGTACTATACTGTTGTATAACAGGACTGTACGGTACTATGTCATCACGTCATGCTGTACTACATTAGATTGCATCGATCAAACGTCTCTCAGGCGGGCACGAACTCTGTTTCTGTGAGAACACATCGCAGCTTCCGCTTGGCAGCGGCCAGGGTCTTGGACGAGCAAGGTCGATGCAACACAAGATGAAGCATGATACAGTACAGCCGTACAGCATCAAAAAACTACAGCACACTAGTAAATCAATATGTTGGTGGCCTGTCCTGTGCTGGCGTGGCTGCAGCAAGCTGAGCGCATCGCTCTCGCGGAGACGTCAAGGGCGACGAGCTGAATGGGCAGCAAGTGGAGCACATTGATGGCTAGGGCTAGGCCGCTGCACAGCATCCATTCCAGAAACTTGCCGAAAACGGCTGGCAAACATCGTCATGTGTGGCGGGCAAGGCCTCTGATGTGCCTTCCAGCTGCGTGCTGCGAAGTTCGACCGCCACCTGATGGCCTCAAATCAAAGAAGAGCGAGGGGTTCGGCTTGGCCCCCGTTGATTGGGCTTGAACACGACGACACAGTTGACACGCGTTATTGACCGGAAAACGAGACTGGAAGATACCTCTACCATCTGCCTGAGCCGCATCCAGCGACAAGGATGCGACAGCAGGAAACCTGGCACAGAAGGCAGTGTGGTGGCCCGGGGCAACCGCACGGTACGGAATCGAACTTGCAAGAACCAGCCGCAAGTGCAGTAGTGTGTGCTCGCTGGTTACAAAGATGGCTTAGGTGACCGCAAGTCACGACCCTGGGTTTCGTGCAACCTCCAGCTGCCCAACACCGTTCTACACTCTGTGGCCTGCTCTGGAGTCCACAGGGGAGAGATGTACTTTAAGCGCACGTCCAGAGGCACCTGCATACACCGCTCTCCCTGTTTTTCTCATAGGTGCTCCTAAACTTCCGAGTCCCGGGCAGGGATGACGCCCACGCTCTCCACTGCAAAGTGCCACGGAGGATACCTCACTCGTGTGATGTTTTCCATCCTTCCAGCGCTGCCTGTAGAAGCCCCTGTTGGCAAACCGAGGTCGCAGCAAAGTACAGTCCTTAGGGTTCACTCTTCAACAGCAACACATGAACCTGTAACAACATTGATGTTCGGATAAAAAGGAATAGGGGTAGATAGGGGTAGTAGAGAATATGTATGATGGTAACAGCAATACTGTCAGAAGCCATCATAATCGTCATCATCATCACTCAAAAAAGCAAATGATATTGTCCTAAGACACGGATAGCTCCAGTAGCCGGTAAGGAAAAGAAATGTACCCGACTGCCGGTTTGGCTCTAGCTTCCCGGCTTGTGCCAAGATTAGAAGACCGATACAAAGTGCAGCTCAGGTGTACATGCACACCCTAGCCTGCCAAACTCGATGCATGGACCTTTTGGTGCTGATGAGGATGACTAAAGTGAGAATAGTAAAGATACCAACATGTACCAACAGTGATTCTGAGACGGATACGCTGTCAAGTCAAGAAGATATCAATATCAATAACAAATAGCAAACAGCTCAATCACAATCACCCTCACAGTGCCCCCAATCAATGATCACAGAAATCGCTACTAAAGAAGTATCACACCAAGAAAAGATCCTTGAGCCGAGGGGCGTAGAAGTCTCGGCAAGGAGAGGCCACCAAGTCGTTCTCGGACAGGTACTCCAAGGTCTGGCAACAGCCATGGAAAAAGTAGCTGTCAATTTGCCTAGTAGCGGCGTCAGGGTGTCTTAGGCTTTTAGGGTGGGGTTTTAGGCTGTAAACTCTAGGGTTTTCGGGTTTAGGGTGTCGGGTTTATAGGCAAGGTTTTGTTGTTTGCAGGCTCTTCTTTTCCAACTGCATAGTTCTGTGCGAGTTTAGGGTTTGGCGTTAGGGAAGGCCTTGATCAAGGCTTCCTCCTCCTTCGGCTGCTTGCGGGTCCTGCCGCGACACGGAAGCTGCTCGCAGAGCAAACACGGAGCTACGACGGCCTGCAAATGAGCTCGGCCAGCTCAGGGATGCCGTCCATGGCCTGACACAGAACAGCGTGGCAAAAGGATGGGGAAGGCGTAAGTTGGAACATGACACTAAGGGGCAAGAGGTTCACCACTTCTCTGTCTTCAACCTTTGACTACAGTAGCCGATCAATGACGGCAAATGCTGCTGGTCGTCACCCAGATTGACATGATAGACATGGCAGAGCCAAAGCTGCAAACTAGCGACTGTACTCACTCGGTTATCTCCGTTGGGCGAAATGTTATGCCAGGCTACCTACTTGGGACGAAGACCTTGACGCCAAACAGCCTGCTCACAGCTGACTCTACTTGTTCAAAGGGTTCTGCCAGGTTTATGCTTGCTGCAGAGCGACCTCAAGCTGGGCGGATGCATCGTGACGAGGCACCTTCAAAGAGCTGCGCCGACGGAGAAAAGAAGATCGAGAAGTGGAGCTTTGACAGCCTCGTACATTGCGGAGACCAGCCAGTCAGTAAAGGCGCCCTGGGAGGGACGCGATGAGCGAGAAAGAGCATCCGGTCTGCACTGAGGGCCAGGCATCAGGCGTGCTGCCTGTGAATGCATGGAGCAGTCCAGTGCTCTCCGCTACGCATCATGACATGAACATTGCACATACATGTCGGCATTTTACAGTAGCCTTGTGGCTCCTCGTCGGTCTCATGCAGGGGAATGCAGTAGCCCGTGAAATGGCAATGGCCTGCAAGCAGCAGCCGCTGAGCACCCCATTGTCGCATGCTGGTCCTAGAGTTACTTGCTGCCAAACCACAAGCAACAGCAGCTGCGCTGGCCAACAGCTCGTTCGAGGGTGGGCGAAGAGAGGCCTGGTGGATTCATGAACGCAAGAGCTTCACAAAGCACTGGAGAGTGCGCTTGCCGAAAAGTTGACCACGACTTTGTCGCAAGCGCCCTCTGCCTCGCTGAGCGCTTTTCGCAATTCAAGGCGCCAGCGACGCACCGCGCTTTCCATACCCGGCTGGCAAAACGCCTCGGAACGTCTGAGCGCGGACACCGGCATCTCTAACATTCTCAGCTCAGAGTCTTAGCACCTACATCTGCCCGAGCTTGCTGCCCTTACACAGCTTCAATGGCTTGCACAAAGAAGCTGCAGGAGTGGGCTCAAGTGCAGGGCCCGGTCTCAGTCCTCCACCCGTGAATCGATCAGCAGGGTCCGGATACCTACATGCTGCAGTGGAACCCTGAGGTCACAGTGCACTGGGCCAGTCCCTGCCAAGCCTGGCGGAAGGTGGACGCCATGCAAGGAAGGCAGCCGTTGAGGCAGGAAGGGTGCTGGCATCAGCAGCCGCCTCGCAGCATCCGGGCAACGCAGAGCTTCGCGGAGCACTCTGCTCTGGATCACTTTGCAACCCCTCCTCGATAAACTTTCCACGGCACCAGCCGCAGAGCAGCGAAGGAACTGGCCCAGCATCTCGATGAACTCCAGCGACGTTTCCTCCGAAATGTACGAGACATAAAAGATCTATCAATGCACGATGGTATGTGACGACATGATAGTTCTACAAAGCGAAAAGAATGGCACGGTATGTTATGGTGTGGTGTAACGTATATGGCACCATACTGATTTTTTCACAAGATCTCCCTACAGTTACACATATTTGCCTACTCATATCTTCTCGGCTCTCACTCCGAGGTCCCTGCATCTCCCAAGCAGCCTTCCAGTCGGCCCGGAGCCGCGGAAGAGCTGAGGTCGTCCAAAAGGTGCAGCGCCTGTCATTTGTTCAGTGTGCTTTGGTTTTTGGAGGGGCGTTTTGGAGATAAACTGCGGTCTTCAGAACTCTACAGTTTTCCAGCGTGGTTTGGCTTTGCAAGCGGCTCAGCATTTCCGTGCCTGACAGGCCCTTCGCTCCCAGCTGCTCCGGCCACAGTCTGACTCCTGGAAGTTCTTGCGGTAGCTGGCTTTTCCATGACCCATGAAACCACGCCTTCACGTGATGCACTGCTCGTAGCGCTGCATTTAGGGCTTCAACCTCCAGCTCCTCAAGCTCCTCCTCTTGGCAAGGAACTTCCGAGCTCAATCTCCGGATCATCTCGTCGCAGACACCGCCTGATCCTTCCCATCGCGACGCCCCCTCGCCAGGCGCTCTGCCAGGCAGCGCGCCAAGCCTTCAAGCTCGTCTTCAAGCTTGGGATGGCTCTGGGTATGCCAGTATGCTTTTAAGGGAATGTTACTCTTTGCGCGTTTGTTCACAGGAGTATGGAAGCTGTCTTGGGTTTCTCAGGCGATGACCAAAGTCATCTTTCGAAACGCGGTATTGGGTCTCGGCCAGCGCCTCACGAACAAGGCGGTAGCGAAGTCAACTGCGCGCATTTATGCTGCGAAGCCTGCACGGCTGCAAATACATGCCAATGCTAATGAGTCTGCGCTTGTTGTTATTATCATGAAGTGTGGACCGATGTGGAGTCTCGGCATTGATCAGAGCATGTTCCGTCGCCTCCTCGGCGACTCTACATGAAGGCGCACACATTCAAAAACAAAACGGGACATTCACGACTCGCAACCAGCCGATCCGCACACAAACATAAGCAGTATCATTGATACTCAACATCGCTGAAGAAGCTGCAAAATATCCTCGCGGCTACACATGCGAAACACATTCTCCGACCCAATCAGGGAGCTGCAAGGAAAGGGCTCTTCGCTTCCAGTTTCCTTTATGAGCACGATCAATACGGCACACACAGGCCCTCACGGCAAAGAGACGAGCGTTCGAAGAACCCATCCCGATTGAAAAGCGTTCCGAGACCAGCGCGTAGTGCCGAAACAATGCCAGGTAGTCACCTCAGCCGACATCCCAAGAGGTCTGGCAGCAGACAGAATCATATGACCCATTGCCCACTTGCCTGCACAAGAGATGATCTCCATCTGGTCACCGTCGCTCGTGATGTCGATGCTGAAGGAGAGCTCCTCCGCCTCGCCTGGTGCGTGCAACACTCGCAGCATAACGCAGCGGGCAGGCCCGCAGGCCCAGCTGCGCCTGCTATGGCATCGTCCAAGGCTCCGAGAGCCCCGGCTCCCAAGCCAACGGTGTGGCAGCGGGAGCGCACCTCGCGCAGCTCCGCAAGGCTCAGGTCCTTGGCAGCTGCGTGCACTCGCCAGGCAGCCAGGCAGTAAGTCTTTCCCGCTTCTCAAAAGGTTATTTTTGGATCGAAGCACCAACTCACCGTAGGAAAGCTGCGATGCGAGATGGGCCTGCACCATGGTAACATGACACAACATCCAGTCCAAAGAGTGCGGTGCCCGGCTTGCCTCCAGTTCTATGAAATGGGCGTCAAGCTGATTTGCCTCAGTTGGTGGCAAGTGCATGTGGGCTCTGAGCGGCACTCTCACCACATCAAGCAGCCAGGCAGCCTCATCATCATCCATCACGCAGGCAGGCAGATCGCACCGATTACATGATGGACTTCAAGTTCTCGCCGCTGGGTTTCTTCGTGACTTCACTGGCGCCATGCCCGACCATGCTGGATGTTCACATCTGCCTCACACAGCCGTTCCACCAAGGCTGAACCTTCATCTTCAGATGCAGCGCGTGTGAAAGCCAGAAAATGCCAAGCGGTCCCATTCAAGACGAATCCAAATGCGTCAAGTTCGTGATGTTCTGACTTCCGCGATTCTGTTGCTGGAAGGTCGCTTTGGAAAGTGAAACACGCAACCTTCGGACCCTGCAAAAGACGACAACTTCTTTGGCACTGTGCTTGCTGTGGCCTTTTGGTGCTTCACCCTGAGTCTGCAGGTGTTCCGATGGCTGCATACTCAAAGCTAGGAGGATGCATCTTCCTTCTTCTCAGAGACGAAGGCCCGGATGTTCACAAGGGTAGGCCTCAGAGCACCAATAGAGGCTACTACGGGTCGCAGCTCCAGCGGTCTTGTCGGTCCGCTCCGCTACGCGAGGGGGCCTTCGCCATTCGTTGCTTCGCTCCGGCTTGATGCCTCGCGATCTTTGGTGCTCTAAAGGCGCTCACTGAGCGACTCGGCGTAAGGAGCAGACCGTCGATTCCCACAATCCACCCCGTCTCCTAGCATGAGTTACATGAAGTGAGGGGTCGGACAGGCAGAGACTGTGGCAATCCATCTTCCAACTGCTTCGACCCCACAACGCTTTCACCACTCGGTAAAGCAATGAGCTCTGAAGCTGTCATGCATGCATGGGAAGGTCTGGCTCCTCCTTGGTCTTCTTCTTATCTTTCTTCCTCGCCGGCGCCGGCGAGACGTCCTGGAAGAAATCGTCCGTCGAAGCTCTGCAAAACCCCCCTACTACCCTAAACCCTACAGAAAACAACAAACCCCAATATCCTAAACCCTACACCCAAAACCCTAAACCCCTAAACCCTAAACCCCTAAACCCGAAACCCTAAATAAAAACTGTGTCAGGCGCCTCCTCGGTAAAGCCCAACCGCTCCATGGGCTCCTTCGTCATGAGGTTCTTGTCCATGCGACATTGCAGGTACCTGCAGATTCGAGCCCAAAGGTCCAAAGCAAAAGTAATAGAATAAATAAATATGACAGTAGTAGTAAACTAATGGTAATAGTAATACTAGTAGTAATAACGAAAGACCCAGGCCAGCTGGTGAGCCCTTGGGGTCTCAAGGGCACCGCTTGGAGAGATACCGGCACGACATGTTGTCGTGGCTGTGCTGCTTCAAGCACTGCAGGTACTCGTCCTGTGGGTCGTCAGCGTATCCGAAACCCTTCTTTGCATCTCAGATTTTTGTGAACGTTCCTCAGCCCCAAAACATGAACACGGCTTTCCGCGGATCCTTGAGCTTCGAGCACTCGCTAAAGTGGTCCAGTGGGAAGGACCCCTGCGACATCGGAGCGAGACTTGAGGCGAAGCAAACTTCGACTGGCCTTGTCGGGAGGCCGGCCGGGCATTATCCGCTTGCCCATGGACACCTGGCTAAAACTTGGCATTTCGCATTTCCGAGGCCAATATATAGTTGTGTCAGCACCGGCTCTGCTGAAGGCATAAGCCAACTGAGGTCTGAGATTTTTCCGGGCGCAATCGCAGGTGTCGGCTGCAAACCGAAGCCCCAGCTTCACAGCTGAGTCGAGGCAGAAGGTGCCTTCCATCTACAGAAGGACTGACATGCCTTGTGCATGACGCCGCGAGGATCGCGACTCTGAAGACCTTGCTGTAGGTCTTTTGTGGAGCATCATCCCACAACCCGCACCGCTCGGAGATCAGCAAGGCCAGCAGTCCGAGAAGCCTGGCAGGAACGAGCGACAAAGCTCCTACGGCTCTCCAATAGAGACTTATGACTTATTTATACAGACTTACACGGACTTACACTGTAATTCAGCGCACCTCCTGTCGTTGGTTTCGGCGTGCCTTGGCTGGGGCGGAAACCTCAGCTGAGTTCCACAGGAGGCTCAAGCCTTGCATGGCGCTGAGCCTGCCTTCCCATGTCTCAAGGCTCGTGTACAATGGCCAAAGGAAGCGTGGAAACACGGCGTTGGAGCTCACGGATGCAGGGTATCTCGAATTGCCAAGAAGCTAAGATCCAGAATTGGTGCTCCATACGGCCGGCGGCGAGACGCGTTTAGCCTGGCAAATGTATAACGGCCGCTCCTCTGCAAATTGACTTTGGTATCTGATGCTCGGGGCTCTGAGCTTTGGACAGGAAGGGAATGCACAGCAGCAGGGCGGCAATCGCGAGCCTGTTGCAGAACAGAGCTACTCTACTGAATTCTACTGGTACGTGAATAACAGCGCCACCCCAGCACCATGCAAGACATGTCCAACAGCGATCACACGTCTTCACTTCCGAGTAGCAAGTCGCAGACTACTGCCCAGGCAATCTTTGGCACACCCCAGATGTAATCCTCAGAAGGAGCCGGGGCAATCTGGCCGAGTACAGGTCACGGCACCGACTTGAAGCTTGAAAGCCGAGCTGCGCATGTGGGCAGGGTCAGCGGGCGAGGCACATTCGACAGTGCGGCCCCAGCAGTGGAGTTGCTCGTCATCGACAGCACCGAGCTGACATTCGCTTTGCTTGCATTCAGCAGTGTGGTGTTAGAGCTGCCCAGCACGCTGGTGTTTTCTGCAGCCTGCGGGCTGAGTCGCGGGGAATGGGGCAGATGGCACGGGAGGGTTCGAAAGCAAGCGTTTCGAGGCATTTTGGGCCCAGCCGATCTTCGAATCCATCGGAACCCCAATGGAGCGCTCCATTGTCCGTATTGCAGAGACTGCATCAGCTACGTCTAGCTGTCACAGAATGCTGAAGAGATGGTTTTGCTAACTTGCCATGTTGGATGTCCTGCAGTCGCTGCTGCTCTGAAACGTCAGAGCGCCATGAATTACATGGTGCTCTCGATTCAAGGCACAACCCTGCCACTGCATAGCAGCCTGACAGAGTGAACTAAATCACTGGCAGCTGCCTAGGGCACGCTGCCGTAGAGATAAAACCCTTAAAACCCTGGAAAGCCCATCAACAACCCTAACCCTACCCTATGTTGCCTAAACCCCAGGCCCAAAGCCCTACATGTTAAGGGGAGATCGCTCCGTCTCCTTTCACCAACGCCGAGAGCAAAGAGCACAAATCCGGGGACTCGTCTTTAAGATCCACGACCACTGGGCGAGGCTCCAACTTCTCTTTCAACTTCGGCCTCAGGTAGTCCTCCCACCTCCTTGAGCCCTTCTTGTAGATCTTGATCCGTCCCTTCGGCGGGCTTACTTTCCTGCACCAGGGATCATCTCCATGAACCACACATTCCGCGTGAGGCACTTTTATTCTCCAGCTTCTGGAAACTACAGCCCTCTAATGTATGTCATAGCTTTCGGTCCTGCTTTCCGGTGGTGGCCGGGGTATTGCAGGTGCTGGGCGTTGCAGGGCCCCGGCACAAAGCTCCATGGGCCAACCCAAAGCCTGTTTAGGGTTTAGAATGGGTTTAGAGTTTACGGATTTCGGATTTAGGCTTTAGGGTTTGAGTTTCTACGATCAAAAAACCTCAGCTACCCGGTGGATGCACGTTCGCCTGCCTTGGCCTGGGCCAGCCACAACTGCTCTCCGTAGCACCGGCCGAACCTAAGCCGATACAAGATCAACTCTTGACCTCCTCATGTCAACAAACAAACTTGCCCAACTTTGCGCGAAGCCACGTGATCCGGGCATATACGGCGGATTGCTCCACTTCAGGCGTGAGGGGCGGTCTGTGCACCATCCCAGGCATGCGCTCCTTCCAACCCTCCTGTGCAAGAGACCGGACCTGGCCTATGCGTATCGGGATGTTGCTGTGCAAAAATCAGCGCAGCCTCTTCCTGCACGGCAAGGCTGTGACTTTGTCACGAGATGTTTGCCCAGGCTTCCGACTTGCACGGACACGGTCCTTCTTCAAGAACGCCCTCCACGTCTGGTTGGCACACTCCGCGGCCCAGAATGCGTGAGAAGAACTCGCCGGTGCTGTCTCTTCGAGCTGCTGGCAGATCCAGCGGCTGTCGCGAGCACTGTTGCTGGGGACTCCGACCTTTACCCAGAGACGGGCCGACTCGGCTGCAACGGAAAGGAAGGAAGTGCAAAGTAGGTGCTGCAGCTGCTCTGCATAGACCTTAGCGGCCGTTCCCACACTGAGCTGAAAAAGAGGCATACCATCGATCGTATCGTCAGGGCCGAGATGCGTCTACGCGTCCTGGTCCTGCATAGTTGACAGGTTTCCCGGACTCTTGTCCCTGCCGGCGCGCAATGTTTTGCCGCATCTCCTGTCGAAACGGTTCTGACGGCAAGAGCCCTCAATGACTCAATTCAACAACCCCAACATGCTAAAACCCAGAATTAAAACCAAAAACCTAGCCTCCAGGCTTTAATCTATTGGCCAGCGATGATGAAATAAATAAGTCTTCGGGTGACTATCATCGTAAAAGGATGTGGGGACCCTAAGCCCTACAGCCCATGGCCCAGACCCTAAACCGTAAAGCCTGACCCCTACCCTTAAACTGTCCTAAACCCCTGAAGCTCTAAACCCGAAAACCTAAACCCTAAACTTCAGGCTCGAGGGTTGCCCGCCTCCTGCTCCTTCAGGCGCAGCTCGCGAATCGCCTGTCACATTAGAGGAACTTGCAGTTGGGCCTCAGGGTTCAGGGTCGGGGGGGTCACGACGGCTCTTAGGGTTCTTAGGGCCGTGCGGTTGTAGGGATCTTTCGGGGCTCTTGTAGTTGTGGCCTCGTGGGATTTACAGGTGTGTGATGCTTCGGAGTTGTTTTCGTTCTGGCTTTTCGCTGTTCACGTCAGCTTCGGGTTCGGGGCTGCAAGGCTTTAGGGTGACGGGGTGTAGGCTCCCACACTCTTCTTTGCCTCGTGGTCAGCGGTCCAGCATCGCTCAAACAGTTCGTCGCTGGCTGCAACTAAGCTGAGGTCCTGCCGAGATATCGGGACATTTGCGGTGTGGAGTTGCCAAGGCTGGCAGCAACTCCCTCGAACATGGAGGAGGGGAGAAGGAGGTAGTACGGACCTGAGACTTCTGCATCCCGACGATTCTGCAGTTGCATTCGGACTGTTGCAAGCGACGTTCGGGGCAAAAATCTTAAGAGCAAACATCTATCCCGCCAATACCAACCCACCTCCGCATCACCTAATTTCGAGCTCATCGCAGTAGGACAAGATTCAATCTCGGACCCCGATGAATCCATGGCTTCGTGAAGAAAACGAACCTATCGCGGCACAGGGGGAGACACTCCGCCTCGTCCAAAGTCTTGCCATTTCTCTTGATTGCCAAGGACACGTCGTACTCTATCCTGAGCCGCGGCGATGACTTCCAACATCTTCCCGCAAGCTGGGCTCTTGCAACTTCACAAGCGTGGCTCCTCCAGCCTACCAGTCGATGTAACTAGTTCAACGAAGAACCACCTTCAAGCAGCTCTTTTACTAGTAGGTTTCCCTTGGCCCCAGCTTCGGCCAAGCAGCTCTCGATAGAGAAACGACCAGGAGCCCGCCCAGGCCTCCAGGGCTTCACGGTCACGTCGACGTGGAGCCTCAGATGTCCACAGGAGCGTCTGTTGAAATCTGTGGAAATATGGGAGGAGATCACCTCACGAGCATGTTATATCCTCGCCATGAACTACCGATGAAGGCCCCACACCTGGTGAGACAACTTCGAGATTCCGCACTGATCGGACAAGACACCCTGCTGAGCTTCTTGACCTTGTCCATGAACTCCTGTGCCTTTGAATCCGGAAGAAAGACCTTCTCCAGGATGCACCGCGCACAGGTGCAGGAGAAGTTGTACTGACCTCGCTGCCCACAACACTCCCAAGATACAGAGCGTGGCACAAGAAGCACATCGAGACCTACCTCAATCCCAAGAACTAAAGTCCTAAAGGCTAACAGGAAACCCTGCAAAGCCCCCAAAGCTGCACCCTGAAGTCCCATTGAGAAAAGGCGAGCGGCTTTGGAGCTCTCGCTGACGGAGCATTGCCGGACGGTCGACACGGACAAAGCTGCAGCAGATCTCGTCGCCCATCTGCCGTTTCAGTTCAATCGTGTCATGTGTACGGTTTTTTTGTGAAATTTGGGGCACCTTGCAGAAGGCTCCTTACATCTGTCTTGGCGCAGCAGGCAGGGTTCAGCACATATGTTCGATGCGCAACGCATCCGAGGCCTCCAGGTCTCGCGCAGCACGGCAGATCAGGACATCACCGACGAAAGTGAAGCTTGCATTTGGCCTGCACAATCACAAGGGCAGACCAGCTGTTCAAGCGGCGCAGACAGAAGCTTTTAGTGTTTTATGAACTTTCCAGGGCCTGCAGGAATGGTTCATGCACGCTGCAAGAGGCCAAAGTCCCCAGAGCTTCTCCTCGATCTCCCCCGTCTTGCTCAGGGTGATGCGGCTTCGAGCATTCAGCTGCAGGATCCTGGTCCCACACAACTGTACGAACTGTCTGTAATGCTTCAATCGTTGTAAGGGGCCGTCTTCGAATCCAAAGAGACAGTGTGCTGTGGTCCTCTGCACCTTGTCTTCATCCACCGTGCGATCTTGCTCATCTTCTTCCGGGCAGGCGATTGTGATTGATGATCCTGCCGGCGACACCTCAGCGAAGCGGATGGACACCTGTAAGGCCTAACATTATCAAACAGTGTCCACGCAAATCTGGATCTAAACCTTACCTGCTGCCTCGGCACAACCTCCTCCTCCTCCTCGCCGCCGAAGAGCTTCATGAACCTGCTGGGGTTGTTTCCACCCAGGCTCCATTTAAGCATGTGGTGCAGCGGTGCAGCTATTTCGCCGAGTCGCCGATCGAAGTCCGCCTTCGAGCAGCTCTCGAGTTTCTTCAGGGCGGCTTCGAGGAGAGCCTGATGACTTCCCAGTACGAAGGCTTTCCTTGGAGGTGCACTCTGACTCTCTCATCTAGCTAACGAGCGGCCTTTTAAATCTGGCATGTGCTACCACATGATAGGAGTCGCCTCCCTGAACCCCTGACCGACTTGCCACTTCCAAAACCTTCGGAATCCCATCATTCAGGGTTTTGCCGACTCTACTGAAACTGCCACAGTGCGCCCGTCTGCATCCTAGCGGTCCTGGCGCACTGCTGGGACTGCAGGCGAGCATCTCCACGAAAAGCAGCTCGCCAAGCTGTGCGCGATCGCGAACCTCGGAATATGACAGCCCTGCAAGGCCGTGACCGTAACCGTGCACCATGCATCCGAGCAGGGAAGGGGGGCCGGGGCCCTCTTTCCATCGAAGGCACCAGCAGCCCACGGCCGACAGGGGCCTTCTCCACGCGACTGCAGAAGCCTGTGCGAAACAACACGGTCGTCTCAAGGTCAGCCGCTCGCGCCCTGAACTACGGGCGCAGGCCGATACCAGAGTGTCACAGACCTGTGAAGAAGACTTCCCTGCGTCCGGTGACTCAAAGCCTGCCACAGCCAGCTCCGGTGGATCTCCACTTCGACTCAGCAGCGCAGCGGCATCCGCCTGGAAACGAAATTTGCCGACTTTGCCTTGCCGCCTGCTTCTGGGTTTGGGGATTACAACAAGGCACCTTCAAAGGGCTCCTTTCAGGGCTACTACAGGGGTTCTATGATCGCACGGTGCGAGGTTGGCCGGCCTTGAACATCTCTCGCAGCCGGTACTGTCCATCCTGTTCCTGTCTTTTAAGAGGTTTAGGGGTTTGGCTTGTGGGTTTGGGGTTAAAGGATTAGGGTTTAGCGGCAGGGTTTAGGGTTTAAGGCAATTTCCAGCCTTGAGATGTTGCAATGCCTTGCGGACGCCGCTTTTGCATTTCTTCTGAAATGCAGGGCTGCTGCCTCAACATGTCGGAAGATGCGCAATTTGCCCAACCCCCCACCCCCCGCCCTAACTCCAAACCTTAAAACCCTAGAGCCACCAAACCATATCATGATCCTAGAAGCCTCTGAACCCTCCTAGCACCCCTACCGAAGCCCCTAGAGCCAAAAAAAGTCCGGCCTGAAAGGCAGGCGGCTTTACCAAAGTTCGCCAGCGCATCTTGGTGGTTCCCACAGAGGTCCTCGGCAAGGCCCTTCTTGTAGGCGGCCTCTGGGCAGGGGCACAGGGGAGGGGATCTAAGGATGCTGCTGAGGCTTTAGGGTTCAAAGTTTTAGAGCCCGGGGTTTAAGGTTTTAGAGTTTGGGCTTTAAAGTTTGGGGTTTAGGGCTTTGGGGTTAGTTCTTTTTGAAAACCTTTTTCCCGCAGCAGTTTGGGGTTTAGGCTTTAGGGTACGATGCCTTCACGTCGTTACTGGTCTCCACCGGCACCGTGGCCATGGCCGACACCACCAGCCTGCATCCCTTGGCTTAGGCACGTTTCCTGAAAGCTACCAGTCACTACTCTTCCCGGCAAGCCCGTCGCGTTGACCAGCAAAATGAGCCCCTGGGGCACTATGGCCTGCTTGACATGCAGCTACACCCTTGCGGACACCTGCAGAAACCCCTTGAGCCGAACAGCTCTCGATGTGCTCATGAAACTAAGTCGCTTCAATCGCACCGAGGCTTCGCAGATAGGATCCCCGAAGCATCAAACCAACAGACCAAAATCTAAAGCCCCAACCCCCTAAACCTGAAGGCCTCATCAGGGGTTCTTGCTAAGGAATTTCCCATTTAAGTTACCATGATAGGGATCTACAGTAAATGATTAGATTCAATCCCCCAAAAAGAACCCAGTCGCGTTACCTTCGCTTGCGAGAAAAGGAAAGCGCGAGGCGATGCATCGCTGCCTGCGGGAGCTCCAAGCCGACTTGCAGAAGGCAGGTCTCCTCAGGAGCGACTTTCTTCGGGGGGGCTCAGGTTTTCGGGTTTCGGTTAGGATTTAGGGTTTGGGGCCTTTTTTTGAAGGCCTTTTTGGGTCTGAATGGGGTTTAGGGTCGGTCGTTTTTTTGAACGCCTTTTTCCGTCTGCTAGCTCGCTAACGTCCAGAAACCACCATAGTGGAGGGCAGCTTTGCCAGGGTTTAGGGCGTAGGGCTTAGGGCCGACGGCTTTATGGCTGTGGGGCTTTGGAGTTCAACACGTTGAGGGTTGAGGTGTTAGTGCTTAGGGCTTTGGGGTCTGGGCTTTCAGGTTTGGGTGTCAAAGGCCAGGGCCTTGGGTTTACAGCTAGGGTTCCAGGACGTGGGGCCTAGGGGCGACAGAAAGAGCAGGTGCTTGTGTCTGCGGCTCTCTGTCCTGCTATCGACTTGGTAGTGGCTGTGTTAGCGGAGTTAGAGGTGCCGCAACAAATCTCAAATCACGGAAACAAGAAGGCATTCCACATCTGCCGAAACATTTCTTGACTCTAACCTGCCCTCCTCCGAGGCTTGTCCCCGTCCTGAACCTCGTCCCTGATGTGCCCAATCGCCAGTTCCAAGCGCAGGATCGCGAGGAGGACGATGCAGCTCCGCATTCGCCTGAAGTGCCTTCGCTGCGTCATCTCTGAAACTCTCCCTGTGTGATGCAGACTGCTGCATCCAAGGTTCGCTGACGTCACTATCGGTTCGGTGTCAGAAGGGCCAGATGAGGCCGGGCCCTGAATGGCTACAGTCAACTCTTAACAGCTACCGCGATCAAGATCACACCAAAAGCATCGAAGACCAAGATCCACACGCGGCGAGAAAGAGCCGCAGGGTCCCATGGCTCTCAGCTGGGCTCGAGCCGAGGAAGCCGGAGAGGGCAGAGATTCCAAGACTTGACCTGGCACTGTCTGGAGAGGAAGCAAAGCGCGTCTGCAGCCTCGCTCATGGTCGTCGAGTGGACGATGCCAATGCAACACCTCTGTGAGCTAGACTTGGCCCTTTCTTGGCAGTCAAATATAGCCATAACTTCAGCTTGAACAAACTGAGGGCAAAGCAGAAAGAGCGTGGGACTACAACAAGCAGCGCTTCATGGATGAGTTCCCCGACAGAGGCGATCAAAAGCAAAGCTGAGCTGGTGTCCAAACGGCTGCTCGTCCGATAGCTCCGGATTGCCGAAACTGTGATCATAGTCACCCGTCTTGAAGCCACATATCAGCTGATGAGCCAGAAAGCTGCGGCAGTTCCGTGCCGACGCGGACCAGCAGCCACCAACCTAAGCATGGGGGACACATGCGACGTGCACTCACGACGGCGCAATCGAAAGATCTCTATAAGGGAAGCAGGGAAGGAAGGAAGGAAGGAAAGAAGGGAGGAAGGGAAAGAGCGAGCAAGCGAGGCTGGGAGTGAGTGCACAACCAACAAGCTTTCTTTGAGACGTTTTTCCTCACAGGCCGCTGCTTCTCAGAGCATCTTGCACCTTGTAGGAGCTGGGAGCAGAACTTACAGAACACTCGGGTGCCACTGCAAGGGAGTTGCCTGTTGAGGTGCAGCGGCCAGTAGTGCCTGTCAGGATGACCGGGTGAGCGTCGGAAATAGATTTTGATATAGAAATAGGTACAGACACAGACCAAGAAAGAGATCTAGATGCATATTTAGACTTGAACACAAGATATAGGTACGGACACAGATATAGACATCGGTACAGATACGGACGAAGACATAGGCATGCACGCAGATACTGATATAGTTACTGATGTAGATACTGATACAGAAACTGATGTATGGATACTGATAGAGGTACAGATTCGCATAAAGATCCAGAAGCAACTATAGACATCTGTGCAGGCATGTGTGTATGTATGCATATGTAGGTTATGCCGTTTATGACACTCGCACCCATGTCTACATTCAAATGTGCTTTACATTACATCAGACTATACTCAAGTAACTCTGGGAAGCTGTGTTGTACAGCATGGTGCAGAAGTTTGCGATATGGTATTTCCTTAAACTACTATACGACTATAAACAACATACTAGAATACTATAAGCATACCATATACAATGCCATAAAACGATAATAAGACAGTACGATGATCCGAAAATTTATGGCACTATGATAATACATTACGACAGTTCGAAATTACCGTAATGCAACAATAATACGATAATATTACAACACCGTACTACTGTCGTACGCGTAGCAATACCATGCGGCGATACCATAATACGGTTGAGACGACAATAATGTCAAGCAGTGGTGCTCAATGCAATGACACGATAAATACTATGTGGTATAGCAAGGCAGCAAGATAGTGGAATTATACGACAACACCATTGGGACATATCGTTCTTTCTGCGACAGTGATATTTGGCAATGACACTACAATGATACTGTTGTACTGAAACACAATAACACTATAACCCGATAGCACTACAACACTAAGTACCATTTTGTGTTCAATTACCAGAGTGGCTTAATACTCCAAAGCGATGATGCGACAGTACGGTCATACTAAGCTCTATAGTACATAGTATTTCTTATGTATCATATGTGATAGCACTATATGCCACACCCCCCGAAATATTGTACTAAGCTAAACATGTTAAAAGCGACGGCACCTAGTCTTTGTAATACATTAGCCTTGCATACCGCGCAGTACTTGTTATACTGTTATACACTAGATGACAGACACTGTGACTTCACTACCTGAATATGTATACATCAGCTGCTGTCACATCTAATTTTTGAAATCCATCCTGCTGTATGAAGCCGTGTCATCGTCTGTCATTATTATCCGATGTCATATTGTGCTACGTTACATCAAAGTACACTCATCGATTTTTATCCCCACACAGTGTACATGCAGCTCCATAGTATGTTTGTGTATATTGTGTGTGTGTGTGTGCGTGTTCGCATAGGTATGTGTATCTACCCCTAAACCCTCAACCAAAGCTCAAGCTCAGGCCAGCCTTGACCTGCTCGCCATGTGTGGCACCCAGCTGCTTTAGCAAGGCCTTGGCTTAAGTTGAAAGTTCAGGGTTTGGGGCTTCCTGACCCGGAAAGGCCGAACGATGAACCGCCACGGGACGCCAAGGATCCTGTGCTGAGCCCCAAATGTTCTATTCCTTTTTCGGCCTACTCGCACAAGTCGCAACTCCAACCAGGGTTGCGGCAGCAAGCCGCCCGAAGAGCCAGCCTGGATTTGGGACTCGCAGTCAATTAGAAGATGTGCCTTGGAAGTGTAGGATTCGGGGGGGTTTAAGGGTTTAGGGCTGTGGGGCTTTTGCAATCTTATTCTTAAACTTTCGCTGGGGCTCCAGGCTCAAAGACGAAGATCGTAATGAGCAGCGTGGGTTTGGGACCCAAAATGGGTCTTTCACAACATAAACCTGAAGCAATCGAACTCTGCAGTAAAGGGATCCCTAAACGTTTCAGAACCGCACCGTTTCAAACCCATCCTCCGAAACCAATCAAGAAACTCTCCACATGCCGACATGTGTTGAGGAGGCCACGAGCCACCGCTGTATCTTCCAGGGAGCCATCCTGGAACGGATTCGCAGAAGAGCGCTCCGACTTCTAAGCCCCCAAAGTCCTGAGTCCCTAAACCAACCAGAATCCCAGAACTGCAACCCTACTCCTGAAGCGCCAGAATTCTAGGATACCCTAAGCCCTGAGCTCCGAACCTAGTGTTCACCTGCTGTCGCAGCAGTCCGGCCTCTTTGAGGTTGCTCTGCCTGAGATCCGCGGGCCTCGAACAAACACGAGAAATGCGCTCTGCGCAGGGCAAGTTAGTCCTCCGAAACTGGGGCCAGAAACAGGAGGCAGATTTGCAGCTCTGCAGCGCTGCGAGCCTGACCGGTAACGATCCCAAAAACCACCCGCTGCTCCAGAGCCTTGGGCCTTGAACCAGCGCTCGGCTTTTTCGACAGGGCAGTGGTCACATGTCGGAGAACTTCCGCTTGAAAGTGTAAGCCCTACGACCCTTCTGCGTCGCAGCTGCAGCCGTGATCTGATTCTGGACGGCACTGCTGTCTCCTCCGAAGCTGGCAGAACCCCAGGTAACCACGCTGCCGTCGCTGCGAAGAGCAGCAAACGCATTGCTTGAAGCTGCAAGTTCCACCACATCCGTCAGTTCCTCGTCCCGGGCCCCTCCTGACTCCCAGTGTCCCCAGGCGACGACCGAACCGTCAGAGCGAAGGGCAGCAAAAGCCTTCTTAGCGGCTGTGATGTGTAGCACGTGCCGCAAAGGCTGCACGGAGCTGCTGTCTCCGCCGGAGCCCGGTTGACCCCAGGTCACGACGCTCCCGTCACCCAGGATGGCAGCAAAGGCGTACTGCGAAGCCACAACCTTCTTCACATCCTTCAGCTCTTGATGAACACTGCTGCTGTCTCCACCACACTCAGCGACACCCCACGTGATGACGCTACCGTCTGCACATGTCGCAGCAAAGGCTCTCTGAGAGGCAGCTATGTGCGTAACACTCACGAGCACATTCTGCATGTCGTCACGGGCGCCGGAACGAAAATCTCCCCAAATAATCACCCTACCATCAGACCGGAGAGCGGCAAATGCGTTCTGTGATGCTACGATCTCTGCCACGTCTTGCAGCTGAGCTCGTCTGTCATCGAATTTGATGTCAGTTGCTTTGGATCCCCAGGCCACCACTGTGCCATCAGAACGGATCGCAGCAAAGGAATAGCTAGACGCCACAATGTGCCTCACATCTCTCAGCTGTGCCTGAACAGCACGACTGTCACCACCTGGGTAGCTAACACCCCAAGTCACCACACTACCACTGGAGCGAATGGCGGCGAATGCATATGCGGAGGCAACAACTTTAGTCACCTTGGTCAGCTGCTCCTGGACATACCGACTGTCGCCACCAAAGTCTGGATCCCCCCACGTTACTACCGAGCCATCTGCCCGGATGGCAGCGAAAGCCCCATCGGAGGCAACAACATCCTGGATGTCTTGCAACTGCTCCTGTACTGCCGTGCTGCGGCCACCGGAGGACGGATCTCCCCAGGTCACAACACCCCCATCACCCTTCAGCAGAGCAAAGGCAGCAGCCCCCATCTTCGAGATGACAGTGGGCCTGCGAACCATGGCGGAGAGGGTGTCCCCATCCTTCAGCCCTGCCTCCTGCAGCGCCTGAAACCTATTCAGCAACTGGCCCTCAGCTGTGACCAGGTCTTTGATAGTCACCTGAAGCTGCTCCTGTGCTAAGCGCCTCAACTCAAGGACGGGTGTCTCCTCTGAGAGATGCAGCGTGGCCACTTTGCCGCTTAGCAAGGCCACCTTGATCTCCATGAGGACAGGTGCCATAGCTCCCGCTCTTCATGGCCAGCTCCCCGATGGAGGATCGTGAGGCTTAGCTGTAGGCAATGTTTAGTAGGGACTTTACGGAGATTAGGGCCACAGGGTTTCGGGGCTTGGGGCTCTTCTTGAATATGGTTTCTGAAGTCGAGGATTTGTTGAGGGCCTTTCTCCTAAGCCCGAGCGTTGCGATCAGATTCCCTGTGCAAGAAGGCTATGTAGACACCTCACGCGGTGTTTTGGAGTTTTATGCGTCGGGGATAAAAGGGATGCGATTTCAAAGCTCCTGGGTAAAAGCCTTTGGCATACCTGAAGCATCATAGGGCTCGGCAGCAAAGACATTCAAGACGGGTACGAGTAGGGAGAGTGAACCCTGTCATGCAAAATGCCTTCTATTGAGAGCCCGGCTGGGGCGGGAAGCTTTGCGGAGAGTTTCGACTTGAGGGACTGCAGCGTCTTAGCCTTCGTGAGCAAAAAGATGAAGAGAGTCCACGTTACACGAAGTCCCGTGCGCCGAAGCTCTCAGGCTTCAGCGAGTGCGCTGGAGATGCCCCTCTGTGCTGCCATGATCAAGTCATTGCCTGCTCTGACATGCCAGGGGAAGCGGCTTTTTTGGCCCTTTGATCACTTCTGGTCTCAGGGCGGTACAGGCGGTCATTATCTCCCTCCAGAACCTCAGTTCAACAAAAAACACTGAAGCTCTGTCGAAACTCCCCTTCTTGAACTGAGGCCCAGGCATCGGATCCACACCACTCTCAGCTAGAGCCAAAGCAGCGCTGATGATGGACTCGGCGTTGAAGAAAGTCAGTGACTTGACTACCCCGGATTTGTGAAGCCAAGGAGCACATCGCAGGGCGACCGCAGCGGCCTGGCCGGCGGCACTGCAACGCATAACACAAACTCGCATGCTGTCAAATCACAGCGATGGCAGTACGAACGAACATCAGCCGGGATGTGCTTTCCAGGCGGAAGAGTCGCTAGTTTTTCAGTCTTAAGAACTACTCTGGACTCTGGCACGGGCTTGGAGCCAGGTTTGGTCTAGGCAAGACACAGGCTTCAAGGGCCAGAGACCCACAGAGACAGAGGCTTCTGCGCCTGTGCTGGCGATGGCGCTTGAACCCACCGCCAAGGGCGCACGAAAGCTAACTTTGGGCTGTTGCATGCATGCAACCCCTCTTGTACATGCACAAAGTGTGCATGTATTCATCAGGTGCCTTAGACAATGCGACATGCGAACATGATGCAGCATGCAGCCGAGCAGTCCACCAAGCCTATCACCTCTGCATTCTGACTTGGAAAAGCCCAATGCAGGCTGATGGCGAATGAACAGCAAAGTGTGAGACGCTGGGGAAGGACTGGCACTGCATGGGGTACGGCCCATCATGGCTAGCAAACCCAGGGCTCAACATTGGGTCAAGCATGCCCGGCAAAAGCACTGGGAGCACTTCCGCCTGCTTGCAGGAGACGGCAAGCAGCAGCGCCACACGCTGCGGCCCCACCGCAGTGGCCTCAAGACACACCAGGGCGTCGGGCTTCCCTCCTCTTGGAATCCCAAGCAAGAGAGCGGGGGCACCTGCTCCAGGAAGTCTCTGGGGTGAGAAGCGTGCCAGGCCTGAGCAAGACTTGGAAAAACCAACCGTCTCGGGAATCGCTTCAGACCCAAGTGGCCCCAATCAGCCCCAGGAAGGTGGTGATCGGATATGCAAATGCCTGAGGACGTTCAGATGGCCACTTTGGACGACATCAACCGTAACAAAGTGACTCAGCTCAGTCATGCGACACTTTTCGTGGCTCCCGCGTCGTTGCTTGCAGTGGTGACCTCGATTCATCTCAAGCTTGCATCGCAGCCCTGGACCCTTCTGCCACATCATAGAACTGCTGGCCCTCACTGTGTCTTGTCACACGCCAGACCAGTTTACGTTGTGCGATATTGAAGCCAACAGGTCCTGGAAGAAGAAGCTCCGAGGCAGGCACCCACAGTCTGAGCAACGGGGCCTTACAATGCAAAGCACAGATTCGCGGGCAGTGACTCCAAGGACTCTGGGCAGCAAACGGCCACTTCACGTGCTTTTGCCAGAGCCTCGGCAACAGGCCGAATTGCCAAAACTGCGGCAATCGATTCCTCTGTGTCTGGGAGTCCTGGCTTCGGCAGTGGGGGCGTGGGCCACCAGCAACCTCCGAAATCGGAGCCGTCTCCCGGTACAAACACCAGCAAACACTCGAGAATTCAAGCTTCGAATGAGGCAGGCACTGCAGAAGCTGCAGGCCTCAATTCCACGACCGGCAGCAAAAACGTTCAAGCTTGCTGTGCTACTCATCCGCCACAACTGCCATTCGCCTTCAGTCCCTGAGCCTAAACCCTGAACCCTTAACCCCTACTTTAAACCCCCGAAACCCCTAAACACTCCCTAAAACCCCTAAGCCCCGAAAGCCTAAACCCTCGAAGGCCCTCCCAGACCCTGGGCCGAGGCTGTGGCACATGTCCGTGGTGCGACTCTGATCTGGCAAGTTCAGCTGCGATTGACCTTCGGTGTGTGGAAAAATTTTGCAGTAAAGTATATTATATATTGTAATATATTACATTATCGTATAGTATATTATAATAAAGTATATTATAGTAGAGTATATTATAGTATAGTATTGTAGCATGCTTTATTCTACGAAGGAATCCCCAGGCGAGTTGAAGCTTTGCTGAGCTCCCGAGCAAATCTGGAGTAGCGCGGGGTAAAACTGCACCAAGTGAGCAGCTGCACCTCACACGGCCGCATGGTGTAACATCCTCTGAGTGTGCTTCAGAAGTCAAGGTGAAAGCCCGACATCCTCTCTTCAATCTCGTGTGCTGGGGCAAGTACCACCCGAGCAGTGCAAGGCGCAATACCTGAGCTTCGACAGATACGGAACGATTCCACTTTGCGATTTGCAGGAGCCCTGTTTTCTCGGGCCAGGCAGCTCTAGCAGAATGTCCATCGTCCACTCGGGTGGTCGCCCCTCAATACCAGTACCGCACTGCATGCATCGGAACAGCCAAGTTGCTGTTTGAGATACTCAGATGTGATACTCAGTGCCGTGCACCCAGAGCAGTCTGCTGCGCTAGAAGCTTGGGAAAGAAAGGCATCAGTGGAGCCGCCTGCCAGGGTCTTCAGAGAGCTGGCCAGCAGATAAGATCTGCACTTCTGGGATCTGAGATTTGAGGCTGGCCTGCTCCACATCCACGGTTCTCAGCACACCCAGAAACAGAACCTCGGCTTCACAGTCGAAGGCGATCCGTCGGCCGCGATCTCGAAACAGGTCAACTGAGCTGCAAGCACTCCCAGAGTCGAACAGCGTCGCAGTGGCACTGCCTGCATCGCCCAGTGCTCCTGCCGAGAGTCACGGCATGTCACGGCACTCAAATGCAGGTCCGCTCAACGAACAACTCTGGTAGCAGCTTGACCAAGCTCGGCATGCCTGCCGCTGATTCTGCATCTGCCTGTCCCAGGAGTCTGCAGACCGTCGCACGCGCAGGAAGACTCCATCGACAAACATTGACGATGCTGAAAGCGTACACCAATGTCTGGCTCGTGACATATGTCACTGCCGCAGAAGCTACAGGCGCCGTGGCAACACGCTCTTGTCCGAAGCAGGCGCGAGCACAGCACTTGGGCGGAGTTGTGGGATGGCCTGAAGTGCTGCCGTGGCCTCGTAGCCACTCCTCTGAGGCGAGGAAGGACCTGCGCTTGCCAAGGTGGAAAGTATGACATGTGTTGAAGGCCGAGGCATCCTAGATGACTTCACCAGCAGGCACATGGCCTCTATGAGCGGCATAGCAGTCTGATATCACAGTCAGACCTCCGTTGCTCGCAAGCCTGCCCCCTGCCACGAGAGCCATCAAAGCTGAGCCCGGTTCAGCAGGACAGGAGCGGCGGCGACAAAGACAAGCGAGGACTTCGCGTTCTGTCGGACCTGGCAAGCGGCCCTAGACCCTGGACTCTTTTGACTTCGCTTCCGGGGTGCGGGCATCAGCACCAATGCACGGAGCACGTCCAAGAGTGCATGTCGGATCAAGAGCTCTCCCTCTTCCGGCCGCCGCCTGTCTGCATTCTTTCACTCCCAGCTTCGATGCTTCTTTGGGGGCTGTCGGAGCCAAGACACCAGAGCGCCACAAGCTGCTCAAGCGTCTTCTCAGTGGCCTCCGGGAAGAGCGAATAAAACAAACCTGTGAAGGGCCGCCTCCTCGCTACCAGCGGGCCTGATACCTCCCACTCTCGGCCTCTTCCACCAGGAAAAGGTGGATTAGATTCAGGCCTCGCAGATGTGCGCGCATAGGGTCTGCGATGACCAAGTCTGACAGGAGCTGCGAGTCTGAGAGGTTCGGGCAGCGCCACTGCACCTCCGGAGCCTGGACGATGTAGAGAAGGGCCTGAGTGCGAAGCCAGACACTGCACAGGGTCACGGGCAAGAAACACATGTAGGGCTCCAGCCAAGCAGGAATCGATCAGGGTCCCTTGGACCTGCCATGCACCGTTGCAACGAACTCACCTCTCTTCTGCAGCCTTGCGAAGCATACAGCCGCAAAGCTTGGGCACCTCCGTCCAAGCCTCACTGTCCGAGAAGCGATCCAACCTGGCAAGTGAGGGGTTCTTAAGACTCGGGCTGAAGGGTGCGAGTTACCGCACTTAGGGGTCCTTGTGATCAGGATCCCCATGACATGTCATAGTATGAAACTCCCACATGACACAAGCACTCCATGCACACTAGGCCCTGCGCATGGCTCTCAGCGGTGATAAGGCTGCCAATCGGACCGCCTGTCAGGGTCCAACAGGTCTCAACGGCTTCGGGGCTCAGCAATCAGGGTCTTTCTAAACACGAGAAATTTCGTTTTTTGTTTGGGAGGGGGGCGGGGGGGCTGTCTCCGATGTCGGGGCGACCTTGGGGCTCTCGCTTCGGAGGAAGCCTTGCAGCAGCTGCACCACCGACCTCAACGAAGATGCTTTGAGGCTTAAAGCTCAGAAGCTGGGCTTGGCCCGATATCGGCTTCCTGCGGCGAAGAACTGAGACCCCGGCACCAGAGCATTTTCGGGAATCTCTGAAGCCCAGGCCCTGGGAACAGCATGAGCTGAACTCCTCTGTCAGCGGGCGGAGCGCCCGGCGCCTGATGACAACGCAGAGCCGGACAGGCAGCAGGATGCCAGGGGCCTCCACAGGCGCAAGTAACCCGGTCCGGTTCCCTCCGGTGCCCTCGAATCTTTGTCCGGTCTAGGAGTCTAGCCTGGGGCCCCAGGTGCGGCACCAGGTTGGCGATTGGGCCGAAGAATCCCAGCATCACCGAAAACCTGCAGAAAGCCGAGGAGGCCCCCAACTAGCTTTCAAGCGTCGCCGGGCAACCGACTGCAGGTGGGGCTTCAGCTGCGACTGGCAGAAGGCCAGCAAGGACAGGAACATATCCTTCGCAGACAATGGATAGACAAGTGCAAGAACCGTAAGACAAGGCGCGAGAGGCCGCAGAAGCGGCACCGGATAGTCACGAAGCAAAACTTTTGGGCTTACGGCCAACTTCTTAACTTGACAATGTTCTTTGCATGCCTGGTCTTTACAGGTTTGAGCTTGTTTGGGCCGTTTCCAATTCGAAGCTTTAGCAGGGTGGCATTGTCTCGTCACCACCAGGAGAAGCACTCCGTGCCCCCCGCCCAAGCAGATTTTCGCGAGCCTGGCCTAGAGAGTACGACAAGGCAAACGCAAAAAGCGTAGAAAAGAAAGCAACCTCAGCCACATTGCACGAAAGGGAGCGTAGCCCTGAAAGGCTCCAAACCCAACATGTGAGAGACTGTACGAGAAGGGGCAAACACAGTCCTTTCTTGCGATGACGTCGAAGGCATCGTTCAGCGAAGGCGGCTGAGCGATCTCCTCCTTCAGCTTTTGTCGGAAAGTCACACAGAAGCTGTGCCTTGGGTGCAACGCAAGGCACTGCGCTGCAGTCGAAGCTTCGGAGCTCCTGCATTCGCTTGGCGATGTGCCTGGGGAGTCCATTCCACACATGCGACTCACAGCTTTCCAGCAAACCCTAATCTACGAGCTACTACAAGAAGTTGCTTGACTCAGAAGACTTGAGATTGCCGGGTTGCTCTATGAGAGGCTGCTGCAGGGGAGGCTGCCCCAGCGCACGGATGCCTCAGCCGCAGTCATGCCCTTTGACACTGATGCAGACTCCTCATTGCAAGCCTCCGGTTCTTCGTAAGGCTTCTTCCCTCGAATCGTACCATTTGGCGCTGCGGAAACTGGGCCACTAAGACTAAGGCTTCGTACTCAGGTTCGTATATCACTGCTCTGCAGGGTAGCGCGTCTGCTGCAAAGACAGATCTTCTTCGAGGGATTCTTTCACTGGTGCTAGCTCCAACCGGCTGAGGCAAGGGCACGACTCGCCTGTGCAACGCAGGCAGGCGCAGCTTCCCCTCACCATCCGATGGTAATTAGGCCCTAAGCAAGCGCTCAGTAAACCACCTGCTTGGTGCAGCTCCGTCTGGCACTGGGGTCCTGGCAAAGGCTGAAAGCTCACAGAGTGGGACGAGGGACCAAAGGCTGAAGACATGCCACGCCGACCCAGAAGCTGATCTTCGGGATCCTCCAACCATGCTTGCACCTGCTTCTGACTGCGAAAGACAGCAGCATCTCCATGGTGACGGAAGCAAGAAGCGTCTTCTGCTTGAATAGCTTGCTTCACAGCGAAAGCCAGGGAAATACCGCAAAACCCTGACATGAGATACAAATGCTGTCAACTCCTCTTTGTTTTGAAGCAGCCTCCAGCACATGCAGTGTCACTGCCTCCTCCTCCGTCAAGCGCAGCGCAGCTCGACATGCAAGCCTGAAGAGACCATACTTTCGTTTGACAGGGTCCCTGCTTGGAGCTCCAGATGTTGTGACCACAGCAGGAAGCTGGTTTGGCCGCGGCACTCACAGAGGTCCCCCAGTCCGTGGCTACGAACGAAGTCGCCCTTGGCGGCCCAGGCCGGAGTGAGGCTTCAAGATTAGATGATTAGCTTAGCCACACCAAAACTTGTTCAAAGAGCTGCTAAGCCCATCGCGAACTGGCTGTGACATGCGGCAGCGGCCTTCCAGACTCTCGGCCGGATGCTCGTAAAATGCAAAGACCAACACAAGGCCCCCGTCATCTCGTGGTACAACTTTTGCTGCCTCCTGGGCGACCCCCTGCTGCTTAGGCTGTGGACCCTGGCGGATGGAAACCTGCTGCAGCAAGAGCCGTTTGTTGCATCCCCGCTTCGCGCGCCGCAGCGGAACCAGCAGACCCCGCCGTGTTGAAGCCATGCGCCAGCATCAAAAGCCTCAAAGTCCAGACTGACCGACAATCTGCAAACGAGGACTGCATTGAACGTCACCCGCTGCGTTCCAGCATACATTGATAGATCTTGCACCGGAGAAGCCGTACCCTTTATGCGCGACTTTGAAGAAACAACTTGGCGTCTCCTGAAGTGTCTAGCCTCCTTCATACTGAAAGAGTTTGTGTCCGATAGGCACTCGCGAATCATGATTTGAGGTAGCGACGAGCTCCTGAGCAAGCCCTCCAACCAGGGTCTCAACCTTCGCACACTGAAAGTCAAGCTACCGGGACCTGCAGCGTGCTCCGGCTACCGCAAAAAGTTTAATATCCGCATGATTGCGAATGCTGCAGGTGCTCGGCACTTCCCGAGATGACGACTCCAAAGGTACATGTAGCCCGGTCAAAGTCCGCAAGACCTGGTCAATTGTCGAGACGATTTGCAACACAGACATGCAGCTCTGGCCGAATTGTAAAAACATGAAACCGATGCGTCGCATATAATATAGCATGTCGAAGAAGGTCGGCATTGCGGACAAGAAGATGGGACCCTCTCAGTAAGAAAGTTAATTACAGCACGATGCACCTCCCCACCACCTACAGGAATGCACTCGGATCTTGCAACGGCCGCTGCCGCCTCGACACTGGTGTGTAGCACCGTGCTCCTGACACGATCAGCCAGAGCTCCATCCGAATCTCACACAACTACAAGGTTTGCACCGGGGTCGGCACACGTTGGCTCGGGCAAAAGCAAGCGGATGGGCCTGCAAGGACGCAGAACTCAACATCCTCCTGGGAAGGTCTGAACTTGGGCTGACATCATAGGCAAGTCAGATTGCGTAGGGCGCTGACATGAAAAAGGAGTGCCCACCACTTCAAGACCGACTTCAGGTTCTTCAAGAAGAACGGACCTGCACGTTCCGCGGGACGGAAGCGAAACCACCACATGTCTCGTGGCAATGAGCACTTGCAATGAAACATGTTTCAGCTGCTGCTATAAAGTGCGCTTCATCAAATATGGCATAAGGCACGCAGCACAGAAGCCAGCCGCTGAGAGTCAATTACAACCACTTGAGAGGGCTCCATGTTTCCGGCTTGTGCACCGGTCGTCAGCAGTGCGGAACCTTGGCTTCGAACTGGACAATGAAGTCCCTGAACTTCTGTTCGACAAAGTGGTGCGTGTACACGCAGCGACTTCCAGTCGCAATGCATTTCTCAATGACATTCCTGGCGACTGCCGTCTTTGCAGCCGTGTCTTTGCAGTCGATCAGCTCACCATCCTCTTTGGATGACCCCATAGTGGGCTCTGGCCCAGCCCGCTCTTCGTAGTTGTCTGCCCCGGGCATATCCCAGCACATGAGTTCTATGCAAATGGCACAAGCCACGAACATGACCGCTGGCACCACCATGGAGACATGCCAAGCGACATTCGGCTCCAACCCGGCGACCACCATGGGATTGAGAAGTACAGACGTCAGAAAACATCTGGGTTGCGCCGCCTCTCAAGTTGCCCCAACCGGCCGCAGTGGCGTGAGGCATGCGGTAATGGCGGCGGTCATTGCCTCCCAGAAAGCCCCGAAACGTTCACTGGACCGAAGCGCTTCTACAACCCTACGTTAAGATAGTCAACAGAACAGAAGCTAAAAGCTGTCACAATGATATTTCGGCAGTGCAAGCCTACTGTCAGGACTATACATTCAAACAGGCATCCTTCTCTCGTCGGCTAGCTGGCCTCGCGCTGGGCCACCGCAACTGCTGCGGCTGTCTCGAGGAAGGCCTGGTAGGACTTGATGGCATCGGTCATTGGCATGGTCCCCATTCAAGCCCTGAATGGTGTGACGTTGTCAAACACCTTCTTGATCACGGCACGCGGGGCTGAAGCGATGAGCCTCGCAATCGAGACAGCGACCTCCTCGTGGCTGTTGAGGGACGTCACCAGCTTGCCGTCCACCTCCTTGAGCGTATCCAGGCCCTGAATCAGCTTGCAGTCCATCGTGGGGCGGGCATCCAGGAAGGCGGAGATGGACTCGTTGATGCCTGGAGTCTGGGGCACTTGTCCAACACGCATCTGCCAGCCCAGTCCAAGCTCATGATCATCAGGTAGCTGGCATCTGCCAGCTCTTGCTGCCTCCGCCAGCTCCTTGAATCGAAAGCTAAAAGTGGCGTCTGCGTCAGACTGACTGCAGCACCTGTGCATACCAGGCCGCATTCAGATCCTTCACGCTCGGCGTGACGTCGAAGACCGCAGCAAAACTCAGCCGCATCGGCAAGGCCAACAACGAAGAAGAGGTCTAGATGAAGCTGCAACTTTTGGACTGCAGTTCATGAGCACCGGAAGCTCAACATCCCTTCACACAAGCTTCCCAAGTCAGAGCTACTAACATCTTGGCCAGCCCCAAGGTCACTTCCTCGTGATTCTTCAGCGGCGTGACAAAGTCGGGGCCCTCCGCTGCCTTCTTGTGGGCCACAACAGCATCCATGACAACCTTGGGGTCCAGAGACACGCGCAGGTCCTGGATTGCTTTGTTGAACTCCTTCGTGGTGGGCACCTTCGCCATGTAATTGTCCAGCACGTCGGTGGCCCCCAGTCAACCGCCTTCACCATGGGGTAGCTGGCGTCTGCAAGCTTCTTCGCCGCGGCATCCACACCATCTGGGGGAGGCGCAAGGAGCGTCCCCAACGCTGCCCTCACGAAGATGGTCGAGGCTACGCCGGTATTCGCAATCATCGAGGATTCCGTGCCTGAGGTGCACACGCACTCTGCGAGCACCTGCGGCCTGTACTTCTCCTTCTGCTCCAGTCACCACATCTGCAGGGACGTCCTGGCAGTCGACCAGCTCACCATCCTGTGTGAGGACAACATACTGGCAATAGCTCAAGCCACGATTCAAGTTCTTGAACTTCAGGTAGGCTGGCCGCATTGTGAAGTCCGTAGAGGGAAAAGCTGCTTCTCGCACGTCACGGTCCGAGACGTTCAAGCTCAACCGCCCGAGCGGGTCGATCTTGTGAAGATGGGCGTCCGATAGGAGGAGTGATGAGAGCCGGTTGCAGACCTTATGCGCAGACTCGAGGTGGGAGGACAGAACACTCATGCAAACGCGAGTCACGGCGTGGCGCTACTTTTGCCGCGGGACTTCTCGCTGAAGTTGTTCTCGTAGAGTGCTCGACTTGGGCGAGGAGGCCTCGCAAAGATAAGATCAAGGAAACCAAACAGTGGCCGCAGGCATCCGTCGACGCGTGCCGAGCCTGCCAGGTCCCTCCGACTCTGTGTGCCCTGGGCCTGGGGTCCTGGTCATGGGCAGAGGATTCTGAAAGTCTGGCGCGCGTGGCCTCTAGGGCCAAGCATGGCATGGAACTCGTTTACTCTTCCTTGCAAAGATCGGAGGGCTGCCAAATTCGATCAGAAGGGTCCATCATCTTCTGCAACTCCCAAGCCGGTTATGGCGGGTATATGGGGGCTTAGGGTTAAGTCAGCGGTCAAGCTTGATGGCACGGTGCTCTATTGTAGCTGTGCAATTCGTGCCTGGACTTCCCCCACCTCATCAGGCCTGAATCTGTGAAACTCTGATTTCTCCAAGCAAAGTCTCAGCCATCGAAAAAGGCCGGGCTAGAGTTACAGCTGGCACGGTTGTGTAGGCTGCTGGTCAAGGCGTTCAAAAGCCCAGCCAAAGCTTGGCCAATCGCTGACCCCGACCCGTTTCGTGGTGTAGGGTTGCATCAAATCGATGCAAAAGCCATAACTTAGCGACTCGGGCAAACGAGAAGGGCTGCTTCTCAAGGCCCTTTCGGACGCAGCAAATCTGTCCAAAAACCCATCTTTACGATAGATACCGTTCTGCACTCGAAACTGAAGCCCAAATCGCCTGCACAGGGCAGGAATGTTGCAGGCCACAGCACCCGCCATGCGTCAGCCAGCTACGGGCAAGCAGTGCATAGCGGCAAGTGTGCCATGCAAACGCTGGGCATTCAGGTTTTGCCCTCACCCGACATGATGGCGATCATGGACGCAAAAGACACACTGTGTAAGGTGACTTTGTTGAGCATTCGTTCGGAGGACATGCTCGCAGACTGCACGGCAGATGAGTTTGCGGCTGGCTTCAAGAAGACCGTCTTTTCAGCTGCGCGGCATCAAGTAGAACAGGTCATGCGAGGGCATCTGGATCACCAAGCGGCAACGTGGCAGGCCCTTCACCCGTTGTGATGGCATTTATGGGCTCGAAGGACATGCTGTGCAGGGTGGCCGTCTTGAGTACGGGCTGGGAGGACACGCTCGCACCATTCACCATAAAGGAGCCGCAGTTGAACATAGGTGTGGACGCTCGCACGCTTCACAATGGCGGCTGGCTTCAAGAAGACTCCGGCAGTTCAGCTGCACGGCATCAAGCAGAGCAGCGGTTCGTCAGGCGAGGGCGTTTGGATCACCACAAGGTTTGGAGGACACGTTCGCATACGTCACGGTAAAGGAGTTTGCGGCTGGCTTCATGAAGACGTTGGCTTTCCAGCTGCGCCGTCAAGCAGAACAGAGGCTCGTCAGGCCTTCGATCTGATGACGCTGACTCCGCTATCCTGACTTGGCAATTCCTGATTAAGTGAGTGATTCTAGAGTCCTTTAGATTTGCGTGTGGAGGTCCTATGGCCTGGTTGAGCTTGATGTCACGATATCACCTCGATGAAGGTGTTAGACATACTGGGCATCGTAACAGCTTAGGAATCATGCCTCATCTGATGCCGATAAGGAACATCCTGCACGTCTTGGGTCCGATGTGTGGATCGTACGTTGTCTGGTGCTTTGATCACCGATTTCGGAGTACAAAGCAATCCTTCGTTTGCCGTGCATTCTCAGGCATGCCATCTTTGATTTTGCTGTGGGGATGGGACAAAATCTCCGATTGCTGGTTACATCCCAGCCCCAGCCCTGTCTAATGAGCACATACTATGTTTCTAGATTTCTGCGCCACCGCCACTTTCCATCAAATGCAGTTTGAGTTCATCTTGCTAGGCGAGCGTCGTTGACCGGCTCAACCGCAGACAATGAACAAAATGTCTCGTAGGACTGTCTGAGAGCATGAAAAAGCACTTCAAAAGCAGGGTTACAAAATAAAGCAACCATGGTGCAAACCCATTAATATCGGCCTGCCTTTTGCCTCCTTGCACGCTTCCTCATCCCCCTGTACTTCTAACAGGGAGCAGGGTTTTGTGGTCTGGGAGTCCTTGCGCCCAGGAGCCCGAGTACAGAGGCATGGCCAGCCGCATCTGCCCAGTCCACTGGCTTGAAACCTTCAGAATCGGGTACCTCAGAAGGAGCAGCACACCATTGCTACTGTAGGCTGCTAGGCCGCCTTTGTCTCTGATCGTATCTAAGCCGGGACGGGCAGCCGTAGGATCTGCTCGGCGGGCCAGCAGTAGCTCCACCACGGCCGCATGCCTAAGACACTGCTCCAAAGGCACAGCAGCAAGTCTTGCAGCGAAGAGGAGAGACAACGTCTGCTTCCAGGGCGCCCGATCCGCGCAGCCACCAGCAAAGCAGGCTGCAGGGTGTTCACCGCCCGGCCAAGGTCCAGGAGGACCCCGACTGCAGCCGCATGACCGCGAGCCGCGGCTGCTGCCAGCGGGTCCGCATCCCTCACGAAAACTTGAGGACGTTTAGGACAGCTGTGTAGGGCGTAAGAGGCTGACAAAGTCGCTTGCTATGACGCATGGACCGACGAAGCGCCTGCTTGGCACCTGCAGACTTGCTCGGCTGGCCACAAGGAGCCTCAACTAAAAACAACTCGTGAATGAGGTCGAGAGACACTCGGCTGCAAAAGCTCAAGTTGAAAAGACGACTGCATCCCAAGTAGCTTGAGAAGCTCAAGATTGCCTACGGCGGCGGCAGCCGACAGCGGCATCTCTCCGTGCTTGTTGACATCGCTCACATCAGCGCGTGCCGAAATCAGGCATCTTGTCAAGGCAACCTGGGCCGAAAGCGTCAACGATGGCCCTACGAAGAGTAGGACACCACTTCTGGAGCTCCACATCACCGCTCGGCAAAGGCACAGCGTTTCGTCGGTCTCTTGTGGCAAGATGAAGCGACCTGCTGGCACGGATCAAAGCTGATCGGTTCCGACAGTCTTCGTCTCATCGTAAAGAGACCGCAAGGGTGACTCCATGCGATGAAATGCGCAGCAATGTCTCGGAAGCAGTGATTTGCAACGATGTCCGATGAGGAACGGATTTGCTGAAGATCGGAGGTCTGTATTGTTACAGGCCAAGGATGGTTCAAGTTTTCTTGTCACAAAGTCAGCTTCGTCTAGCTTGTGCCTTACCTTCAACGGGAGTCGCTCCAAAGAGTTTAGGCACAGCCCTGGAATGTAAGAGACACTCCAATTCCAGGAAGATTGGGCCCCTGCTGTCGAGTGCTCTCAACTGCGGCCTGCTGCCATCCTCATCTTCCAAAGAAGGATGCGCGCCACTCTGCAGAAGAGCATTGACGAGCGACAGGTGGCCTGGCGGAAACCCTACAACATCCCCGAAAACCATGAAGCCCATATAAGCCCAAGCCCCAAAGCTTCGAGCGGACGGCGCCTGCCAGGATGGCAGCGTGAAGCGGGGTCCGGCTCTGGGCATCCTGGGAATCCGGATCTGCATCGAAGGCGAGTAACAGCCGGGCCAAGGTCTCCTGGCAAGCAAAGCTTCAGCTTGGGTATACGGCTATCGGGCTGTGGGATTCAGGTGCGGGGTCCGTTCCTTTAAAGGGTTTTTGCGGGTTTAGGGCTTCAGGGTCTTAGGGTGCCCGGCCGGGCGCGCCTGTCCCGCTGAAGCTGCCAAGTGCAGGGGCGAGCGCCTGGCGAAAACAGAAAGGCTGCACTCAAGAATAGATAATACTGCCCTATCCTCTATACAAGATATGTTGCATTGTTGTGTTATGAGCTGCACCGGCATTCTGCCTCAGCAGGTCCCTCTGTGACAAGTCACCACGCCAGTCAAGAAGCTGTCCTGCAAGGCAGCAAATACAAACAACAGGGCTCGTCCGTGCTCTAAAAAACACCTTGAAACTGAGCAGGCGGCGCATTCCGGCCACATCGCCCTCCCTCACCGCCACGAGCAGGTCGGCAGGCACTCCTCGCCTCGGATCACCCACGAGTTCGGAGCTGCTGTTACTGTTGAGGCCCCTGAGATCCCCCGAGGTCTCAGCGCGGGTAGCCAGAGAGCGCAGCACAGAGCCAGGCCCGACACCATCCGCTGGAGCTCACGAAAACGAGGTCATCCAGCTAAGTGCACAGCATCTGCAAGCCATGACGGTAACAGTGAATAGAAAGTCAGAACGATGACGACGATGACGTGACGATGAGCAAGAAGAGCCCAGATGGCTTTTGCCGCGGATGCGCGTCGAACTTTACCCGAGTCCCGCAAACTGCATCATGGGCAGTGGATCGGTCCGAGCTTGGGACAATGGATGAGCTGCTGCGAGTGGCATTGCAGAAGCACCTAACTGGGGAAGTGACTCTCCGGGCTGGAGACAGGCGCTGGGATGGGCTGGGCTCTCGGCTACTGCCTCTCTTATTCCAGAATGCAAGCCGCCAAAATGGGCAACGAATCACACCAAACTCAGCTTTCGGCAAGGAGAAATTCCACGTGCTCCTTCACCTAGCATAGAAAGGGAAAGGAAGGAGCATCGACTTGTCTTCCACACCAGGTCATCCCACGCTGACCCCTGAGGTACTGCTGTCAAAGAGCCTAAGGCTTGGACCATCTGAACCATCTGAGGGCCTGGGCGGATGGCCCCTCATAGCAGTGTGGAGATCTCGGGGGCAACTTCTGAGAGACTGGCCGGAAGCGTTCTCATGCAAGTGCGCGAAGCCTTGGACCTGATGCTTCCCAGAGATACGTTTAAGGCTTTAAGGACTTTAGGGCGTTCCAGCAGCTTTCAGCATTCGGGGCTTTCGATTGAAATGTGCCTTTCATGCACCGGCCAAGTGCCAGATCTAAGGGACCGGCAAGCAGCAGAAGGAAGGAGCCATCCAAGTGTCGACTCAGCCGCCAGAGCCGGTCGTCCACCAGATCGGACCTGCAAAGCAGCTTGCAAGGTTTCGGGTTTGAGGTTTTGGATTTCGGGTTTTTGGGTTTTGGGTTCTGGATCCAGGGCCGTTGGGCTTCCTGTGCTCACTGTGGGCCCGAGGTCGCTGCCCCTGGTTCTTCAGGTGTCGCATGTGTTCCATCTTCAGCGCCCAGACCTGGAGCTTCCCATCCCAACCCTAAATCCTTCACGCTGAAGCCAGTTCCTTGGAGAATGTGAAGAATGCAAACGAGCCCCGGGCGGCACCGAGCGGTTCCACCAGAAGGCCGCCCAGCTGGTGGAACTCTCGTCTGGACGACAGCAGCCTCTCGGCTCAATCAGCAGCTCCGCAACCCCGAACCATCTCGAACTGAATCCAACTTGACACTGAGCCAGACTCTCTGGCTTACCTACAGCTTTCGATAAACAGATGTTGGCAGATCCTATCGCTGAAGCAAGACACGCCAATCAAGAAGTTCAAGACTTCTCTTGTCCTTCCTTGGAGTGCGGTGTCGTGACCCCGATTACTGTCAGTCAGTCTATCTACAGACTACCTGGCCGAAAGCTCCATCTGTCAGATCTGCCGCTGCCTAGCAATCGCAACTCTTCAATAGCGAGTTCCCGCCTTTTGGAGCTCTGCTCTTTGAGCACCTGCAAACTCGAAGTGTTCTCCGAGACACTCGAAAACTCGTCTTGTGGCCCACACGACAGACCCTACAGCAACTACGCGATGGTGCCTGATGCAGCACCAGCACGACGGCCAGAGCCTTTTCGTCGAAACGACGAGGCACAAGGAGAGCCAAAAGAGCTCAGCGCAACACGCAGCCGAGCGCCCGGCTGCCTCGCTGAAGCCTCTCTCTCGCAGGCCCTGTGGCACCAGGGCAGCACGAATCCCACGTCCCTCGAACAATAGCAGATAGCACATCGCCCACGTGGTATCGTTAACAACAACAAGCGTTAAAATGCCCATGCAAGCAACCCTCGAATTGTCAGCCTCACAGTTTACAACAAAGCAAAGAAACCTAAAGGATGTCTTAAGCCGCTGGAGGGTCGGACTGGGACCCCCCACCTGCAGCTCAGCTAGCAGAAGATGAGCCAAGCCATCCTCGAGGGATCGCGATGTGCCCGCAGAAATCGTCGCTGAATCCACGCCGAGGCCGAAGCCCAGTTCATGGGAAACTCAAACCTGCATACTCGGCGCAGGACCTTAGTGTTATGCATCTGCGTGTGAAGCTTCTAGACCATCCTTCCACGAAGGGTGTCACGATGTGTCACGCATGCCGCATATGCCCATTTGTTGCTGGGCTGCCATCGTCAACTCTTGAATGTGAGGCAGCCCTCCGTCAGTCGCAGCCTCGTGGGGCGGCCAGGCTGCAAGCTGGACGTGGCTGGCATGAGAATATCTAAGCATCAGGCCTTCACAAGACGCAGCAAGTGCTCCTTAATGGCCTGGCCAGACTTTCCAGGTAGGCAAACGAAGACGTGTGGCATCAAGCGGGGGCTCGGCATTCTTCTCCTCTGCCGAGAGGACCTTGCTTGAGCCTAGGTAAAAAGGAGCTTCGCAGACAGCGTCATCAGAGCCCCTACTTAAACAAGCAGAGCCAGTTCCTCGCTCTTTCCAAGCTCTGATCAAACATCGAGACGCGTCAAGCAAAAATGGACCCATGACACCGCAGATCTGTGCACCGCGGTGATCTGTTCACATCAGCACCCAGACAACCTCTCAGAATTCGCAACGGCAGCCGGGGATGTGTGCTCTGAGTTAAATATTTTCAGGAAATCGACGGAGACATAAATCGCCAGCCACTCATTCATGGACCAACAAAAGTCAAGGATGCTTATCGATCCCGGAAAGGTTAGGATCCTGATCATGCAGGCTCTACGTCCCGAAACTTGTGGTCCCTGTCGCTGTGACTGCTCCTTTGAGTTATGGGAACATGCGCCCCGTGCTCGTGCAACCTGCGCCCAACACATAGCAGGTCTAAGGGTCTTCCATGAAAGACCCACGCATGGTAACACAGCCCACCCATGAGAAGAATGAACCTCCTCGGGATAGTGGACCCGCGGGACGAATGATCATCCCCTCGGGAATAAATTGAGCTCAGTCTGTTTACCCAGATTGCTGTGCGGATCTACGTCGCAGGAAGCGCTACCCGAAACCTCCAGCTTTAAGTGTGTTGCTGCTTCGGACAGCGATCCTTCAGACGAGATGTACTGCCGGGATCCAGATCAATGGTCATCGACAGCTAGCAGGACATAACCAAGCAAGACACGCTATATTCTGCTCAAAGTTTCGCGAAGCCCTTATGCGGCTTTGACGTGGTTTCTGCATGGCCCCTTTGCCGTAGATCCGCTGCTGTGCCATGCAAAACCATTAACTGAATTACACGAATCCACTCGGAGCTTCTCCACAAAGGCATTGAAACACTGGACGGCCCAGCAAGGTACAGGGACTGGACTTTAAGATGCCTTGGTCAAGTCGAACCGTCACACGGCCATACTTCGGCAGTTTCGTGCCCGGCAGGACTTGGCACAAGCGTTTCACCTCAAAGCCACCTCACCTCGCGAGCCGTCTCATGAAGTGCTCCTGGGACGGTGCGTGTTGTAGGTCGTGAGCTGCGAGGCCTCGAGGATGAACCTGGCACATCCGAAAGCTGACTGCGGTTTCGGGTCGCGGGTTTGAGGGGCTTCAGGGTGTGTCAAAGCTCCTTCCCAAACCGTCAGAGGGCCTCGAGGCATGCTGATCCGCCTCTGGAATGCAAGCAATCTGCAGCTTGCCTTGCAGGGATTTCGACACATGGAAGTTCAGGCTGAGGGCTCAGGGCTTCCCGTGACATGCCCCTGAAAGCAGCTGGCACCGGCATTGAGACGATGCCAATCTCCCAAAAAAGGTAAGACGAGGGGGATGGCAGTGCTGTCCGGGGTGTAGCTGTCCTCTGCCAAAACTGCTCAGCTACGCTTAGCGATGCGGTAATGCTTAAGGCTAGGCTGATTGAGTGCTGTCCAGGTGGATGGCGCGGTTGACTTCGGGCTCGAACCAGTTGCGAAACTCTTCCCAGTCCTCAGCACAGCTTCAGAACCGGTATGGCGAGCCCTACAGCATCTGCCAGTAGAGCCGCCAAGTCGCACTCTCCGACGGGAGGAAGCTGTCCAGGGGGGTTTGTCCGTCCATGCAGAGCTTCACCTTGAAGGCAACCAAGGCGACTCGACGACCAACTTCCCTTGTAAACGAATTACTTGCAAGACGCCCGGGAATGCCAAGAAAGGGAAGGGATCATAGGGATATGCACTGCAGGCCATAAGCCCATAAAGTAACATCTAGGAGTAGGAGTTCCAGGCACCACGCGACCCGAATACACAGCCTCGCATAATCCGATCCCTCCAAATGCGGCGAGTCTGCTTCGGTCACGGGCATGCCATCTTCTTCCAAGTCCACCGTCAGCTTCAGCGAGAGCTCCTCCTTGAGGCAGCCATGGGTGCCCTAGTGATATCTTTAGATCCCGAAAACACTGATCTAAACCCCAAAGCCTATACCCTGAAACCCAGCCCAAGAAGCCCAGAGGCAAACCCCAAACAAAACCCCAAGTCAACAAGATCTTTCTTAAGTTTTTCCCTAAGGCTCCGGGAGGGACTCCCAACGGCCGGGCTCCCAGGTGGAAGTCCCCGACCCCACAGTCGTCGAGGATTCGGGGGAGCCTGCGCAGCAGAAGTTTGCGAAACCGTGATTATAAAGGAAATGATGGGAAACAGGTAAGTAAAGACAACGAAAAACTCCAACAGCACTTTCACGTTTGGGTCTTTTATGGCGTTTTAGGGCTTCAGGGTTGCGGATGCCGAATTTCAATGGTTTCTGGGGAGGCGCCTTCACGATGATCGTGGCCCGGTACAGTCACGTCCTGAGCGGCACAGAGAGAAGCACTCTCCTCTCATGATGCGCAGTCGAAGTTTCCGCAAGGAAAGTTTGGCTCCTGGGTTCGGGGGGGCTCGAGAGGGGCGGGAGGGCACTGGCTGGGCGGGGCCGGGCTCAAGGTCGCGGGTGACTGGGGCTGGGTAGGGTTTTTATATGTTCACAATGAGTCTAGGGGAATCTCTTCCCACCTCCGTTTTCCAGACAATGCCCCCCGGAATGAAGTCGCGGTACTTGCACTCGAAAATGCGGCGCGATCTTCAGTGGCACAATCAAGAGCATCAACAACTATGCCCACGAGAGGAAACGTTGTTACCACGGCCTGGAACGCTTGTATCAACCTTGTCAAGATTCATGCTTACCACGACAAGGACAGCCTGTATTCAGTGACACGACTTTAGACCCTAGCTTGAAAACGTCCATGGACCCTAGCTTAACAGGGACAGCCTCTACTCACAACAACCACTTTTCTTGCCGCCGTCGGCCACTACCCTGATACTCCAAACCCGGATTGAATCTTTGGTGTTCTTGCTCTAAGCTTGCTTGGGCGCCGGCAACCCCCTTCCCCCTACGTGCGGGGCCGGTGTGAAACTCCCCAGCTCCCAAACCCCAAGCTAATCCCTTTTAGCCCAGCAAGGGCCTCCTCGCTGGAATGGGAGCTCATTCGCAAGGTCAGTTGAGGTATGCAGATGCGGGGCTTTAAAAACCCACGCAAAGACAAACCTGTATGGGGGGGCAGTCTCTTCTTTCCTGTCTGACTTCTTTGAACCAAGCTTCCATGTCGTGGTCCTCTGACGACACTCGTAATGCCTCGGAACCCCCAAGCAAGCCCTAGCATCAAGCTCTCATGCACGAGCACAGGCGGCCTTGTCGGCATGGTCCACAGGGCTCGCTTGGGCATCGGATTTCAGGCCCAAATCCTTTGCAACAGCGGCTTCCAACTCCTTGGAGAGCATGTTGTCGATGCCTCAGCCAGAAGGAAAGACAATGCCCGGCTCAGGCCAACATGATCTCTACAAGCCGAATATGCAGATGCCTGCTGCTACCTAGGACAACTTGATGATCTTTCCTGGGCCGAGCTGCCCGAGAGGAGATCCCAGATCTGCTGTAGCCGAACCCTCATGCGATCGGTCGCATTTCCACCGCCTGAGATGCCCTTCAAGGCCCTCAAAACCCCAAACCCTGACCACTAAAACCCGAGCCCGAAGCTCCCGACCCTAAACCTGAACCCTAGGGCCCTCGGGTCTTAGAAGGGAGACGCCGCCCCCCCCCCCACCCCCCGATCTTTCAGGCTTCCCGGGCCGACCTTCGAGCTCCGACTGGGCCAGCTGCAGCGGAACACGGATTCTTCGCAGAACCAGGCTCAGGCCTAGGAATGCATAGGGTGTCATATGTGCGTGTATGTATATACATACATACATACATACATACCATCGTTTATCTACACATCTATTTATCTACGTTTCTTTATCTATATATGCAGTCTGTGTTCGATTGATTTGTTCACATATTTTCTGGCCGTATAGAACTTGGGGTGGTCTGTTGATGCTTTGGGGATGCGTAGGGTTGAGCCCTGGGCTTTGGGTTTGGCAGAGGGATGGGGTCAAGTTCCCACAGATGATCACCTGACGCTTACCTCCCTGAAGTGCCGAGCAGCACCGGTTGAGCAGCAGATGCGGCGATTCCTCGGCAACCTTGATCTGGCTGGAGTTGTTGCCAGAGAGGATATACATGCCTCGGGCTGCACCCGTCTTTCATATCTCTAAGTGGATGCGGTGACATTGCTGTGACCAAAACAATCCAGCTGAAGTACCAAGGCCGCACCACACGAGCATTGCCGACTCCAGTTGCACGTTTCTCCAGAACAGCGTACATGATAGGGCTGCTGCCCACGCTGCCAGAACTGATGGACGGGTCCCGGTGCAGATGAGCATAAGCTCTGCAAGCAGGATATTGCTCGTCAAAAGAAGGTTCAGCTCCTGTAGCCCTGATCCGGTGCACGTGCGGCAGGAGTGGTCGTAAGATGAAATAGCCTGCAAGGCTCTGCTAGAGGGAAAAGAGACACAACAACACGGTGCCAGGCTCATGACAACAAGCGGCGAGAAAGGCAGCAACACTGTAGATGATATCCTCCGACGCCTCAGCTTCCGAAACAAAACAGGTATCTTTTGCACTTTAAGCCATCAGGTCACGGCCGTAACTACACTCAGGTCACTTTTTGCCATGTTGCGGCGGCGGAGGCCAAATGCATCACAATGACCGAGACAACGGCCAAGACGAGAAGCCACAGAAGTGCAGCGTCCTGGGCTCCGAGTTCGAGTCGAAGAAACAGCTCGCGGTGTTAGGGCTTTCGAGTAGCTAGCTGTAGGTAGGGTTTGCACAGGGTTTAGTTTTGAAGTCTGCAATGACGCCCCTTTAGACACAAAACCCTTTAACTATAAGCCTAAGCCCCAAAATCCCAAAGCAAATGATACGGCTTGGTGAAGATTTCAACTCACCACACGAACGAGCAAGCTTTCTTGTAGCTCATGGAAGTTTCGAGATGCTGCACCATGCGGCACCAAAGAGCCACGTGGAAGAAGGCCGACACCACATCGCGTCTCTTCCCAAGCCCGGGCAGTGCTAAGGATATCCACTTCACACCTAAGATGACTTCGCATGCACGATCCAAAAAGTAAATTCGACATGGTCCTGGTGCGAAGAAGGGACTGACCATCTGGCACGGCGACAATGGGGTGCAGCTGTACTAACTGCATGAGCACAGCGGCAGCAAGATCGCAACACATACACTACACCGGTGGAACCCTTCGCATCTCACTGTGTTTGCTGCTGATGGGTTCAAACTGCCACAAAATAGCCAGCCCGATGCAAATCATAAGACCAAGCCGAAATGGAACATCGACAGCACTCTGACGCAAAGCTGTGTAAGACATCGGCCACGATTCTGCCACTGACGATCCACAACCTCGCCAATGACCAACGATGCTGACATAATCTGGCACTTACCAGCGTTCAGGTCTGCCGTCATCGTCGCTGTAAAGTGGCGCTGAAAGAGATTGTTAAGTGCAGTGCTGACTAAGCCGTGGACATTCTTGCACATGAGAATAGCCAGGTACCTTCCCTGCGCCTCCACGGAAGCATCTGCCTCATGCTCCGAAAGCGGCTTTCAGAGATGCAGGGAACGCGGGCTCATTACAGCGGATCCGATGCCCCAGCACTGACTTCCTCAGATCCTCGCATAAGCCTCCAAGAGCAGCGGCACAAATCCGGCCCCCAGTCCATTCCTTAGCCAGCGCTGGCAACAGCGGTGGATTTCGAGACCAAGGGAAATACTCACTCAACCAATGCCCTCAGCAAAGGACTCCAGCTCTTGAAGTCGTTCATGAGCTGGCTGCCGGACCTGAGTCCAGGTCTCTTCTCTGCTCTGAGGCCACCGTTCAGGGACCCAGTCTCAAGGAAGCGAGGAAGGAGCCCGTGCATCGCCACTGGCCGCGGCAAGTAGCAGTTGAACCACTTGGCCATGTGCAGATGCCTCCCATCACATTAAAGGGGTTCCTTTTAAAGGGGTCTATAAGGATTAGTACAAAGGCCAGGTCATCCAACTCTTAAGGAGAGCTGATAAGCACCAGGCCGCCATGGCCCGCCAATGGAGCGTTCCGCTTCATAGGCTACGCAGCTGTCGAAGGCTGTTGGCTGCTAGGTCATATGGGTAGTTGTCAAAATTATGGCACCTTTTTTGGGTACCCTAAATATTAGGTGCCGTATTACAATAAGGACCCAAGAGGGGACCCTAATATTGACAACCACCCATATGCTACCATGCTTGGAACAAGTAGGAGCCTCTCGAATCCTGGACTGTCCCCTACCAGCCACGCTCCACGGCCCAAACATGGTGAACCTTGCAAATACTGTCAGGAATCTGGATGCCGCCATTTCTCTGATCGTCTAAGGTCCTTTAAAGCTGTAGTAGGGTAATGTAGAGACTGATGCAAACCTACACAGCTGAGGGTTTCTACCAAGGTCCACCACATGTTGGGGAGCCCTCTGCAGAGCCGAGAAGCATCGAAGGGTGGCTCTGCTCCGACTCGTGCCAGGGAAGTCAAAGCACCGACAGGTGAACGTTGGCATGTTTTCTCGCTTGCGGCTCAGTTCTTTCACCAGTACCAACAAACTCAACCAACAGCACTCAAAGATGCTGTCTGCTTGTCATTGTGTTCGACTAATACTAAGCTCTGCAATCTCAAATCAAAGGTTGCAAAACATCCTGCGTGCCACAAGTCCTGGACATCGCGTTACCACTACAACAGAGGAACCAAAAAGTCAGGATGTGCGTCTCTTGAAGTCTGAGTCTCATCATGGCCATCCGGCTCCCTTCGCGGAACCGAATCATGGGCGACTCTGCCAGGTGCATATCACAGGACCTGACGAGTTGGCTTGTATGGCTGCACGAAAGTGCATGCGACTGACTCTGTCCTTGCAAGCAGTCCAAGACCATGACCCAGAAGGCCATGCAGCCGCCAGGTTAGAAAAAACTCGGCCTCGGCAAAGAGAAATCTCAGGCGGAGTACCGGCTTGGGCGGCTGGCACGGGTGCACTCAGGGCAGGGCCGGAACAGTCGTCTAATAACGAACCATCCTTTGCTCCGTGGAGAGATTGAGTCATTCAGTCTACAGACTTCTAACATGTTCTTGATGTTACACAGAATTCTAAAGTTTCGCTTGTATTGAATCCCGTAACGTCTTCCTCCGAACGCCGCTGCAAGTTTACCTGCAATTGCCGTTGTGAGGCCAGTTCGGCTGCGAGCAAAATCTGTGTTTCTATCATACGTCCTTCGTGTTGGACGCCCTTGCACTGCTTCTGAACGGATGCTGTGCATGCCTCATGTTCTGTTGGTCGTGTTCCATTTCGCTAGCTTCATGCAAATTCGCCCCCCTGCTTGTTTACTATGCGGAGATGCTTGCGTTTTCTCCTCTAGGGCATGGTGGAGACATGCTTAGTTTGGTTGTCTTTTTCAACGTTCACCCTTCTTTTTCGTTCATTGAGCAAACACGTGAACGGCTTCCGCTGGCTGGTCAACCCGTGTTTCCTTTGTGTGGTCAAGCGCTTCGCATCGCTTCGCTGTGCCAAGGCCACAACGGAGACTCTAGGGGGTCAAAACTCGTTCCCGGGCCGAGGAAAAGGATGGCGCTGTTCGTTGATTCGAGTTGTTAAGCACGTCGGAATGGCAAGCTCTCCAAGTCATTCAGTCCGAAAACAACTACGATACGGCCACAGACGATTTGGGTAGGGTTTAGGGTTCCAGGAAATTTGCATTTAGGCCCTGCGGTTTGGAGCTTGTGGTTGGGGCTACTGGATACATCGCCAAGGGGCCCGGTAGCCTGGCGCATGATGTAGAGCTCTGGCATCCCGTGCAGTGGGCCGAGGGCCGTCACGGAGATCTGCGCGGGCAAAGCGACGCCAGAACGCTTTGTGGCGACAGCGCCAAAGGGAGTCAAAAGCAAGGTTTCAGACTCTCACAACGGCATGTCTCGTCATGCCTCCTGATCGTTCAGGTACTTGTACGCGACTCGCTTGACCTGCTCAAGAAGGCTGTGGCCTCTAGCCGAATCTAGCCTTTCATAACAGAGCTCGAGCCTCCTCAGCATCGACAGCATCGATTCGGAGCCTGGCACCGGCTGCTTAAAGGCAAAGTAAAACCCGACGGAACAAAGCAATCACAATGTGAGAAGCTCAGTGGCAGTATGCTGTTTTCTCAGCACGCGCATTGGCTTTCGGCAATGCACACGCGCACGAAGAATGACACCTGCTGCAGTCAGTCTTCCCGTCTGAAAGGATGGTCAACACCTGCAGTGCTCAAGCTCCATGAGGAAAGGCTCTGCGTCTTCTTGCAAGATCAGCTCTGATGTGCGCGGGTCCAGCGCGACGTGCATGTCACCTACCGTCCAGCTCACAGGCCCCTGCTGTAGTGCCTGAAATACTGCCAGGGGCAGAAGCAGTGGACAGCATTTATCAATTCTGTCTGCCTCTCCGCGGGTCAGGGCTCGAATTCGATGCCGAACTGCATAGAGGCATCGTGGAGCGCTCCCGTCCAGCGTGTGTGAGAGGGCACTGGCCAGCATGACTTGACTTCCGGCAGATGGCAGCGCGTACCAAAGTTGGTTTGCAGCGGGTCGTAGCTTCTTCCACAACCACACCCTTTGGTTCTTCGCAGCTGGGTCAGCATCGATGTCAACCACATGCCCGTCCCCTGTCCTGATCCAAAACGGGCCGACAGCTCCGGCAGGAGTAGCCGGTGCTGGAGCACTGAGCGTGCCTGCCGTGCTGTACTCGAAATTGATGACATTGGCTGTGCGAAAGATGTCCATAGCAGCATTGCTGAATGCGGTCGTGATTCCAGTTTCGCCCTCCAGCAGACTGACGCCATGCTCATCATGAACATGACCGAAGCAATGCAAGGGGATTTGCCTGGTTCGAACATGCTGAAGTAGCGATGCACATCCCCAATGCGCATAGTTTCCCTTGTGCCTCGTTGCTGGGCCACAGATCCCACAAGCATATTCCCCAGAGCCTCGGGAAAGCCATGCTAAATCGAGGATTCCCAAAGGTGGCTGATGCGTGATGAGTACGTCGACAGTTGCAGGTATCCTTGCCCAATAGAGTTGCCGGTCTGCCTCGTTTGCGGACCACGCCATGCTGCAATGGTTCCACGAGCTGCCGTAGAAACTAACTCCTTCGATTGTGATCCCGGAATCGTTCAGAAGCACCGGGCGCCGAAAGCCGTTCCGGACCGCATCCTCTGGGGTGTCGCATGCAAGGTACTGCGCGAGGTCTGCACGCCGGTCAAGCAGAAGTTCGTGATTCCCACAGACCAGGATCTTGTAACGATGGGGTTCACTGAGGAACCACTCAAGGAACTCGCGAATGGCCTGCACTCACGTGCTGGAGACACGTTGGAAACTTGGCATGCTAAATGAGATGCTGTTATGGCTTGCTTGACCTGACACGAACTCTCTGCAATTTAACATCGGATGATGTCACAGTGGGCTGCTATCTCTCCCCAGCCTATGCAGGGCAGGTACTGGCACCATGCATGGAGGCAAACTCAACGAAACCTTTGTGCAAACGAACCTGCGGCTCCTCGTCTCCGGCATTCGTGAAATCTCCGCTGTGAATCAAGACGTCACCATCCGGCAGCTGTCCGCCATAAATGCCATTGTGAGTATCCGAAATGTGCACGATTCGCAGGAATCTGGTCTCCAAGCTGCCATTTTGCTGTACATCTCGCGACTTTACAGTCACTTCGATAGGCGGCTTGACCGGACCCATTGCACAGTGCCACGGCGGGCGTTTCGATCAGAGAATGTTTGGGGCCAGAATGACAGAATCTCTGGGCATGTGGTGTCGGGTTTCGGGATCATTCACTGGGTCTGGGTCTTTCATGTAGCTGCCAGTCAGCGAATCTGAAGCTCCTTGAAGCCCTCCGATGTCAATTACATGCCGGACTGCACATCATCTCTGCAGGGGGAACACCCCGACCGTAGGCCAAGACTTCCTTGCCCACCTGAGGAGAGCAGTGCTGCAGTCCCTCGCCGGGAAGAAGCAAGTCTATTCTCGCTCCCTGATCCGTCGGATACCTGGTTGCAGCTGTCCCGAGTGCTGCCAGAGCCGTTGACCAGGGTGGCTTTGAGTTCTCGCTTTGCTCGTTCCACCTGCGAGGCAGCCCTGTTTCGACTCTCGCAACAGCCCACCAACTTCCCCTTCGCGCCTCCTCATCAGTCACGGAGAAGGACAGCAAGTTGAAGCCGAACATCAGCTCGCCGATGGCATGCTCTACAGCGACCTTAACACAAGGTGCAGCTTGCACCGACAATCTGAATATGGCTTCTGCCGACCTCATCGCAGACGATGTACCAGCCGAACCTGAGCTCCGACTCTCGTGCCGCCGCTCAAGTAGATGAAAGCAGATGCTAGGCTTATTGCACGCCGGTGTCTTTGTAGAAGTGCATGAAGGCCTCATACTCCTGGTTGCAAGTCTCTGAAAAGTCTGCCCACTAGTGCTACTCTCAGCCGTCCTCGGCGCAACCCACGCCTTGGTACTCCGTGACTTCGATACGGTGTCGACAATGCGTTCGTGCTTGGGGCTTGCGGTGGTTTCGGGCTGTTCGGGTCCGCGAACTTCGTGGGCATGTGGTGCCGTGATTTGCGGCAGGCTAGCAAAAGAAGAAGCAAAACTTAAAACTTCGCACGAGGTCGGCACCCATCTTGTTGGCCACGGAATTCGTGACGCGGTTTCCTAAGCTTGCAGGCAGCTTCTAAGAGAATGCCAGCCAAAACGGCAAGAGAGCAGCCAACTTACTGTCCGAGCAGCCGGAAATGCTGCCAGGAACCAGCCCAGCGTTCTTCTTATAGGTGCCAATAATCGCCTGCTGAACACGCAATTAAATCGGCCTTTTCACCCCATGAATCCGTGTAAGCTAGTGCCTGAGGAATAAGCAGCTGCGAAACAGGGACAGCTACATTCTGGATGCCGCGTGTGAGAAGACTCAGACTGGAACTTGCATCACCATGAAAGTGACGGCATCTGGACCTTGGAGTCAACATCACTTCAGAAAGAGTGTGCAGAACTACGAGCCATCCAGGTCCGAGTGGCTCTTCCAAGGAACCGCCTCCCAACCAGTCGAGATGTAGGCCAGGGGTCCCATCTCATCGTTGCGGTAGAGGAGCTGAACAGGGCCAAGGACCCGCTACCCTGCATAAGTCCGAAACCCTCAAAACTCGACCAAAGCCTGAAACCCAAAAGCAAGCCTTTAAGACCCAACTAAAGCCTCGCCCGAAACCCAAACTTTCACAAGAGCTCTGTCCTGTGCACCACAGAAGTAAGGCTTGGTGGTGTACACCCGGGCAGGGGCAGCCTCGCAGAAACGGCTGAGCCGTCCAAGCGCACTGTTGACGGCTTTAGGGCTTCTGGGCTGTTAGAGTTTTTTTGGGTTTTGGGGTTTGGCGTTGCGGCACTGCGCCTTGACACCGCCGAGAGCTTTCTCGGCCAGCTTGACAAGCTCCTCGTGCTTCACGGCGCCTCGGTCAGCTTGATTAACCTTCTGCATCTCACACATTGCAGAGAGTAGCGAGAGACTGTACATGAAGGAGGGAGCGAACCAAGCAAATCTGAGGCACCAGAAGCTGCAAGAACCATTTTGTCCGCTGTGAAGTTGGTCTCATGGTGCTTTTTCAGCTGCTCCTCTGCAGTCGAATATGGTCTGTCCACATTGACATGCCACTTCACCCTTCATGGACAGGCACACACATCCATACATCCCTCTGCAGCTGCCTGAGACAGCGTCTCAATGCCTTCAAACGGCCCAACCGTGGAGAATCCCAGAGAGTAGTCGCGGAAGGCACACGCATGAAGCCTCATCAAAGAGTGAGCTGGACTTGATCTTCTGCTGTGATCACGGCTGATGAATCTGATGAAAGCAGTGTCGCATGAATGCGCCTGTCATCAATAACTTGGCGAGTTGGCTGCTCTGCTTCCTGGCCACATCGCTATTTTAGCGCTCAGCCAACACGGCTCTGCAGCAAGGCTTCCTCATCTCCCCTTAGCTATATATAACTGTGAGAGGTGGACACATGCAACCATCAATGCTTTGAGGGGGTCCTTCTGCAGCCTATTTCGCAGCCAGGCCCGATTTTTTACTTGTCACCCCTGCTACTGAAATGCACGCTTCCAGCTGGCGAATCTCAGATGATGCCCTTGGTTCTTCTCCTTCTTCTTGTCCTCCTGCCTTCAGCAACACCCTGCCTTTGTAGCCCTAAGAACCAAAGTTTCGAAGGGTCAGCACTAGGTGAGCTCTTGGCTGGGGACCACAGACGCCCCGATGGAAGATTGTAAAACTAAGTTTCTTCGTGCCCGGTCTGCACAGGGCCCCAAGGAAAGAAGCCGGCGTCCTCGAGCTTGCGCAGGATCCCCTGCTTCTCCTTCGCCAGGTTGCCCAGGGCCTCGCCCACCCCGAAGCGAAGAACAGGTGACAACTCAAGCGAAACATGAGGTACTGACGGGAGCAGTGACCATGTCTGCCAGAATGTCGACGCCCTGCAGCGGAAACAGTTAGACTTGGACCCCATGCTCATGCCGAAGCAACAGAAGCGAATCCACCTGCGCAATGTCTCCCTTGAACATGGTCATGTTGAAGGCGGAACTCAGTGGCAGGTCCAATTGGACACGATCACACGTAAACTAACAACCGTGAAAGCTAAGCTTTCGACTGCTCTCGACCATAGCTCAGGTCCAAAGTCGCCCCGAGAGACCTGAGATGCTGAGCCAGGCAATGCAAACCCTAAACCCTAAACCCTAGACCGTAGTTCCCAACAAGGGCATCCAAGATGCTCAATCTCTGCCTCAAGCTTGGCCATGGGCCTGTTCAGGCATGTCTCAGCTAATGCAGTGACCGGACGTCTCAACTGCTGGACAGCGAAGGTTCAAGAGGGGAGTTCATCTGGATGTCGGGTTGAGGATTTCGGTCTTTGGGGTTGACAGGGTTTAGCTCAAAGTTGACGTCTCTGTTGTTGGAAATTCCTCGTGGCGATTGTCTCACGTACGGAATTTCAAAAATTGCAAACATTGCCGCTCTTCGTCGCTCTCTCTAACATTTACACACAAGCCCCATGTACCAGTGAAGAGCAGGAAAAGCCTATGGATGCAAACAGGAAGGCGACGGATTGAAATATATGGTCAGGACAAGGGTCCAAGGATTTCAGGGCTCAGATGACGCAGCTCAACTGCAGAGGCACCGCACAGACGACCCAAGGGCTGAGGCACGACCCTGGCCAAGTCAAGGCAAGAGAAGAAGGAAAGAATCTAAAAAAGTGCCAGAAAGCCAAAATCCTGAATATCAGTTTTCACAACACAAAGGCATGCACGAAAGGAGACAAGCAGAGCACAGTGCCGGTTCACAACCCAAGACACGGAACACAAGAAAGGGACACAGCCAGCGGCAATTTGGACTGCCCGATCCAATCGGCCCACGGAACCCGAGGCAAACGCAGAGAGTCCAGAGGGTGACACCAAACTCCGTTGCCAAAAACTCGCCAGACCAAAGCATTGGACAGACTTGTTCCATGCCGATCACTTTCGGCACAAGCTGCGGCAAGGTCTGGCAAGCATGATGCAAAACTGCTGGAGGCCTTTTGCCATATTGAAACACACAACACAAAGACAAAGTCCATTGAAGAAGCTTTATATGCTTGCAGCCCACCTCTTGCTCGTGCCAGTGAGGGAGAGTTGTTCCAACAAGTACGTGGCACCTCCGCACATCGTGACAACTGAAAACCAGGCCACTGTCGTCTTTTGCTGCAGTGCCGCGGCAAGCGAAGCCTGCCGCTGCCTACGCTGTCTCTAACGGGCTACAAAATGGGGACAGGGGTGTGGCCTCGAGTGTCTTTCGTCTCGTCCCGGACCTCAAGCGCTGCAGGCATTCCGTGAAACCCATCTTCCGTCGTGTGACGTCCCACTATGAAGTAGGAACAACACAAACGAAGGACAGCCACATTACTCAGGCCGTCCACTGTCACTGTGACTGAAACAGATAAGTTCTCAAAGGCTTCAGCCATGCAGATCAAGCCGATTTCCTAGCTCTTTGGGCCTGAATGCACTACAACTTCTTGCAGAGATCATTTTTCGACCGTCCACAACAGAGTCACACCAAGCCCCGCACGCCAGCATCCAGATAGACGCCGACAGAGGCGGTCTGGCAAAAGGTAGCTGCAGTTTAGGTTCTGGGGCACATGTTGCCCCTGCTGTGAAATAAAGTCGCAGGGCCTCGGCAAAGGTCTCCTTAGTTGCCACCTGAGGTACACACGGGCCCGGCCCAGAAGTTAGAGCTCGGCACAGCTGCCCGCGATGAAGAGCTAAGATGCTGAGGACAGCACCCTGACCCCGTTGGGAAGAGTGGTGACTTTCACTGGCGCCTATGGCTGCGCACAACAAGCCTTAGCCGCAAGCCTGACAATCCTATATAACACCCTAAATGCGTGGGGGATTGATCTCGACTTGGTTGCTGCTCTCCCCACCAGAGCTGTAATGAATGTAGGTGTGGCTGGCTAGCACTCTCCACAGACTGGACCCTGTCTCTCCCTCTTACTTCCACACGTGCAATCCTATGCAGGCAGAACCGGCGGCCGTTCCTTTTGCACTCACTGCCGGCGGCGGTTCGTCTGTGCAACGGGATAGCTCTGATTGCTCAGGATAGAAGACACATATAGCACTTAGCTATGGGCATTGACTTGAGCCAAACGTTGCGTTGGCGGTCACATAGAAAGGTAAAGATGAGGGATGCGTAGCATGCCCCCTAGAGTCGAGGGACGCGTAGCGTGCCCCCTTCTCTTGCACTTTACACGGTCTTGCTCACAGCTCTTATAGTGACACCTTAGAACTTGACAAGGCATCGCAGTCCGTTCGCACCCCCCATGAGTTGCGTCTCCGACGCTGCTCACCCGGAAGATGGCACGATAGGACAGAAGAAAATTCCGCCGCAACGTTGACATTGAAAATCAGAGCTTTGTATCCCAATTAGAAACGTTGTGACACTCATCTACGTCAGTAACGATCCCCTGAAATGACAAACGAATCAGGCGTCACCGAAGAAAGAAGCATTCGCGATGGCATTCCACGGGCGAAGCTCAGAGGTCACGAACTGATAGGCGAGGAAGATCAGGCGTTGTCTCGCCACCATCTTCGCGTTGACGTAGGATCGCGTTCCCAGGGCCGGAGGTTCTCCTCTGGATATGGGTTCCTTGGCTTTCCCTTGTCCTTGCCTTTGTTTCGGCCTTTGGCGGCGATGTAGTCGTGGTAGGAATTGGTGTTCCAGCCACCATGTTGCTCGCCTCCGGTTCTTCCACGCCCTTTTGAAGGTCCCTTGGATGAAGAAGCGCTTTCACGTTCCTCCGTAGTGACAGGCGTGTCCAGGATGGAAGTACCACCTGGAGGAAGATAGTCAGCGGCCGAAATGTGGTGTAGGGCTTCTGTACGTCTTGTCGTCGGGTTTTGCTGTCTCTCAGTCTTGGATCTATTCAGTCTGTCCATGAAATGCGCAGGCATTTGAACGCTGTGGTCCACTAGCAAGGCGATGGTCTGGACTGACTGATCAGAGTGAGTCAGCAGAATACCGACAGGGTCGATGTACAAGAAGTCCACCGGTCCAGTTGGCGTTGGTCGTAGCACTGAGAATTGTTGGTGTCCCGTCACCATTGGGATCACCTCGCATAGGACGTTCAGGCAACAAAAGTGCATTGCCTTTACATCTTCGTCCCTGTCGCTCTTCAAGTAAGTAGTAGGGCTGAAGTTGTCCCTGCCAATTCCCATCATGTTGGCTCCACGTACAAGTAAAGAAAGCATCTGGTTCGTCCGGAATCGCTTCAAGGTGTAAGTCCCGTTGGGATCATACTGTTTGAGGTTCTCAGGCTCCTTTGCAAAGCGAAGGATCTCCTCATCAGTCACGTCCCTGCTCACACCTGTTTCCTTATCCACTGCTGCCAAAGATCCCCACTTTCCAAGCACATCATAGCGTTGGCCAAGCGCGAAACTTTCCCTCATCTGAAACAACGGCATAGTCGCCCACTTTGCGAATCCTGACCAAGCTTTGTAGATGGATCGGCATACCACGTATGCCATGTACGACAGAGCGGTCATGTTCGCGTCGATGCAATGGGCATTTCGCTTTCCAGAATAGTAAGATGGCTGCATGGCGGTACGCGCAAGTTGTAGTTCAGGATCGATGTTCAAAGACTGGCCGGTAAGGAAGACGGGACGACGTTCCTGTGCGATTGCTTCCGGAACTGCGTCATCAAAGTCCTCTTCAGGCTCTACGTCCATTTCTTCATCAGGTTCCTGTTCTGGATCGTCTTCCGCGACGACAGATGGTTCTGGGATTTCTTCAGGTTCCGCAACGGTCTCTACCTCCATGGCTTCCTGCTCCTCTTCGGGCGCCTCAGGCACTGCGGCTGCTGCGGCTTCCATTGTCTGAGCAATGAAGTCACTGGGGATCTCCGTAGGAGTATCCCGTTGTGGAGAACCTTGATAATATCCGCTTGAAATGAACTGTGACCAGCAAGACGTGCATCGGGAGAAACATGCTGGAACAATGTTGTAGCATGCCGGGCATACCCTCATTCTCCTTCCATCCTCGTCTCTGCGTAGGTCTTCGGGTCGCCAATTCTTGATGACAAACTTGATTCCCTTGTCCATGTAGTGATGCCGAACCGTGTTCTCCCTGTGGGACTCCAAGACAGTTGTGAGGTCACGAATGATCTGCTCCTTGCTTGTGTCGTGGGGTCCAGGAGGCATCTCGCAAAGCAATTCCATGATCTTGCTTGGCGTTCGGTATCTCTCGAACTCGGGAAGCAACGGTGATGCATTGTAGTCCAACACCAGCTCTTTCTCCAACCTTTCATCGTAGATCTTTTCCACCAGAGCGAAAGAGTGTGTATCTCGAGGATCAGGGACGCAAAACCATACCTCCTTGACGAAATGGAAAGGTATCGTTCGACCAACGATCATGATGCCGCTGTCTGTGATACGTCCATCCTCTCGTGCAAGATCTTGCGATGGGACATGAAGAACCGCCAATGGCATGTGCTTGGCGTCTCGTCCGTGTACTCGCATCTTGGTCGTTGCGTTCCGGTGATCGAACGGCGCAAACACCCCCCAATAGCTGTGGAGTCTGCCGCCTTGGTTGCCTCGGAATTGGCGCCGATGGTCAAAGTCCCCGTCGGGGTCCTCCGAACCAGGCATGATGCCTTGCGTGACAATGGAATCCAAGTTGCGGCATGCCGTAGCGTGGAACGCACCTCCAAGACGTTGCAAGAGGGTCATAGATGGAGATATTGCGAACCTGTTCTTGTCCAACTGAAGCAAGTTGTTCTGGGGATCTGAATGCGCAGAGTGACCACTCGTAGCCCGAACTGCCCATGGCTTCACCCAGCCGTTGCATAGGTTCAGGTACCTCTGGCCATGTCGGCAATGGTCGTTGCTCTGGATCTCTGCGATCTGGTCCCGAACTGATACCAACATGTTCGAACCTGCTGATCCAAGAACTTCCGTGCCGGGGTCCTTCACTCTCACACCCAGGAACTGCAACCGAATCTTGGCCTTGTTGCGTTTCGTGGCTGCAATCATGTTCCCCTGGAACAATAGCTGAAGTCTTTCATTGTACACTCTCTTCTTCTGTTGGTCATCGGTCCTTGAGACCCCTTCGGTGATGCGTCTGCTTTCATGGGTCCATAGTGGCTCATGCCTCACCAAGTCTTCGATCAGCACCCACCCTCCTTCATCACATTTGATGACACTGTTGAATGCCACCTGGCACCGGTTGTCAAGCCATTCCGAGCCTGGGCGCCTGGCGATTCTGTGGCGCAAG